CCAACAGTTCTCGGAAACTTTCATTCAGAAAATGCTGGAATACAGCAGGAGCATTTCGCAGACCATCTCGAACAACAAGAGACTCGAGCATACCGTACTGAGTCCTGAACGCCGTCAAGTGCTCGTGTCCTTCCTTTACTCGTAGGAGTTGATAAGCTCCAATCAGGTCTAACTTGCTGAAATACCTCGCTTTTCCCAGCTCTTCGGTTATCTGGCCGATCAGAGGCAGTGGATAGGCGTCGGGTATCGTTGCTTCGTTTAACTTTCGGTAGTCAATGACCATTCACCATTGACCCTTTGCTTTCTTCGGTACCAAGAACATCGGTGATCCGTAGGGCGAATTACTGGGTCGAATTCTTCCGGCCGACGTCTCGCGATCTAGGATGTCTCTCAGTGCACTTCTCTGATCTTCTCCGAGTGAGTAGAGTGGAGCAACCTTCAGGTTCGCCCCCTCCCTAAGGTCAAATTCCAGATCATACTCCCTTGAGGGAGGTAATTCTTCACCTCCCTTCCTCGGGTTAAACACATCAATGAACGGGTGATATTGTTCAGGAACCACCTGATACAATTCCTCCTGTTCCTCCGGACTCAGTTCATCCTGGTCATCTTTGTCTCGGAGATCTATCGCGTCCGTCGGAGTTGGTAGCCCTATGGCAGCCAACTTCGCCGAACTTGGGGGTGTCTGAATGGGGAATTTTACCGAGTTGTCTCTTCCATCAAGGACAACCCCTTCCTTCCTCATCCAGTCCCATCCTATTACAACGTCTGCATCGCAGAGCGTTGTTACATCGAGACGAACAGATCGCACTTCGGCGTCTTTTGTCAAACTAAAACCGACTTCGACGAACTCGGTGATAGGCCCAGCAACACTAACCGAGCCATCAAACATGTGAACGGGTACGCTCACCTGGTATCGTCTCCTTTCTACGCCTATCTTCGCCGCTGCCCTAGGACTTATATATGAACAAGTAGCCCCAGTGTCCCAGAGCGTAGTTAGCTTCATTCCATTAATGAAAATGTTCGATTTAGGTTGATCTCTGGAAGTGGAAGGGATGAGGAGACGATTATCGACATTGCATAAACAAGGGGTACTGAGTGGTGTATTTTTATATTCACAATCCTCTGGCTTCATCAGCTGCTTTTCTTTTATACGTCGGGGAATGGTGGCCGAGAGAATATGGCGGACCCGCCGAGCCTCGCCTACTGCGACAGGTCCTCTTCTTTTCCCTGGTCCTCTTCCATCTCTCCTTCGCCTCCAACTTCGTTCAAGTTCCTCCTCTGTCCCAGAGGTACTGCGTTCCCTCCCGATCCTCCACCTCGTTCTCCGAACTTCTCTCCCCATGGGGGCAACAACCCAACCTTAACCTTAGCCTCCCTTACAGGGCATTCCTTCAGCCAATGTCCTGCTTCACCACACTCGGTACACTTCCCCTCCTTCCTCCTTGTCTCCCTCAGATCGGAGCTCGGCCTAGGCCATCTTCGGCGAACTTCGTCGATGTTTGGCGGCGTACTCTTTACCACCGTCGACATCATAGCCGCCTGGACACCACCCTGCGCCGAAGGTTGCCCCTTTTCCCATTTCTTCTCTTCTTTCTTCTCCGTCCTCTGACTTTCCACCACTGTCGTTGTCCTTATCCCTCCTTCCCTTTTCCTCTCTGCCTCCTTCTCCACTTGTCTCCTCCACAGGCGGTTGTCCAAGGGAATCACAAACTCCAATAGCTCTTTCACAGTCCCAAACGATCTACCGTGTCTTGCGATTTCATCTAGAAGGTGCGATTTTAGACCTTTCTTGGCTCGGTCAACTAGGTTTCCATCATCAGACCACTTGAGAATCGCAACATGTCGCTGGACGGCGGAGAAGTAGTCCGAAGCAGACCCGGTTTGCTTGAGGTCGTTAAGTTGTCGGGCCGCAGTTCCTTCTTCGTCTGGATCACCAAAGTTAGTCTTGAGGTACTTAACGAACTGATCGTGTGTCGTGAGGTACTCAGGAAGAGGTCTTTTGGATAGATCGGGCTGCACCGCAAGAAGAGGTGTTTCGCGTAGATGAGAGATCATGAAAAAGACTTTCTTAGTGTCGTCGGGGAAAAGATGAGAGTTCAATTCGAAATGTACGTCGCACTCAGACAGAAAGGCAGTTAACTTGTTCCGATCTCCTCTCCAGAGGTCTGGGTTAGGTAGCTTTATCCCCTTCCGTTGTTCGCCCACTACGCTTGGGGTCGCCGAAGTTTGCCGTCCCATGGCGTACCTCACCCCTTCTGATATCCCTTCTGCAATCCCGCCCACTGTATCCCTTTCTCTTCTCTGTTCCCATTCCTCCCTACACCTTCTCTCCTCCATCATGTCTTTGTTCATATTCGCCACCATCTGCATCAAGGCCAACACCACCCCTTGTGTTCCTTCTTCTCCCAAGTTCGCCGTACTTCCAGTGTTTTCTCTTGGGCGTGGGGTTTGGTCTGATCCAAGTGGGGATCCCACAGGTGGGAGAGCATTAGACGGAGGAGAAGGAGGGTTAGAAGGCACCGGTGGAACGAACTCATCTCCTTGAATTGATCCCCCCACACTATCCTCCACTCCAAGGTCCTGCCCCATTGCTCTGCTAAGCTCCTCCAATGCTCTCCTCTCGTTCTCCTCCATCCTGTCTCCATCCCTACTCATGCCTCGCGTAACTCTCCTTTCTGGTTCCATAATGTCTTCGTACTTCTCCGAGGTTCGCACGGGTCGTCGGTATGAGCGATCCTTGATACTGTCACGGCCGTCGAACAACTACTTTCTATGGAGACCGACGGTCGACGAACCTCGGTTAACTTGACGCTTCTAAGCCGATGTCTCACCCAACCAGGAGGGCGCAGACGTCGAAAGGAGTGTAACTACGGCGTACTTTGGCGTAGTTACTCTAACTGGGGTTTTGTTCTACTGATGGCGATGTATCTCGATTGTATATAGCTATCTCTATCTGTCTTTCACTACTGACAACAATCAAGGATCGCTGAAGAAGTTCAGCGATCTGTAAACTATCTATACTACTCCTCTCTTCTCATAGAACGTCCCTCAACTCCTGCACTGCCTCACGCTCAGTCCTCTTCGTTCAACTTCGCCGTACCTCGCCATATCCCCGATATCCTACTCCGCTCACTTCGACTAACTTCGCCTAACTTCCCCTGTTCTGCTCTCCCTCGGTTCCCTTCCCCTAACTTCGCCGTAGTTCTCCGCTAGGCGGGGTTATCGTGACAAATACCCTCTTGGTTCTCGTAACTTCGCCGTAGTTGGTCTCAGTGGTTCGAGTGGAGGTTGGTGGTGGTGAAAGGAAGGTCGGTGATGGTGAAAGGAGGGTCGGTGATGGTGGTTGTCAGGGATGTTACGACGTAGTTCGTGACAATGCACGGCTTAGGTCATAATGAAATTTGTACGTCTATCCAAGATGAACAATCCGACGCATTCTTTGCTGGTACATATGCTGGACAACAATGCATGGCAATGACTGGAAGAGGAGGCACTTTGGCCAGAAACCCCCCAAAAAGTTGCTTTTTGACCAAAATGCATCATCTTTCAAGTAGGTTTACAACAGATCTTCACACTGAAGACGCAAAACTGAAAGTCTAATTGAATAGAAGAGAATCACATTAACAATGTAGTGGACATTCATTGTCATGCACCAAATTGTGTTGAAGATTGAGGCTCCACAATTATGAGAAGAGAGTTTCCCACCCAAATTACTATGAAATGCATGGACATGACTTTTTACACCCAACTGTAGTCACCAACGTGACACTAGCACCATATACTGTCCCCTTCAAAATTTGCAACTGTGCACGTTTGCACAGCACATGTCTTTGGAAGACTCAAGTCTGCCTCCTTAACCACTTGGACAAAATGACAAGGCCACAGGTAGCTCTTGGTTCAAAGGTGATAATATATGGTTGGCCGTGTTTCTGGGCACAGGCACAGTGGTTTGAGCATCCACTCTATCTCACAAAGGATGTAAAAATAGTGTATGGTTGCTGTAACAAGGACCTGGATGAGCCTTTTGAACGCTTACCAGGTGACAACTGATGATATGCATGTAAATCCCTCAAGCTTCATTCTGTACACTCTCAGCTACAGTAACCATCCAAGAACCTCTCTGTCATAAATTATATTGTAACATTCCCTGTCAACCACCATCATCAACCCTCCTTTGACCATCAACCACCACAACCCCAGACCACTGAAAGCAACTACGGCAAAGTTACGAGAACCGAGGAGTATTGGTCACAACAACCCCTATCAACAGAGACAAACCATGGCAAAGTTGGAGTAGGGAATGCAAGGTGATGGAGCAAGTGAGGTGAAGTGAGGTGAGTAGGATATCAGGGATACGGAGAGGTACGGGGAAGTTGGACAAGGGAAGACTGAGTGTGAGGCTGTGCAGGGGTGGCAAGATAGTCTACAAGGAGAGCAAAGGAGTATAGATAGTTTACAGATTGCTGAAGAAGTTCAGTGATCCTTGATTGTTGTCAGTAACGAGAGATCTATTGAGTTGCTACAACCATTGACTTAGGAGGAGCTACCACGCAGCAGTTCGACGTACCACAGCAAAGTGTCACAAGGTTGCTTCTTCCTTAACTTCTTAGGACCGACGGCCAATAACTTCGTGGGCTTCGACCTTCACCAACTTTGTTGCTCGAGATATGAAATAGGTGACAATAGCTTCTGGGTGTAATAACTTCGTGCTTAACTAACTTCTATCACTAAGACAACAACCAGAGATCGTCAAAGATCTCTGGGAACTTCGGCCCTTAAGTACTTCGTCCTTCCCTAACTTCGTCAACGCAGAACTTCGTTCAACCCAACGTCCCGAGCTTCGTACCTTGCGAACTTCGTCCCCGACGAAGTTCGTGCCTTCCTAACTTCGTATCCTCCTAACTTCGTATCTCCCTAACTTTGTATCCCCCTAAGTTCCTACATGACTAACTTCGTCCTCGACGAAGTTAGCCTCCTAATACCCTCGTGGGTGGTGAAGTTCATGCGAACTGGGTCGTTGATGGCGAACTGATGTCCAAAGGAACTTCGTTTGATGGGAAAAGGATAATGTCACGCGGCGCCGCGTGACAGTCGCCCCCTCCTTGAGCGCGAACGTCCTCGTGAGCGAACATCAACGCCGAAAAGAACAAAACAACTCAGCATGAAGTTCGGTTCTCACCCTTCTCCTCAAACCAACTTCCTGACAACGTAATTCCCGTAATGAAATTCCAGGAAAATCTGAAACCTCCTCTGGCCACGACGCCGTCCTCACAACAAGATCGCCATATCTCGAACTTCGTAATTTGACTTGTAGTCATTGAAAAATCGTGGGGGAAATTCGTATGTGACAAGAAGATATGACAATGATAGAAGAATTTTATGTATGGAGAATGGGAACCCATAACCTGTTCGTGAGTGCAGTATCCATGAATGTAAGCAGGAAACTTGTCACGGCCGTCGAGCAACTTCTTCCTAATAGACCGACGGTCGACGAACCTCGGCTAACTTCACGCTTCTGAGTCGATGTCTCACCCAACCAGGAGGGCGCAGACGTCGAAAGGAGTGTAACTACGGCGTACTTCGGCGTAGTTACTCTAACTAAGGCTTTGTTCTATTGATGGCGATGTATCCCGATGTATAGCTATCTCTATTTGTCTTTTACTACTGACAACAATCAAGGATCGCTGAAGAACTTCAGCGATCTTCTCAGCTAATATTATCTACTCCTCCTAGACGTTCATCCAACCCTCTCGCACTTTGACGTACTTCAACGCACTTCGTCCAACTTCCCCGAGCCCTCGGCCATCCTCTTCCTCCTTCGACTAACTCCGCCTAACATCGCCGCACTTCTGCTCCCATTGTCCCTACTTAGCCTAACTCCGCCTAACATCGCCGCACTTCTGCTCCCATTGTCCCTACTTAGCCTAACTCCGCCTAACATCGCCGCACTTCTGCTCCCATTGTCCCTACTTAGCCTAACCCCGTCTAACTTCGCCGTACTTCTGCTCCCATTGTTCCTACTTAGCCTAACTCCGCCTAACTTCGCCGTACTTGGTGTCAGAAGTCCTGAGTTACGTGTAGAGTAAAGAGGTTAAGGCGTGATGGGGTTTTGATGGCCAAAGGAGGGTCATTGTTGGTGGAGTAATCGAGGTGTCACGACGTAGTTCGTGACAAAACTCCTTAGCCTGAAAATTTTCTCTCGTATCCAGGGATCTTCGTGGTATCCTGGTCTCCATGAAACACGACGTTGACGACGGCAACGCCCTCATCTGTTGTCAACAGCAACGAAATTCCCTTTATACTCAGTAGGTTGACGAACTTCCCCCCCAACTTCTTCAATTCCAACTCTCTTCTTACGTCTCAACCAACCCGCTCACTAAATTTATCTCTTCGTACACACCATGGCCCCGTCTACCCCCCGAAAACTCGTCAAATCTCCTCCTGCGAGCGTTGCCCGAAGGACTCGAAGCAGTAAGTTCGAATTGCCTGAGAATTTCGTCGAGAAGTTTCGTGTCATGGCTGATGTTAGTGTCCCGGGTTCAGTCTCCTCCTCCTGCTCCTCCTTCGTCCTTCGTCCGCCGCCTCGCCAGCTCGGCTGGTCTTCGTCTCTCTTCCCTGTCGGCTGCTCTCCCTTCGCTGTCGACACCGTCCTCGTCCTCCGCACCTCCCGCTCCTCCCGCTCCCGTCGCCGGTCCATCGTCGACCCCGGCCAAGAGACAAACTCCCTCGAAAGAGGCGAGTTCATCAAGAAAACCCTCCATCCTTCGGTCTCCCAAGAAGAGACATCGCCGAACTTCTTCACCAATATCGGTGTCCTCTTCCTCTTCGTCCGCTTTGTCCTCGCCCACCCCGGCGCGTAAACGGGTACGGGTTGAAGCCCCTTCTTCCTCGCCTGCTCCTCGCTCTGGAACGGTAAGAACTTCGGCGAGTCTCCTGGCCCTCCTCGCGGCCCAACCTGGAAGATGGGAGCTGGCTCCCAAAGGCGAGGAATGTGATCGCTGCCGGTGAGCAAATCAAATTTCTCAGAATGTACAGACCCTAACTTCCAGTGACGAGCAATCTCGGCATCCCAACTTCCCCTGCGTTCGTCCTTGTGGGACCAACCGTGGTACACGATGTGCATCGTGTACATCAGGTGTCTGCTCCTTCCTCCCCCCTTCCCCTGCTAAGCAGAGGAAACCCTCGACAACTTCCCGCCCGTCGCCCGTCGCTCGTCCGTCGCCCCCGCCAGCTGGTCGTTCGGTGTTCGCGACAGCATCTCCTTTGCCGTCGGACGAACTTCCCGGTCTTCCTCCCCCTCTCCCTCCTTCGGTCTCTTTCCGCGCCGCTCGTCCTGGTGCTCCCCTATGGGAGTTATCTCCGTCCCCACCTCCTCGTGGTCCTCATCCTCCTCGCGCTCCTCCCGTCGTCGACCTTCGTTCCCCGTCGCCGGTCTTTCCTGGGGCCTTCATTGTCCCTCCCCCTCCTTCGCCTCCTCGTCCGTCACCCGCGCCATCTTCGTCATCGTCTTCGTCGTCCGAGGAAGTTCCTCCTCCTTCACAAGAGGAAATTATCGCGGACCTCAGAAAGCTAGTCGAGGTTCTCACCTTGGACAATTTGAAAACAGAGAAACGGTTAGCAGCTATGACCGTGGTGGCTCTTCGTGCGGCAGACATGATGGACGTACAAGGGGTCATCATTCGTCGTTTCCTCAATCAAATTCGTCTTTTAACCCGGAACTTATCGAAAAAGAGTTCTCATATCGGATCTGCTACTCATAGTTTGCTGCTTGAATGGAACGAAACTCTCCTCCGTACTGGCCGCCACGCTATCTTCGGCCATAAGTTCTGGGGAGAGATCAATGATACCATTGGGCGACAAGAGCGTGATCTAACTGGTGCCGCGGTTGCTGGACCCAGCACTCAAGGACTGAGGGACGAGGTTCGTGCGGCTAGTGAGACGTTCTGGGATGCTAACTGGCGGATGAGAAACGTGATAAGAAATGATCCGTTGTTAGTGGTAGCCCGTGAAGAGCTTACTGATACTGAGGGAGCCCACTCATGGTGGGATGATAGTAAAAGATGGAGTCGTGATAAAGGAAAAGGGAGAATGGTGATGGACGATCTTGACATTCTTGTAGATGAAGAGAAAAATAAAACTTAGCGATTGTATAACTTCTTGTCCCATGTATCAGTCTTGCTCAGTTCCTAAGTTCGTCGAGCACGAGCTCGACGAACTAAACTCTCCTTCGGTTTCTCAGGGTATCGTTCGTGGAATTCTGTAAGAATTTCATCTGCACCATCAACATTTTCCTTCGGTTCCCAAGAGACAGCATCATCAGTTCCCTCAAATCCCAACCACTCTACTAAATACTCGACCTTCCCAGATCTTCTATTTATCCTAGAGTCTAGAATATTCTTGACTTCCCACGACTCTCCTGCGTCATCAACTTCGACTGGATCAGGAAGTTCTGCCTCCTGTCCCACGAAGTTCGTTGGTTGGAACTTCCTTAACAACGACACATGAAACACATCATGAAGCTTAGCCATCGAGGCCGGCAACTTCAACCTACACGCATGAGTACCAATGCGCTCAATAACTTCGTACGGCCCTGCTTGTTTAGCATCTAACTTCTTACTAGGTCTCTTAGTCCTAATATTCTCAAGAGATAACATTACTTTACTCCCAACTTCGAAAAGCGGTGTTGCTGAGCGCTTTCGGTCATACGCTTCGGAGTATCTCTCATTGGCTAATTTTATGCCCTCAACACATCGTTTGTGTACCTCCTGCAGATCAGTAACAACTGCTCGAGCAACAGGAACTTCTACTTCAGATTCTTTAATCTCGTCTGTCCATCGTGGGTGGTACCCGAAGTTCGCAAAGAACGGGCTCATCCCAATGGCTGAGTGAATCGTGTTATTATACGCGAAGCTAGCTTTTGGCAATAACTTCGCCCAATCGTCCTGCTGGTAAGAGGCGAATACTCGTAGGTACATTTCCAAAGCTTGATTTGTTCGTTCAGTCTGACCATCAGTCTGTGGATGATACGCAGTGGAGAGATTTAGTCTTATACCAAGACTAGCAGTAAGATCTTTCCAGAACTTCGATGTAAACTTCGCTCCTCTATCCGAAACTATACTTTCTGGCAGTCCGTGCTGAGCCACCACATGTTCAATTACCAAATCAGCTAACCCCCCAGCTGTGAGGTTCGTCGTCGTTGGTAGGAACATCGTCCATTTCGTCAACCGGTCGACTATAACCAAAATCGAGTTGAAACCATCTGACTCAGGAAGTTCTTCAACGAAGTCCATCGAAATACTAGACCAGGGCTTCTCCGCTACTTCCAATGTCTTCAGCGTTCCTAGAGGTTTCTGTCTGTTCGCTTTAGCTCTCTGGCAAACCACACAACCCCCAACGTAGTCTTCAACATCCTTCCTAACTCCATTCCAGATGTAATCCCTAAGTACCAATTCTAACGTCTTCGTGACCCCAGGATGACCGGCCAATACCGAGTCATGCCTGGATTTCAAAATCTTCACTCGCATCTCTTCGATATTCGGAACATATACTCGTCCGTCAAACCGTAGAAAACTGTCACGAAGTGACAAGACAGTTTGATAGTGATAGTGATAGGATGGGTTGGGTATTTAACCAGCGACCGGCGGTATGCAGTAACCGCCGGTTAATAGGCCTTTTAGCACAGTGGTTTAGACCGCTGCCTCTGAAGGGCACTGTTATATCGTCCCAATGCTGGTTAGTTGGTCTCGTGACAGATTAACCGGCGGTTACGGGTAGGATCCTGGGTTCGACTCCCAGGGTGGGCTGGGTCGTGCTCAGTCCCTACTTGGAAAACCTCCCTCTCGGAGAAAGTTTTCGGCCTATCGTGCCCATCCCTGTTGGGGCCCCAGATGGGGCTGAAAGGGAAGGCATAATGTCACGAAGTGACAAGACAGTTTGATAGTGATAGTGATAGGATGGGTTGGGTATTTAACCAGCGACCGGCGGTATGCAGTAACCGCCGGTTAATAGGCCTTTTAGCACAGTGGTTTAGACCGCTGCCTCTGAAGGGCACTGTTATATCGTCCCAATGCTGGTTAGTTGGTCTCGTGACAAAAACCTCTTACCGACCACGACGGATTCACGAACATCCCATGTCGCGATCGTCGTCGAAATTCTTCAACTTGCCTTGGCTCCTGACGGTCAGCTCTACATTCGGGGTGAAAACACTCATCGCAGATGACTGCTAACATCCCTTCCCGAACTTCGTTTATCTCGTCATCAACTTCGTATCCTTTGACAATGTCCTCGCCTTCGATCCGATCTTCCTCCCTAACTTCTTTCGTCCCTTGCAAAGCCCGGAGCATGTGTCCCAGGCTTGATTCAGTAACATCTTCCGAGTCGAACTTCGGCAGCCCTTGGACGAAGTTCTCCTCTTGTTCCGTCGTTATTCCTTTTATCCCGGGATGATAGTCCGGTCGTCTTGACAAAGCATCTGGCAGCGTCGCTTGCTTCCCGGGACGGTAAATCATCGTAAATCTGAAGTTAGCCAGTTCTTCTACCCACCTACCTTGTCTAGGATTCAATTGCTTTGGAGCCATCCAATATGTCAGATTAAGATGGTCTGTCAAGACCTTCGTTTCTACCTGTAGTAATAAGTGTCTCTTCCTCCTGAAACCTTCGACTATTGCTAACAACTCCTTTTCCCCCGTGGTGTAATTCAACTCAGCACCCTTAAAAGCTCCCGATTCTATAGCCACAGGGTGTTCCCTACCTTCTTTATCAACCTGTGAGATAATATATCCCCATCCAAAGAACGAGGCATCTGCCTGCATAATCGTTTTCAAGGAGGTGTCGAAATGAGCTAGTACTGGAGCTTCACATAACTTCTTCTTCAGCACTCTGAACGCCTCCTCTTGCTCAGTTCCCCATATGAAGCTTACATCCTTGCGAGTAAGGTCGTTCAGAGGCTTCGCAAGTTTTGAGAAGTTCGGGACGAATCTTCGGTAGTAGCTGACCATTCCCATGAACCCTCGGGATTCTCGTAAGTTCTTGGGTCGAGGAAAATCCTGTACAGCAGCAACGTATTCTGGGTTTGCCGAAATGCCTGATTTTGAAATTAAGTACCCGAGAAACACCACCGAAGTTCGTTCGAACTCACACTTAGCCGCCTTCACAAATAATTTAGCTTCCCTAAGTCTTTGAAATACCTTTATCGTACATCTTCTAAGTTCATCCTTAGTCTTAGCATAAATCAGAATGTCGTCGATGTAGACTATAACCCCTTCCCCAAGCAAATCCCTAAAGATGTCGTTCACGAAGTGCTGAAAAACAGCAGGCGCATTTCGCAGACCATCCCTAACTACTAACGATTCGTACATTCCGTATTGTGTACGAAAGGCCGTCAGATATTCGTACCCTTCTGCGATTCGTAACAACTGATACGCCCCCATCAAATCAAGTTTCGTGAAATAGTTTGCTGTACCTAATTCTTCAGTGATTTGACTGATCAATGGAAGGGGATAAACGTCTGGAATGGTGACTTCGTTTAACTTCCTATAATCCGTTACCATCCGCCACTGTCCCTTTACCTTTTTGGGAACCATGAACATAGGTGACCCATACGGCGAGTTACTCTTGCGAATTCTACCAGCCGCTACCTCCTTATCCAGAATCTCCCTCAACGCTTTTCTCTGATCTTCAGCTAACGAGTACAGTGGGGCCACCTTTAATTTCGCCCCCTCCACTAGGTCCAGTCTCAAATCATAACTTCGGTTTGGAGGTAACGTCTCTCCTCCTACCTTAGGGTTAAAGATATCCAAGAAGCCCTGGTACTCAGAAGGTACCAACTCCAACAGTTCTTCTTGTTCTTCCTCACTAAGTTCGTCTTCCAACGCCGAGTCTCTAGGCCCTAAAACTTCTCCTTCCTTGAATCCAAAAACTGCTCCTAATTTCCTCTCCTCTCTTCTCTGTCTACCCGGGATCTTTATTACCTCTCTCCTAACATCCAGGACCACTCCCGCCTTCTTCATCCATTCCCACCCTATCACCACATCCACATCACACAACTTCGTGACATCCAAGCGAATCACACGAACTTCGTCCTCATCTGACACGCGAATCCCTGTTTCAACGAACTTCGTGATGGGGCCTCCGATACTTTCTGAACCATCGAACATACGTACAGGTACTTCCTCTGGGTATCTCATAACTTCCAATCCTAACTCCTCCACTGTTTTTGGGTTTATATATGAACTAGTCGCTCCTGAATCCCATAAGGCAACCACCTGGGCCCCTTTTACGTTGATTTTTGTTTTCGGTTGTCTCGTATTAGTGATGGGTATCGTAATGAAATGTCCGTCTTCGTATACACATGGTTCTGCTACTGTCAGCTCTTTCCTGTTGATATCAGAAGGAACAATAGCAGAGAGGACAGAGAAATGGACCCGCCGACGTTCTCTCAAACCGACGGGTCCAGGCCTTTTCCCTCATCCACATCTTCTCCCGCGACCGCATTCATCTGCCTTGGCTCCCTCACAGCCACTGCATTTCCTCCTGTTCCCCTACTCCTTGAACTCTTCCACATCTCCGGAGGATTCATCTTTCCTAGAGCTACCTTAGCCGCTACTAGAGGACAATCTTTCACATAGTGTCCCTGGCCTCCACACTCCAAGCACGCTCGTTCGGCCCTCCACTTTTCCCTCTGGTCGAAACTAGGCCTAGGGGTAAGAGGATCCCCTTGCTTCCAACCCTGTGATCCTGTCACTAAATTACTCCGAGAAGGAGGAGGAGCCGACACCGAGCCAGGATTCTTCGCGAGTGTCGTCGATAACTTCGCCGTCGATGGTACAAAGTTAGACACTCTTCCCCAGTTTGTTTTCTGTCCGTTAGCCTGTCTCTCCACCCAACGCTCGCTCATCCTATTATCCAGTTTGATCACCACTGCCTTCAGTTCTTCCATAGTCCCAATCTCCTCTCTCCGGGAAAGCTCGTCCTTCATAACTTCGTCCAGCCCGTTAATAGCCTGAGCCACTAACATCTCCTCCTCACTCCACCCTAATATAGCAATATACTTTTGGAATTCAGCGAAATACGCTGATGCTTTCCCTTGCTTCTGTTTCAACTCTCTCAGCCCCCGAATAGCCGTACCCCTCTCATCTGGATCACCGAAGTTCTTCTTCATCCAAATAGCGAACTCAGAGCGTTTTGAGAGGAAAGGAGGAAGAGGAGTAGAAAGTAGATGAGGCTGCACCGCCAGCAGTGCAACCCCTCGTAAGAACCCTACCATCCACAACACACTCTGCTCCTCACTCTCAAACCTATCCTTCATCACGCTCAATGCCAACGAACACTGAGTCAAGAACCCAGTGAGCTTCTCTCTTGACCCATCGAACTCGTCAGGATCCTTCGGTTTCGGCGCTCGAGCTGACGAAGTTGTCGCCGATTCTTCTCTAGTTCCCCGCTGTCCTCGACGAAGTTCCTGTACTATCTCTGTCAAAGCCTCACTCTTCTGGTTGTCAGCCGTCTTCAACTCCTTTAAAGCCCTCATCATTTCCACCAACATCCCATCCCTAACATCCTCTTTAAACCTCTCCGGTGAATTTCTTCCCCTCGGCCGCGATGTATACGAACTTCTTCCACCCGTCGACCCCCCATCTTCTTCCTCTAACCTTCTCCCTTGATCATCCCCTCCAACCCATGGGTCGTCCAAGTACGCGTCAGAAGGTGGTTGGGAGAGAAAAGACGAATCCCTAGAACCTCGAGGTTCTAGGTTACCTTGATTATCTCCTTGTTCGTTCCTCGACATTGCTTCAGCCGTTCTCCTTTCTCTTTCCTTTCCTCTAGTCCACATATATCTTCCCACGAGTTACTGGAGAGTCGGTAAGGACGATCTCTGGTACTGTCACAAGGTTGCTTCTTCCTTAACTTCTTAGGACCGACGGCCAATAACTTCGTGGGCTTCGACCTTCACCAACTTTGTTGCTCGAGATATGAAATAGGTGACAATAGCTTCTGGGTGTAATACCTTCGTGCTTAACTAACTTCTATCACTAAGACAACAACCAGAGATCGTCAAAGATCTCTGGGAACTTCGGCCCTTAAGTACTTCGTCCTTCCCTAACTTCGTCAACGCAGAACTTCGTTCAACCCGACGTCCCGAGCTTCGTACCTTGCGAACTTCGTCCCCGACGAAGTTCGTGCCTTCCTAACTTCGTATCCTCCTAACTTCGTATCTCCCTAACTTCGTATCTTCCTAACTTTGTATCCCCCTAAGTTCCTACATGACTAACTTCGTCCTCGACGAAGTTAGCCTCCTAATACCCTCGTGGGTGGTGAAGTTCATGCGAACTGGGTCGTTGATGGCGAACTGATGTCCAAAGGAACTTCGTTTGATGGGAAAAGGATAATGTCACGCGGCGCCGTGTGACACAAAGTTAGCCGCAGTTCATCAGCAATCATCTTGTTGTTTATCACTCCAACATATTACTATGGTGTTGTCACAAGGACCAACTGAACAGCATTGGCTCAATATAACAGGGCCAATTGGGTCAGTGATCCAAACCCCTGTGACAAAAAGGCCTATTATTTGGAGGTCAACTCTACCACCAATCGCTGGTCAATGTCAGGAGTTGTTGTGACATGAAGATTAAGCTAAGGTATGGAAGCAAGGTTAAGAAAGGATGACGGGTATGAAACCAGTGATTGGTGATTGTAGACATCGCTGGTAGATACAGCTTTTTGTTCAGTGGGAACAGAGGATACTGTTATACAGTCGGACACTGGGTAGTCATGGTTCATGACAGTGAAATACCCTTCCCTGACCTTTGCTCAACTTGTCACATCCTTTGTGACAGGCGAAATCAGCCATAGTTCCCCAACGAGCACCCTGTCTCTGTCAGACATCGACACCCTAGAACAACATGAATAGTCGAGGTTTGTTGACTGTTGTTCAGCTGAGAAGAGAAGAAACGATTTTTGTGACACTGTGCACAACGGGAAAAAAGGGATGGTGTTCACTAATCAATCCTATTCCATAGAATATATACCAATCTCGAGGGTGTGCCAAACACTTTTGACACCCTCTGCAGGTGACCAAAGTTGTTGTATTCAAACTGTTGATGGTAAATGAAGGTCAAAGGACCTTCACGTGATGGGAGGAAGTTGGTGTTACACAGCAGCTTGTTGTGTCCACAGACTGGGGGTCCAAGATTTGGGGTTACAGGAGAAGTGTTCGTAGGTTATGTATGACAACACTCGACTCCCAGGCCAAAATAATATGTGCTCAAGTGTCTACTTGACACCACCACCATACACCGTCACCTACAGGATTTGAACCTGTGCGCGTTTCCGCAGCAGATATCTTTGAAAAATTCAAGTCTGCCTCCTTAACCACTCGGACAAAGTGACATGGCCTTGTGAAGGTGCTTGTTTGCAAAGTGCTAGTATTTGGTCCGATTCGTATTTGCACCCGGTCACAGCGGTCTCAGCGTCTACGCTCCCAGCTCATACTGCGTGAGGCCCAAATTGCACACATCGATCCAAACTGCGTTCATCTCTTCGGAATGGCATGTGAAAACCGCAATCTCAAGACCATGAGTGGCCACGTGTGAGAAACGAATTGCGGGTACCGGCTCATCCTGACGGACGCGCAGGTTCGAATCCTGCTTGCGTCGTGGACTATGCAAGAATGAATTTGGGCAAAGTCGATAAATCCCTCCATTGATATGTATCTAATGTACTTCACCATAATCCCAATCCGTGCAAAGGCAACTACCTTTCAGGCCTTTCATCCCAAGTTGTCTGTCCTCCACTCAAGCACGTGTTTCGGATATCGGGTGGCAATCCGGTACCTCGATCTCATTTGGTCAATGACATCGCGTTTCGCTTCATCACTTTTACTTACTTAGCTGGGTTTTTATTTGATATTCATTTACGCCCTGTTTGGCCAAGGGAAACCCAAACGAGTAAAGGAGCTTGCCCTTTCGTTAACCCCGACTTCTGTCCCAAACATATATAACATCATACACCCCCTTCCCCTCTCTTCACCTGCCGAGTCGACCCTCATCACACCAACTCTCACAATGTCCAGACAACCAGAAAGAAGATTATCGAACCCTCCCGAACTGCTGACGATGGATTATCCAGCCAGTGCGGCACATGCCATTGTCAAACATGGGAAATATATCGTTCTGGGAGGTCTGGGATGTTGGTGGACTGATATGTATGGAGTGGGAAAGAGGGTTTGGGAAGAGGAACGATGGATGAAGTGAGTGTTTCTTCCTTGTTTTTAGCTCTTTCTCATTCTCGTCCTCATCTTGATCTTATACTCACTATTATCACCTCTCGACTTTTTGAGTAACTTTGACATTGCAATGAAGACGAGTTTAGGTACCCAGTAGATGCAACTTAGACTCGGGGCTCAAGTTTGGGAAACTTGACCCCGCCTTGCTCCCTCTCAGATGGGAGAGACGAGTGAGCGATGAACGGGATGAATCAGGAGTTCACCTTTATCCTTCAAGTGGTCATGAGTACTTTGAGGTTCAGCGGAACAAAATTGCTGAGGTTGATATTGATTTTACAGATCAGTCTTAGGGCTTGCTATGATCCTTCACGCACTCACAATAGTACGTTTACATCCTATTAGTCGTCACGCGCTGAACTAGTAGACTATATTTCTCTATCTAGTCTTGTTCCTTCCCTACATCCGAGGATATATTCCTAATGTGAGTCTCTTGCTTCCCCTTGCCCTTCATACACAACACTACTCTTACAATCGGCTGTTCACCCTCGCTCATCCTGTGCCTTCGATCTTCACACAAACGATGGACTCGGATCTCACCCCTTACATGAATTATTCTTGGCGCAAACCACAAAATTCCTTTTCATCTGACCAGTCACAACACCCAATCGGGTCCGGAATCTTCACTTCTTATTGACTGCAAGGGATCTGAAGATCACTTCACGCAGACGGCTGGCGGGTGTGAATATGGAGGACCACAAGCTAATAGTTAGTATCCCGAATGGCAAAAATCTACCCGTCTCCGTTTTCTCGTCCCCGTACGTCTCCTCTACGTATCTTTGCAAAATCTGACCACCAGACCCTCACCTCCTCCATTTTCGTAGGCTGGTGTAGCTTCGTACTAGCTCTGACTCAGGGAGGGGACGGTCTGAGCGGAAGAAGACATATGGGAATGATCAGTGCCATGGCAGGTTGTGAGTCTTACTTCCTCATCATATTCTCAAAGTGACTGACCCCGCAGCAACAGCGTTCTTCGCATTCACTCTGGGTTGTTTAGGGATGATACCGTCCCCACGGGGTGTTCCCATCCGGAGGAAGACACCTTGAGTTGTTGTACATAATAGTCACAGTATGAAATGCATGTCTCATTAGACCTTAAGCGTTCAGTGATTGAAGAGAGGAATTGGGGTTTGAATGACAGAGAGAAAGACAAGCATGGCAGATGAAAAGGTCATAGTTCGGTACCTTTCATAGCTAATTGTGGTGCTGGACCTTCCAGAGGTGCCCTGTAGATCAGACGCGGCCGGATTATCAGGAGACGAAATGTGGATGAGAGCAGAAAACTCACTCTTCTTTTGCTTCTTTCTCTTCCTTGTCTTTCCTCTTCTTGTCAAGAGTTTTTTCGATATACTGGTCCATCTCATCGCCCGAGTCGCTGCTTGTCAGTGAATGTCAAAGTGGCTGCTAACCCCCGAAGAAAAGCTCATGACTGGACCGGGGGTGCATTTCGATTGTGAGGGATAAGTGAATGAAAGAGACAACTCACAAAGGTCTCGGACCCAGTAACGTCCTCATGTCTTCCCTCGTGATGACCTCTTTCTCCAGTAATAACCTCGCAACCTTCTCGACCTCTGTCTTGTGCTTTGTCAAAAGGTCAGTCGTCCGTTTATGTGCCTCGAGCACCATCTTCCTCACTGCATGGTCTAAAGCCTGTGCCGTCGCTTCCGAAAAGGGTTTTTGAAACCCACCCTCTCCTCTCTGTTCATTGTTCCCATAACTGATCGGTCCGATATCGGGGTTCATACCGTAATTCGCGCAAACTTCAAATGCCATCTTGGTAATCTTCTGCAAATCATCCTGCGCTCCAGTGGTGATACTACCGAAGAAAATCTCCTCTGACACACGACCACCCAGTGTCATGCACATTCGATCGAGAAGTTGTTGTGTGGAAAAGAGGAATCGTTCTTTCGGAAGGTATTGTGCGTATCCGAGAGCGCCTACACCTCGTGGGATTATAGACACCTTGAGAAGGGGATCCGCAAACTCGAGGAACCATCCGCACACTGCATGACCGGCTTCGTGATAAGCGACAGTACGTTTTTCGTCTTTACCCAAGACTCTGGATTTCCGTTCAAGACCAGCGATGACACGTTCGATAGCACCATCGAAATCGGCTTCCGTCACTGCATCTCCTCCACGACGAGCTGCTCGCAAAGCAGACTCGTTGCATACATTTGCAATGTCTGCACCGGAGAATCCGGGAGTCAATAGAGCTAGCTTCTCGGCGATACTCTCGAGCGTGAGTTCCGGAGCAAGGATCAACGGTGCTAGGTGGACTTGGAAAATCTGTCGTCGACCGCCAATATCGGGTCGATCGATAGCGATATGTCTGTCGAAACGTCCAGGACGCATGAGAGCGGAATCAAGTACATCAGGTCGATTGGTACCTGCCAGCACCACAACATGCTCGTTTGTGCCGAACCCGTCCATCTCGACAAGAAGTTGGTTGAGAGTGGATTCTCTCTCATCGTTACCTCCAAAACTTCCACCCTTTCCTCGAGACTTCCCGATAGCGTCTATTTCATCGACGAAGATGATGCAGGGAGCATTTTTCTTGGCATTGGCGAACAGATCTCGTACTCTTGAAGGACCGACACCGACGAACATTTCCACAAACTCTGATCCGGACACGCTGAGGAAGGGAACGCCAGCTTCGCCCGCAGTGGCTTTGGCAAGGAGTGTTTTACCTGTCCCAGGTGGACCTGACAAGATTGCACCACGCGGTATTTTGGCTCCGAGTCGCTCGTACTTCTCAGGCTCCTTGAGGAACTTGACAAACTCCATGATCTCTTCCTTGGCCTCGTCCATACCTGCCACATCCTTGAAACGGATGGCTACAGCTTCATCTTTGTTGAACAGCTTTGCTTTGCTCTTTCCAACGCCGAAAATCCCCCCGGGTCCACCGCCACTACCCATCATTGATCCGCCTCTCCGTAATAGCCATATCAGGAGTGCTCCCGTGAGTACCGTAGGAGCGAGGTTCATCAGTACTTGAAACTTGTTCACTTCCTCGCGATATGATACTGGGATACGCTCGGCGGGTGGGATGCCAAGTTCATCTTGTGTTTGGATTAGCAGCGATTCGAAAGCTTCCAGAGAACCGATGGTGAATTGGTAAGGGGCCGGACCGTGAGGAGGGGAGGGTAGTGAGGGTGTACTTGTCGAGGACGGGGATGGTTGGGAAGGCTGAATAGGGTTATGCAAGTGTACTCGAACTGTACTCCGATTGATCACTTCAAGCGAAGCAACCAAACCGCGGGCCAGCAAAGAATTTCGGCTTCGAATCAGCCTTCATTCCTCAATAGTAGAAAAAAGCCGTCTTCTACGGGTGGATTTTACTCACAATTCTTGCCATGTTATTTCACGTGTCCGTTCGCTTGGCTGAGAGAGGGAGTACATGGCCATTGTACTGTATGGTCAGTAGTTTGTAAGCTAAGACGACTTGGCACTCACGCTGTCACCGCGAGAAGCAGCTGATTGATACTCATGCCCGGTCCACTGCCACCACTACCACTCTTACCTGAGTCTCCTCCACCACTATCACCTCCAGTTGCCGTCCTCTTTCCTGCATTTCCAGCAAAATCGCTCAACTTGGGTCTCCTAGGAGGCTTCTCCTCGCCACTGACCCCAGGTCGTTCGGGTCCTTCCTTCCCGCGCCCTTCCACATCTGGTGTTTTCGGTTCAGAAGGTCCCGATGGCGGTTCAAGTCCGGGTGATTTGGGTGCGACAGTCGTTCCTTCCTTGGACCCGCCGAAGATCGATTCGAGACCGGGTGGGGGAGGAGGATTCCGAGACGGCCGAGGAGATTGGGAGGGAGTGGCATATGATCGGGAGAGAAGAAGCGGACGAAACGAGCGACTGGTACGGGGAAATCTGAATGCTAATCGTATTGACATGGCGAGAATGAGATACGAATGCGGAGGGGATGAGATAATGGATGGGAAAAGAAGATGTGCAAGAGGAGAAAGATGAGAAAGATGAGCGAAATGAAAGAGAGAAGAACAGTGACGAATCTCGATGCCGGCCCGACGGCGTTTCGCCACCCAACCAAATCCCCGGTTAGTTAAACGTCATACTATCTATATATTCTAGCACGTCTCTTAAGGTAGATGGTGTGTGGGCAGCATGCCCTTGGCATATCATTGTGAGCTGGTAGTAGGACGCTGAAAGTCGTCCATACAATGACAGGATACTATGCACACTCTGAAACCAATCCACCAGCCAAGAGGGGAGGAATTGTTGATGGTACCGCCACCACGAGTCGTATGTAGATATTACCGAGAAACTCCGCGAGACTCAACTCGTGAGATCTCTCTCTCTTTTATGCATCCTCTCTCGTCTCACCAACCAACAGATTAACAGTCGGACTCTATCACTGTTGCTGTATAGGAGTCAATCATCTATCACTGTGGAACTGGTGAGCGACATTGCATCAACCGGTCCACTGAACGCTTCCGGTGAAGCAGTGATAGGTGGTGGGCCGAGGGGGGATCACGCGTAACATACGGGTTATCGGTACCCACCAAACCACGGTTTATCAACTCGATAGAACCGTCATCGACGATCGACGATCGATTATCGATTGCGCATATTATCGACTATCAATTATCGACTACCGACTATCGTGTTTATCGATAGGAGGGGATATTAAGAGAGCGTACAGTACTGAGTTAGTACTGGTACGGTAGGATCTAGACGGAAGGAGAATAGAGAAGAAGAGACGGGAAAGTGTTATTGGTTGGATATTAGGGAGCGAAGGACAGTTGTCAGTTTACTGCAACGGAGACGTCTTTGAGACGCATACTTACGGGCTTGCCGGTAGAAGGAAATCCAGTCCAACCTGGTGGCGGTTACTACGCTGTAGTACTTGCCTAGCGCACGATAAGTCTTTCTTGAGAGTCTATTTTTGATCTAGGAGACGAAGCTCACGTACATCAAAATGAGCGAATACACGGGAACCACACTTGATACCATTCCCATTCTTTCCAGTGCCCACGGCTACTATGCGTGGAGTACACAAGCCCGACTTCACCTCACCATTGTCGGCTGCATTGGCATCATAGAAGGTACCGACCATGAACCATATCGTGCTTTCTCGGTCGCAAGGTACATGAGGGCGGGGTCTATGCCGCCCAGGGAGGATGAGATGGATAGTCCCAGGATATTGGGGACAGACGAGATGAAGAGGTGGGAGGAATGGAGAAAGAGGGAGCTTAAGGCCCAGGGCGTCATCCAAGCCAGAGTGGATAGGGGACTTTTGATGGAGATTCAAGAGTTATCTACGGCAAAGGAGATGTGGGATTGGCTGGAGAACGACATGAAGATAAGTACTCCTCAACATCGTTCAGCCATAGAAAGAAAGCTTCGTACCTTATTCCTTCCCTCCAATTCCTCAGTCGACAGTCTCGTTAAACATCTCACCACATTCAACTCCTTATTCTTTGAAGCCAAGCACGCTGGCTGCGAGCTCTCAGACAACACTCGTGTTCAACTATTCCTTGATTCTCTCACCCGCGCAACCGACTTTGACATTGCTCTTCGTATCTTCCAACAACAACCCGGCTACCTTCAATCATGGGATGGTGTTAGGAAGATGTACCAAGGGGAGATTGCTCGAAGGGACGCAAGGGGTGAAGGTGACATAGTTGGAGAGGTGAATGCGGCGATGCAGAAGGTTTCCCTGGAGCATGGTGCAAAGGGGAAGGGAAGACCTGGGTTTAAGGGAAAGAAGGGACGTGTGGGTGGTAAAGATAGTAGGGTTAAAGGTGATAAGGAAGGACCTAAGTGTTGGAACTGTGGGCAAGGTGGACATATGAAGAAAGATTGTCCAAGGAAGGAGGATGAAGACGAGGGAAAGGTGAAGCGTAAAGGGAAGTGGGAAAGACACGCTGGAGAAGCAAGATTGGAAGACTTTGAAATAGGAGCTATCGGCAAAGACAATTTGTCGACACCTTCTTCCATTCCTGAATTCCTTATCGATAGCGGATGCACCCACCATGTCTCCCCTTACATTCATCTGTTCACTAATCTCAAGAAACTTACCTCACCTGCTCACTTCTCAGTTCCTAACGGTGGTAAAATGGTTGCTTCCTATACCGGTGATATTGTCTTACGTCTTCACAATGGAAGAGGAATCAAACTTCAAGACGTATTTTATCAACCCTCAGCAACAAGGAACTATCTTTCAGCGTATACCCTGATAGATAAGGGGTGGAAAGTCGACCTCCATGACATGGTTCTGTCAAGAAACGGCTTGGTCATCAAGGGCGAGAGAAGGGGGAATTTCCTGTTCGTCCAGATGGGGATCGTTCACCACAATCCATCTCCACCAGAAGGCTTTGAAATACCTCAAGTAAATGAAATTGAAGCTAGAACAAGTCTTCTGGAAGAGGAACATAAACGACTAGGACACATTGGTCGTGAGAAACTCCTGAAGCTAGCAGGTGATGGACTGCTACGTTATTCAAGGGAGCAGCTGGAACAGGATACGTTCAGGCTGGAGGAATGCGATGCTTGTCAAGCTCGCAGGGCAACAAGGTTACCCAAGGGGAAAGAAAGTCCCAGGGGGAAGGCAGATGCAGAGACGGTTCATGTCGATCTGGCCGGTCCTTTTGACCCATCCATTGGGGGAAATCGTCATTACTTGGCGATGATAGATGACTATTCAAGAATAGCATCTGTAATACCTCTGCCTAACAAGCAGAACGTATTGGTTCACCTGAAAGGTTTTGTCAACAAGTTGGAAAGACAGACAGGAGGGAAGGTACGGTTTATTAGAAGTGATGGTGGATTGGAATTTGCCAGTGGGCCAGCGGGTGCTTGGTACCATGAGACGGGAATTATCCATCAAGTTACTCCTAGGTACACTCCTGAGCTGAATGGAGTAGTGGAAAGGTTCAATAGAACTCTCAAAGAGATGACTGGAGCTATGTTGGCGTCAGCCAATTTGAACAACAACTACTGGGATTGGGCGGTGAAATACGCCTGTTATCTTTTCATGAAGACAACCAGAGGTGAAGATGGTATCAATGCGTGGATGAAGTACACGGGTAGAGACCCAAATCTGAAGAACGCTTTGATGTTTGGGGAACTGGTGTTTGTTCAGATCCCTGGAGAGGTACGAGGAAAGTCAAGGTTAGATATTGACAAGGGAGAATTGGGAAGAGTCGTAGGAATGGATCCAGCAAAGAGCGGATGGTGTGTGAGGATGGAGAGTGATGGAAAGATGCTTTTCAGCAGGGACGTTAAGAGTGCTTCAGGTCACCCCTTAACTCCAGAGAAGACGATCACACCCATTACTCCTCCTACAGTACCTGTTCCCAATCCTCCTGCTCGTCCTATTACAACTTTACCGGCAACACTTCCTTCCTCAGGAATGATACCTCCTGTACGACCGGCTCAGGTCGTGACTGAACCTCTGGAAGAAGAACCAGAATCAGTGAGTGTGAGGGAGAACAGTGGAGCAACAGAGCAGAGGTATGACAACGGTGTGGAAGGACAGAGGGAGACAGGGAATGACGTTCAAGTTACTCAAGAACCAACGATTCCCACGGCAGATCCTCTTCCAACACCTGATCCTCCTGCTCCTACGATTACACCTGCACCAGCTCCTCCCCCACCTGTACTTCGAACTCGACGTAGTGCTCGAATTGCTGGTGAAGTACCATATCAAGCAAACCTTGTGGAGAAATGGTATAGCAATACAACAAGAGCATCTGCTATGGCGTCAGAGATGGGTATGGAAGAAGCAAATTCGTCACCGTCTGATGGACCACAGACTGCTAGAGAAGCTTTGACTAGCAAGGATAAAGACGACTGGAAGAAAGCTATGCTCCGGGAACTTGACAATATTGAGTCAAAAGGAACATGGGAAGAAGCTTTTCTTCCACCAGGTCGTAAAGCTATAGCGTCAAGATGGGTCTTCAACATCAAGAGAGACGCTGATGGTCAAATCGTCAAACACAAGGCAAGAGTCGTAGCAAAAGGTTTCTCTCAACAACCTGGAATTGATTATGAACAAACGTATGCTCCAGTGAGTAGGATGACAAGTCTTCGACTACTTCTCACAATTGCTGCTACATTTGATCTGGAACTACGACAAGCCGATGTTGAGGGAGCTTATCTCAATGGTGTACTTGACGAGGAGATCTACATGGAACACCCTGAAGCCATGGTACGACAACGCAGTGGGACAGTACTGCGATTGAAGAAGTCGTTGTATGGGTTGAAACAGTCAGCCAGGGTATGGTGGTTGGAACTTGGGAAAGCGTTAGAGGAACAGGGTTTCAGAAGGACTGAGGGAGACTGGGGAATGTACGTCCGACCAGCAGGAAAATTTGGTGGACTGGTGATACTCCTGGCGTATGTGGATGACTTGGTCATAACTGCGCAGACAAATAAGGAGATTGATGGGGTAATGGAGAAGCTGAAGAGGAAATGGGTAATGACAGAAATGGGAGAAATGAAGCAGATTCTTGGTCTCAAGGTTACACGAGATCGTTCAAAAAGAAGAATCCATCTTTCTCAACCAGCGTACATCGATAAAGTCGCTTCTCGATTTCCAGGTCATTCACAACATCGTCCAATGACAGCTCCTCTCCCCACTCAACATCACGATGAACCAGCAGTCAGTGAAACTGATGAACTTGCACCTCTTTCCCCTTTCCAAGCCGCCATTGGAAGCTTGATGTGGACATCGGCATGTACTCGGCCGGACATCAGCTTTGCTACAAACTTTCTAGCACGGTTCAGTGCTGCTCCCCTAGAAACACATTGGCAACTTGCTTTACGAATAGTTGCTTATCTTCTCAAGACACGAGAATATGGTCTAGTTCTTGGTGGAGAAGTGGGAAAAGGATTAGAAGGTTGGGTAGACGCGGACTTTGCAGGGTGCAAAGTGACAAGACGGTCTACTACGGGATATATCTTCAAGCTCTGTGATTCAGTGATCAGTTGGATGTCAAAACGACAAGGTTCAGTCACTACGTCAACATTAGAAGCAGAGTATGTGGCTATGGCTGAAGCAGCGAAGGAAGCAAGATGGTTATCTGGGCTTGTGGAGGAATTGGTTAATTTAAAGGGAACGGTTACTCTGAATTGTGACAACAAGGGAGCTTTAGCGCTGGCTAATAACCCAGGTGTTCATACTCGAACGAAACACATTGAGTATCGACATCATTTCATTCGAGAACAAGTGTCAAACGGTCAAATTCAACTTGTATACGTCCCAACAAATGATCAACAAGCAGATATTCTCACCAAAGCTTTACCGGGTAAACGTCATTTGAAGAATATGGAAGATCTAAGGATAGAGGATAAAAGAGAAGGAACGAGAGGTAGTAAAGGGAGTTTAAAGGTTAGGACAGTGGAGAAGCCGTCTTAGGTAGTGAGCAGTGACTCAGTGATGACGGCAGAGGGAGTGTTGATGGTACCGCCACCACGAGTCGTATGTAGATATTACCGAGAAACTCCGCGAGTGTCATGACCGGGTAGCGAGCCCGCGATCATAAACCGTCCTAAAAGGCTCAATATCAACTCTGCTAGTGAGAGTTGATCTCGCTATAAGTACTGGTCGTGACACATTCCCCCCCTTCAGGGAAGCTGGCGTCTCGACAGCACTTCTGAACCCCAAACCCCGGCAGGCCTTCCCCTGAAGCCTGTGGGTTTGCAAGTCAGGTACCCTCGACAGGTATTCACTGTCACGGCCGTCGAACAACTACTTCTTAATAGACCGACGGTCGACGAACCTCGGCTAACTTCACGCTCTGAGTCGATGTCTCACCCAACCAGGAGGGCGCAGACGTCGAAAGGGGTGTAACTACGGCGTACTTCGGCGTAGTTACTCTAACTAGGGTTTTGATCTACTGATGGCGATGTATCTTGATTTATAGCTATCTCTATCTGTCTTTTACTACTGACAACAATCAAGGATCGCTGAAGAACTTCAGCGATCTTCTCAGCTAATATTATCTACTCCTCCTAGACGTTCATCCAACCCTCTCGCGCTTTGACGTACTTCAACGCACTTCGTCCAACTTCCCCGAGCCCTCGGCCATCCTCTTCCTCCTTCGACTAACTCCGCCTAACATCGCCGCACTTCTGCTCCCATTGTCCCTACTTAGCCTAACTCCGTCTAACTTCGCCGTACTTCTGCTCCCATTGTCCCTACTTAGACTAACTCCGCCTAACATCGCCGCACTTCTGCTCCCATTGTCCCTACCTAGCCTAACTCCGTCTAACTTCGCCGTACTTGGTCTCAGAAGTCCTGAGTTACGTGTAGAGTAAAAAGGTTAAGACGTGATGGGGGTTTTGATGGTCAAAGGAGGGTCATTGTTGGTGGAATAATCGAGGTGTCACGACGTAGTTCGTGACATTCACGCTCTCGGAACTAGGAACTAGGATCGTGAGCGATTACACCTCTGTCGTGTCAAGAGAACTTAGCAGCGTAGTACCCCATTCTCTCCCTCCCCATGACCATCTTGAAACCTGAGCTCAGGGTGAAACCTGAGAAGGGGTGCTGACACCTGCAGCCAGCACACCCCACACATAAGGTGAGAGCCGTGAATCGAACGTCTGACCCGTTAGAGTTGATATTCTGTCATGACCGGGTAGCGAGCCCGCGATCATAAACCGTCCTAAAAGGCTCAATATCAACTCTGCTAGTGAGAGTTGATCTCGCTATAAGTACTGGTCGTGACAGCGAGACTCAACTCGTGAGATCTCTCTCTCTTTTATGCATCCTCTCTCGTCTCACCAACCAACAGGAATGCCAGTCGTATCGAATGTGGCAGTCGGAGTTGTGTGGCAAACCGGCGCAAGGGTCTGTCATCAAGAAAGGTAAATCATTGATGGCAGGAATGCATCGGACGTGGATAGGGATGTGGAGAACAACTGTTTGACCTCGGTACTACTTCCTATACTCAGATAATTCATTGGGAGAGGAGTATGATATATGACCTTCAACCCGGCTTCAGGTTTCAGGGTTGAGGGGAGGGACTCAACAATGAGACCGGTGGTAAGGAAATACACCCTGCGGTGCATTGCCCACACACAGGTAATTTCCTATCACATTCTTTCCGTCCTGATTTACACCGTTCGCAGTCCACTTCCGAGTGCACACCCGTAGGGGTGATCGCCCCCCGCCTAGTAAGCTGAGTGTCATGCCATGCTCCGGTGGTTGCACCCCGTTCGCCCTCCTGTCCAGCTCTTGCCCTTGGCCCAAACATACTCTCAACAGCTGTTTGCCAGTCAATCCGCCTTGAGGCTAAGGACGCTGTGGTGATGTCATCCTCCACTCCTTCCTGAGACAGCACGTCTATGCTGTACATCAGCAGAAGGGCTATCTCCGGAACATCAAGCGAAGACATCATTCGGGCAAGTTCCTCCCCTGTCAAATCTCTGATATTTGCAAAAAGGTTTCTGGACCTTACAGCATCAGTCTCAGTCGGATTGAGCAAGTGAGGATTGACCAAGCGAGAGCTATCCAATGAGCTCACACACCATCACTACTACTTGCGGGGGGCACTTACGCCTCTGTCAGGATTGGACCCTGATCATCTTGTGATGACGAAGTTGAAGCAAAACTCATATTTGTGAAGGATGGGAAGGAAGATACGAGTTTCAATGAGCTATTGGGGTAGACAGAAGGTTGTAAGATTGTCTCACCTCAACCTCAGACAAGAGGAAACGGTTAAAACTCCGACACGTATGCTTCTAATCCTTAGTCCGCAACTTCTAAGGAAAGGGGGAAAAGCAAGTTGAGTTTGGCTCACCCAAAGTAATAATCTTAGCTTTCCATTCAAAATTGAGTAAAGCTATTTCAACTCAAGGGGGGGCAGGGAAGAGAGAAGATCATAGCCAAATGACATCATTAAGGAAGCCAAATGACATCAATCAAAGCCAAATGACATCTATGGCCGATAATCAAGGGTGAGCAGTTGACGTGTTGGTATACGGCGTAGTTAGCCGTAGTCCCCTTGAGAAGCCTGTCTCTGTGAGACATTGGCGCCCTAGTGTGAGGTAGTCAGCCAAGATTTGTCAACCGTGAGTCAGCTGAGAGGAGAAGAAATGATGTTTGTGACATGTTGTGAAGAGCAGCAAAGGAGAAAGTGTAGAAGCAAAGAGTTCAAAACATGAAGGTGGTGGGAAGAATAAAAGTTGACTGAACATCTTCTATATCGGGTATGAAAACATTTCAGAATTGAGTATCACGGATGTAAGTGTTGATGAGAAGATCTCGACGCCGTATGGGTATCATATCAAAAAGCATTCGTTCTTCCGATAGCAGGATGCAAAAGGCGTCCATCTAATGACAGGATATACTGTACATACTGTAAGTACTACTCTGCGCTCTGGGACTGATCCATCGGCCGGCCGCCAAGAGAGAAGGAATGCCAGTCCTGGCGAATGTGGCACTCGAAGTTGCGTGGCGCATCAGTCGGTCGTGGCTAGGACCGTGAGAGCGACTAAGGGGAGGGAGGCTGTCTTCGGTCGTGACGTGACGATGTGGATAATCTACCGATCGAAGAGATGCATGGGACAATAACAATAGCTACCTCGCCTCGATGATTCCCCCTCTAGTCGTTCTCTCCATCGTGTGAGGGATGAAATATATCACTCTGGACCTAGCTTCGGGGTTCAGGGGAAGGACTACACAATGAGACGGGCGGGAGCGAAACACATCCCGCCCTACATGGTCCGCACACTGGCCGTCCCAGATCACATGTTCTTCTCAATTTCAAACATGGTTCACATTGTACTTGTGAATGGGTATCTTCGGCGCTCAACGGGCCCCACCTGGTGAGCTCTGTATCAACCTGTGGTACAGCTGCCAACAATGCTGTCCTAGGCAGCAGCTGAGTTTCTTCCACTTCTCCTCCCTCCCCAGATGTTTGTTCGAAGAAGGCGGTCGTGGTAGCTTGTTGCCAACCGTTTTCAATCATGTAGGAGTGAATAACGACAAAGTCGTCTTCCGTGACTTGAGAAAGATTCCGTGCGCCAGCTATCATCAAAAGAGCAGTCTGCACCGAAGTGAGGGAACGGAGGGAGTCCACAAGAACGGGCCCCGACAAGAGTAGCATCTCGTTATACCTGGACCTGAACAATTCAAGCTCATTCTGAATGCTTTTGATCAGCTTACAACCCAACCCATAGCAAGCCTATACTCACTTTATGATGTCGTCATCTTGCTCGGCACTTGTAGCAACATCCATCTTAGTCGCGGACAGGGAAGATGATATGAGTTTCAATTGGGTCCCGTTATAGATTAGATCTCACAAGATTATCTCGGTTTGGTTTCAGGCAAGAGGGAACGATTCAATCTCCAACACGTATATCTCATTCATGGCGCGCAACCTAGCAAGGAAGGGGAAGAAGACCAAGTGAAATTTAAGCTTACCCAAAGTGGTAATTGTATGCTTTCCACTCATTTGGGTTAAGACATTAGAAGGCTAATTTCTGACTTCAAGGGGGGAAAGGCTCAGAAGGGCAGAAATCAATGTGGATGACCTCATTGTGTAAGATCACCACATTAGGGAGACTAGAAAGTGTCAGAGCACATAGCATGAAGAGACAAGGGATTTGAATGATAAAGGCAGAATCAGAAATTTTGTGAACAATATGAGGAGGTTTGAGTTCTATTTTGCTAAACGTGTAGATTGATTAGGACCAAAGAAGAGAGAACGGGCTGATTGGTCCACGCAGGCGGTCATAGAGCTCAAATATGTTGATCATACTACAGAGAATAAAGAGACGGACCTAGGAGTCAGGAGTTCTAGAACGGAGAGGTGACCAACCACTTGAGACGAAGACTTCCTGATAAATAGGTGGCAAGTGATCTTCCTGATAGACATTCCCACATCCCCTTAGGACATGGGGGACCCACGGACAAGGTAATGGCTCATTTCATATTCACACCTCAAGGAAGAAGCGTGAACCATTCACTCCTACCAACTCAACAAATTAACGACTCATTTTTATTGCCTACATCATACGCCAAATCAACACGGGACCAGCATCAGCTCAATCTCAAGCAAGCGTAATGGGCACATACAAAGTTACTACCTTGGTGACAATTGGGCGGCTTAAGATTCTCCGGCTCATTACCATGAGAATGGTGGAACCTCAATACTTATCACCATCAAAACCTGCCTCATGAAGACAGCCGGATGACTTTGTTAGCTCGTCAAGATTTCATCCTTTCTTTGTTCCACTCCTGAATGCAGCTTTCAGAGTCAACAGGCGGCACAGTTGAGAGGCCCATTAATCTTGTCATCGTCGTGGCAAGGAATGTGTATGTTTCATCGAGGTTTCCCTTTGCTACAACGTCACTCAGGAGATCAAATTTGTAGAGACTTGGACTATCAGCAATCCGTATCATTCCACTGATAATAGCTGCAGTGTAGAGAGTTGGAGTTAACTCGTTCAAGATTTGGTCAATACTTTGGATGGGATGGCTTTGAAGACTTAGAAGACAATTTTGGTGAGTGTCACGAACCACATCGTAACATCCCTGACAACCACCATCACCGACCCTCCTTTCACCATCACCAACTACCACCAGAACCACTGAGACCGACTACGGCGAAGTTACGAGAACCAAGAGGGTATTTGTCACGATAACCCCGCCTTAGCGGAGAACTACGGCGAAGTTAGGGGAAGGGAACCGAGGGAGAGCAGAACAAGGGAAGTTAGGTGAAGTTAGTCGAAGTGAGCGGAGTAGGGCATCGGGGATATGGCGAGGTACGGCGAAGTTGAACGAAGAGGACTGAGCGTGGGGCAGTGCGAGAGTTGAGAGACGTTCTATGAGAAGAGAGGAGCAGTATAGATAGTTTACAGATCGCTGAACTTCTTCAGCGATCCTTGCTTGTTGTCAGTAGCGAGAGATATATTCAGTAGCTACAACCTTCGAGTTAAGGAGAGCTACCACCGAGCAGTTCAACGTACTACGGCGAAGTTAGCCGCAGTTCATCGACGATCATCTTATCATTTACCACTCGACGTATCACTACGGCGAAGTTAGCCATAGTTCCTCGACGAGTACCCTGTCCTAGTGAGACATCGACGCCCCACTACGACGTAGTTAGCCGAGGTTTGTCGACCGTCGGTCAGTAGAGGAGAAGAAACGACGATTGTGACAGTGAGTGTCAGAGTCCTCAATTTTTACAATTGACCCCAATTGGTGCGTGCAAACGTCGGAAGTTGATACCCATACAGTCTCCTGCCATACACCAAAGTTTGCATCAGACATCAAAGTATTGAGCATCTTCAAGCCAGTGTTAGGATCCAACAGGATTCGGAGACCGACACAACATGCTCAGGCATAAAGTCGAGAGGTTAGTGAGTTGACGGCTGTTGAAACATCTCCCATATTCAGACTCTGTTGTATGTTGAGTACACACTCCCCATCCGATTGTGTTGGTAAAGAACGACGTAATAGTTCTGTCGGACCAGATGCAACGCCATTTATGAACAATGATCGTAACAGTGAATCTACCTGAAGAGAGGCAGAGTTCCAAAGTGGAGAAGACACAGGAGACAGTCCACTAGAGAAGTTTGGTTGTTTTATCATCCACGTCTCGCCATCCAGTGAGTTGTTGGCTATGATTTTAGTCCCTCCCAGTGGTTCATCTTTTGTAGGTTTGAAGTGTGACATTTCAATTTATGAGGCTGATAATATTCACTTTGAGGTCCTTGATCAGGGAAGAGGTAGAGTGGAAGATTGTCACAGACGTCGTTTCTTCTTCTCTACTGACCGACGGTCGACAAACCTCGGCTAACTACGTCGTAGTGGGGCGTCGTTGTCTCACTAAGACAGGGTACTCGTCGAGGAACTACGGCTAACTTCGCCGTAGTGATTCGTCGAGTGGTAAACTGATAAGATGATCGTCGATGAACTGCGGCTAACTTCGCCGTAGTACGTTGAACTGCTCGGTGGTAGCTCTCCTTAATTCGAAGGTTGTAGCTACTGAATATATCTCTCGCTACTGACAACAATCAAGGATCGCTGAAGAAGTTCAGCGATCTGTAAACTATCTATACTACTCCTCTCTTCTCGTAGAATGTCCCTCAACTCCTGCACTGCCTCACGCTCAGTCCTCTTCGTTCAACTTCGCCGTACCTTCCCCTGTTCTGCTCTCCCTCGGTTCCCTTCCCCTAACTTCGCCGTAGTTCCCCGCTAGGCGGGGTTATCGTGACAAATCCCCTCTTGGTTCTCGTAACTTAGCCGTAGTTGGTCTCAGTGGTTCGAGTGGAGGTTGGTAGTGGTGAAAAGGAAGGTCGGTGATGGTGAAAGGAGGGTCGGTGATGGCGGTTGTCAGGGATGTTACGACGTAGTTCGTGACAAAGATTGGACTTCTTATAGCCTCACCATCCGGGGACGGAGTGCGAAATCAATGAATGCTATGCGTGGGTCATTTTAGAATCTGAGTTTAGATTGTACTATGAGCGCATGGTGTGGGAAATTTTCCCAGAGGAGTGGGAGAATTTGGTACAATGGAGAAACTGCATGATCTTCCTGCCCTCCTCCCTTCCCCTCCCGTTCAGTGGCCGCGGCCGCGATGGAGGGGATTCTGGGCGGAGTCGAATATACGTGGTCATTCGGGGTGCTTACTTTCTCAGCCCGGTGGTGGCGAGCTTTGTTAGAGAGGTGGGAACTGCAAGGGGGTTGGTGATACCTGAAGTCATGATCCATGTTGGGAAGCGGGAAGTTGGACATACATAAAAACTTGGGACTAGGGTATAAAGGGTGCTTTTCACGATTGTGACACCACCATAAGTAAGGAAACAAGAAGACAGGTGATGCTAACACTAAATCAAATTCCGCTCCCAGTGATGGAGATGGGAAGGAAATGGTCGCAGCAGAAGAGTTATGTCACGCGGCGCCGCGTGACATCATCCTTTTCCCATCAAATGAAGTTCCTTTGGACATCAGTTCGCCATCAACAACCCAGTTCTCATGAACTTCATCACCCACGAGGGTATTAGGAGGCTAACTTCGTCGAGGACAAAGTTAGTCATGTAGGAAGTTAGTGAGATACGAAGTTAGTGAGATACGAAGTTAGTGAGATACGAAGTTGGGGAGATATGAGATTAGGGAGGCACGAACTTCGTCGGGGACGAAGTTCGCGAGGTACGAAGCTCGGGGACTCGGGTTGAACGAAGTTCTGCATTGGCGAAGTTAGGGAAGAACAAAGTACTTAAGGACCGAAGTTCCCAGGGATCTTTGACGATCTCTGGTTGTTGTCTTAGTGATATAAGTCAGTAGACTACGAAGGTATTACACCCAGAAGTTATTGTCACCACCCATACTACGAAGAACAAGTCTATTAAGTGTCATAGCCCACGAAGTTATTGGCTGTCGGTCCTAGGAAACGAAGGAAGAACCGACCCTGTGACAAGTTATAGGTGACGTGAGGTCTCAAGCTGGTGGGCTTGACAGCAAAACTATCTTTTACTTCCATTTCAATGCAACGGATCCAGTAGTAGACTGCAATCTCTTCTATCCTGTCCATTGCAGCACCATCCCCACTCCAGTCATGACTGTCTGTGTGACCACTGTGAAGTGCCATCAGCTATAATATCTTTCTCTCCGACCTACTTCTCTTAAGTCCGGCTCCCTGAATGTGTCTGGGCCTCAAAGTTGAGAGTTCCCTCTTGTGTGGTAGAGATTGCAGCCAGAAAAAAGTCAAGGGCTGTTTCCTCAAGGTTGACAACAGCTTTGGTCATCTGTGAATTGATGAAAGGCCCTCCACCCCCCCAAGATCCCCCGCTTGTACCAGAGGGTCCTGTGAGCAGTGAGATAGAATCAAGCGTTAATGGGTCTGGGGTCCCAATAACATCGTGTGAAAGCACATACGATGAGGGCGGGGAAGACAAACCTTCCACAAGCACGCCAGGAAATTTTGGGCACTCTTGGACTCTTTGAAAATTCTTGTAGCATTCAGAAGTGCTGACAAGTTTTTCCATTCCAGCCATGAGGATTAAGCTCAGATCTGTCAACTTCAGTGCTTCCACAGCGGTTTTAATTTCCCAGTTATCAGCCTGGATGAGAGTTGATAGCTTGACCGCTATGTTCCTCAGGTCTAGTACCATTTCAAAGTCTACCTGTGGTTGTGGTTGAAGCCAGTCAGGGATTAGGGAAGGATCAAAATCTCCATTTTTGGCCAGGTGTTGCAGCACACCTTTCAGTAAGCTTTTGGGGCCATATTGAGGTTTGCACAACCAATGATTACATGACGCGAACTCCCCCAGACTTTCAATTCCAGTGAGCATTATCAACCCTATGTCCTGGTTTGTCAGGCGCTGAATATGCTCATAAGTGTCTTCTAGATCCATGTTTGTAGCGGACATGATCTTCATAGCCAGATCACTCAACCGGAAGTAATCGTGGGAGCAACCTGGAAACTGCTGGGTTTGATCAGACAAGGTATTGGGAGGGCCTTGCAGTATGCAAGCCATGTCAGGAGGAGGGAACAACTGAATGCGTCTTGCAGCATCAACTATGGAGTCATTGCGTGCACTCATTCTTACTGAGTCAAATTTGTGATAAGAAAGCAAAGTGAGCCTGAAATTTGTTGTGTAGGGAAAGGGTAGCTCTTGTTTAGGTTGCTTAAGTAGTCTATGAGTTGTGAGACCATTTCCTAGTCTGAGAATAGCAGTGCTATTGGAGAAGTGGAGTCTACTTCCTTACGACGCCGACGTCATCGACCGGGGTCCTACCATCGTGACATGTTTTGGGGGCCAGAGGAAAGGCATGAAAGGCAGATGGTGTTGTTCCGTGCAAAAAGGGGAAAGTGCCACCTTGGGAATTTCGCCACATTCCATCTTGCACCCCCCATCCCATCCCATCCCATCCCATCCCACCCCATCCATACTCCCACTCCTCCTTTCTTTCTTGATTCAAACAGTGCACAACTTCCCCAACAAGGGGTAGCTCCAAGAGCATCATGCGCCTTCTATCCATCCCATCCCTCCCATTCGTTTTAGTCTACTGGTTCATCCTCCTTCCCCTAGTCATGAGCGTCAAACAGGAAGATTTCAAGCTCTGTTCCCAGTCGTCATTCTGTCGTCGTCTCCGTTCTATCGGTACGAAGCAAGCTACTTCACCTGCTCATTTTCGATCTCCTTACGCCGTCGGAAAAGATATAGAGATTTCCAACTCCCCGGAAGCGTCTTGGGCTTGGCCATTGAAGAGCGCCCTTTACCCCGAGATCAGCTTCGAGTTACGGATAGATGTGTTAGAAGGGGATGTGGTCAGGATTCGAGCGGACGAAGTGAGAAGTAAGACGCCTTTCAGGAGATACAACGAGAGTGCAAAGTGGGCTCTTTTAACGGAAGACCTACTCATGGCAAGAACTGCCAGTATCAAACATACACCGGAGAAAAGCATAATCAAATACGGAAAGGACGGAAAATTAGTTCTGGAAGTGCAGCACAAACCATTCAAGATCATACAGTCGAGAGAAGGTAAGCCTATGGTGATCATGAATGAACGAGGACTATTCCATATGGAACACTTCAGAGTCAAAGAGGTTGAGGCTGGTCAAGAGCTGTTAAGTGAAGGAGAGCAAATGGTCATTCAGAACGACAACAGTTGGTTCGAGGAAAGCGACAAGGATATGTTTGAGGAGACTTGGAAGAAGTGGACTGATTCGAAACCTAAAGGTGTGTCCCTTCACTCATTCATACTGCAGTGTATCTTCACACTATATCTCACTTCAGATCGATCCACACTACTAAAATTTCACCTTATATCTCCCATAACGATTTATTTCGGGTTCAAATCCGGAAACCAAAGAGAATCCGACAAAGCTGACATCAGGCCCCGAGGCTCTATCCATCGACCTCACTTTCCCCGGAGTTCAGCATGTTTTCGGTCTCCCAGAACACGCTTCACCCCTTTCTCTCCCAGACACCATAGGCACGGATGCTCAATACTCTGAGCCATATCGATTGTTCAACGTAGACATCTTTGAATACCTTGCTGATTCCCCCATGTCACTTTACGGAGCTATACCTCTACTTCACGCTGTCTCGAAGTCTCACGCGGTGGGCGTTCTAAATCTCATCGCGTCCGACACATGGGTCGACGTCTTACATACTAAAGCTGGAGTACAAACTCACTGGATGTCCGAATCAGGTATTTTGGATTTATTCATTCTCCCGGGTCCTACTCCAGATGCTCTATTCGAACAATATGCAGCTCTGACAGGTCCCACGCCTCTCCCTCCTCAGTGGTCGATAGGGTATCATCAATGTCGCTGGAATTACAACGACGAGCCCGATGTCCTTGGTGTGCAGGCTGGATTTGACGAAGCCGACATGCCTCTAGATGTGACATGGTTAGATATCGAGTATGCGGAGGAACACCGGTATTTCGACTGGGACCCCAAACACTTTCCCGATCCAGTCCGGATGCTAGATGCCGTGGCGGAGAAAGGGAGGAAGATGGTAGCTATTGTCGATCCGCACATCAAAAAGACTGACTCTTTCAGGATATATTCAGATGCGAAAGAGCTTGATATTTTAGTCAAAAAGAGTGATGGGAGTAATTTTGAGGGCTGGTGTTGGACAGGAAGTAGCGTTTGGGTGGATTTCTTCAATCCCAAGAGCTGGGATTGGTGGATGAAGATGTTCGGATTCAGCGTGTGGAAGGAGTCAAGCCCTGCTCTGTTCATTTGGAACGATATGAATGAACCTAGTGTATTTGACGGACCGGAGATTTCAGTGCCGAGGGATACTTTGTTTCATGGAGGATGGGAGAACAGGGATTTGCATAATATCAATGGTATGATGTTTGTAAGTCATGATTGTTCTACATTGACACCGTCTCTCAATTTCATACGGAAGATCATCTATCCACCCAAATGAAGTCGTGACGGGCTACTCTGTTACGAGGTGTGAATACATAATTTTGTGAAGCTAATGAAAATAGCACCGAGCGACTGCCGAGGCACTAATCGCACGTGAATCACCTGCTAAGCGTCCTTTCGTACTCTCCAGATCTTTCTTCGCTGGCTCTCAGCGTTATGGTGCTATCTGGTATGTGATGAAGTTTTGATACCCGCCCCTTAAACCCTTTACGATGTACCTAGCATTGAGTTCCACGTCGTCCCCCAGCTGACAGGACAGGACCGGGGATAACATGGGCACTTGGGGTAGGTACCATAGATCGTCTCGATGATAGTTCGCTAATTGTCATAGACCATTTCGCAGGTGAAACAGCAATGATACTTTCTAACAACATCGCAGGCATGTCTTTCTGCGGTGCAGATGTCGGAGGTTTTTTCGGTAATCCTACACCTGAACTGCTGGTTCGATGGTATCAAGCAGGAGCTTTCATGCCTTTCTTCCGCGCCCACGCTCATATCGATACGAAACGCCGTGAGCCGTATTTGTATGAAGAGCCCATCAGGGGATATCTACGAGATGTTTTACGAATGAGATATAAGTTGTTACCTGTGTGGTATAACGCTTTTCATGAGGCTATTATAAGGGGATCTCCAATCATCAAGTTAGTCTCTCTTCTTTATTCTTCCCTTAAATCACTCGTTTCATTCCTCTTTGTTTATCCTTGGTATTGAGATTTGTTGAGATTAGAGCTTGTCAAAGTCAGTCCTATGCTCATCAACAGACCTCAGTACGCGGTATTCCCTCACGATGAAGCCGGCTTCGCCATCGATGATCAATATTACATTGGTTCCTCTGGACTACTTTTCAAACCCATTACCGTCGAAGGTGCCACAACCACTACCGTCTACCTATCCGCTCCGGAGCCTTACTACAATTATCACACTTCTTACCTCTACCCTTCGTCCTCTTCTCCTCGTCGAATCACCCTCAGTACTCCTCTGGAAACTTACCCTCTGTTAGTACAAGGCGGTCATATAGTTCCCACTAGGGAAAGAGTTCGTCGGGCATCTAGTTTGATGTGGCAAGATCCATTCACTCTCCTCATAGCACTTGACAAAGAGGGAAAAGCGACGGGAGAACTTTACCTCGACGATGGGGTGGGGTACGATTATCAATCAGGGGATTACGTGTGGCGTAAATTTGAATACGTGTCACATGGGAAGTCAGGGAGTTTGAAGTCTACAAGACATGAAGGGTATGCTACAAGCCCTCTATCTACAACATCTCCTGTGAAGTCAGAAGGGAAAGGAGATGTGAAGGTTTACCAGGAAAACAATAAATGGGCTCAGGCTATAAGTCATGTACGTGTGGAAAGGATCATCGTTCTAGGTCTCAAGACGGCACCGAAGATGGTGAGAAGTTCAGAGAGTACATTGGAATTCACGTGGGAAGACGGTGTGGCGGCAGGAGGGAAGAAAGAAGGGCGTGCGAGTAGGTTAGTGATTAAGAATCCGGGAGTGGGAGTGGTCAACGATTGGGTGATTGTCTTCGAATGATTCATCTTAATCAGGGGAGGTTGTTGTCTTCACCGTTTTTCAATGGTGACAAATCGTTAAGGGGAATTGTGTCAATTATCAAGGTATGAAGAAGACCTCTCTGTGAAGATCACTGAGTGGATGAGATAGATTAGGAAGGATCATGAAATGGAGATGTGACGTGAGAAGTGCGATCATGTGTATATGATAACCCAATGCATAGCATGGAATGCACTTTCATTCTGTATAATAGTAGAAATCAGTCCATCTTCAACCCAGTCGGATACCCAATACCAAGCCCGCGATGAAACTCGCTCGTTCTGTGTGTCAGGTGTTCGTCGATTCATGAACCAATTGCAATCCCTCGGTGGAAGCAAACAAAGTAATGCAAGTTTGATGACGTTGGAAACAAGGAGAAATGAGGAGAAGGGCGAGAGGAAAGGGGAGGGGGATAGATAGAAGACATCCACTCACGTTGAAAGTTAGCAGTAACAAAATCGACAAACCAATTCCAAGCAGCTTGTATGGTCGGTGTCGCCTTATTCCCAGAAGCTGAGGGAGTACCAAATGTTTCATCGTACTTTCCCGCTAATCTCGCCCAATCGACCGAAATGAACTTTCTAGAACTGAGGTACTGTTTGTCAGCATTTCTCCTCCTTACAGATATTCACATTCAAACAAAGCGGAGCCACCACTACGTCCACTGAGGATGTTTCTCAGAAGTGAAGAGACTTTTGAAGTTTTGAGAGTTGATAAGGAACAGAAATTGAAAAAGGAAGAAAAAAACTTACTTGGAGTAGAACAAAAATTCCTCCTAGTACAAAAGCTAAAGCTCTCAAACCTTTTTTGACAAATACTCCAGTACATATCCCACATACAGTCCCGAAACCTAGTTGATAGACGTTAAGAATACTTTCTGGTGGAGTACCGGGAGTAGGCACGGGATGAGTGTCACATTGGATTATAGAGGAAGGTTTGGTGAGGGAATAGATCATGATTCCAGATCCAAATACCAGTGCGTATAGATTACTGTGACTTCGGATTGTAGGTTTGAATGTGTATGTACTGTTATGACGGACTGACGACTTGATCGGTTGAAAAGCTTTGTGTGCCCCAAAAGTCGATTTAGCGATTGACCCATTAGAGATTCTGAAGGTCGATTTGAGAAAGTTGTCTCGGTACGTAGATCTGGATGTGCGGAAAGCGTCATGATTTCGGTATACAGCTCTGCCAGTATAGGGGAGAGGAGGGAAAGGGGAGGTTGAAAAGTGGGCAGGACGAAAGAGGGATGTACGGACAGAACAGGGGAAGGGTGTACGAAGGGTGGGTAGGTAAAGACCTCTGAGTGACATTTTGATTTACTCGCTGTCTCACGAACCTTCTTGAGCTCAATTTGTAAATTGAAGGAGATCAACTCGCACGACAGTCCTCGAATAACGGGCGGAAATGCAAAGAGAAATGAACTATGCATATTTGATAGAGAGGTCGATGACGTAGAGGGGGAAACGGAGATCCGAACAAACTCCGTACCCCTTCTTTCACTTGAAAAGTTGACAGTTGACAGTTGGTAGGTTTACCAGCAACATCACTAGTATTGTACTCGCACAATGGACAAAGTACAATATCAACTTGAATCCACCCTTCCCGAACTTAAAGATCTACACGAAAAAGGATTATTCTCCAAGGTATGTTTCAACCGCAATTTGGTGAAAGTGTCTGACGGGCAGAACGAAATTGATGAAATCACAAGAAGGAGAACTACTTTTGAGACCGCTTTGATAAGACGTAAAACTAGAAAAGAAGATTATTTCCGGTATGCAGAGTATGAGATCAATTTGGAAGTTTTGAGACGGATACGATGGAAGAGATTAAGTGAGTTCATGACCTCTTTTTCCTTTCCCCCTCCTTACTTGAAGCTATTGAAAGTATATAGGATCTATCCACCTACATTCTCATCTTCTCACCTTGCTGAAATCTGTGATTACTTGGGGTCTGTCCTTATATTCCAGAAGTGGATTTACGATGATCTTATGCGGGTCCGTGAAAGAGAGAAGTGGATGAACGTCTTAGAAGACGTAAGATATGACACGGGTGAATAAGGAATATGAATTTCGGTTGATTGGAAGAAGATCGAAGCTGATGATTAAGAATACGACAGAAATCCTCCTCCTCCAAGTATTTCGACTTATTCTCTACCGCGAAGAACATTATATATATTAAAAAGAGCCACTGTGAAATTTCCTTCCGATCTGGCCGTATGGCTTGCATATATCGAATATGCAAGTAGGGAAGGGATGAGGAAGGTTGTAGCTAAGGGATTAAATAAGTGAGTTACTTTGCATCCCCCCACATCCGCTTTTGTCTCTCACACTCCATCATGTCGTCGTATTTGCAGGTATAACTGTCTTTGTCGTGCAAATAATAATAAGGATCGAAGGATGGAAAGGCTGACCTCGCAGTGCGCTTCAACAACATCCACTGTCTCCCACTCTCTATCTCCTCTCATCTTATCATCACCTTCATCCTAACTCCCCCTTCCCTTCCATCACTTCGTCTAACAAACCAACATCCTCCTCCGATCCTAATGACCCCGCCTCCTCCTCTTCATCGTTCTCCCTCGAGGGAGTCTCCCAAGCTCGTACCACACTCCTCCTAGGTCTTCGTCTCCTTCCTCAATCCCGCGACTTATGGAGAGAATACATCAAACTCGAACATGGCTGGGTAGAAGCATTACGTCGACGTTGGAAACTTCTCGGTCTGAAAGATGCCCCTACTTCATCTACAAATATTGATGATTCCGCTTTGGTAGGTGGCGAAGGAGCCTTCGGACCAGAAGGGGAAGACGCAAGGAAAGCTATTCTAAATGGTCAATTGGTCGTCCATGCTCTCACTTCGGCATTAGAAGCTATTCCAGCGAATACCAAAGATGGACAAGAAGGTGACGGACTTTCATTCCGGCACACTCTCCTCGTTCTGCTCAGAACTTACCCCAGTCCATTGAGAAAGAAAGCTTTAGGGGTGGTATATGAGGAACTTGGTCGTGTTTCAGTTGGTACAGGAGAGTTGGCAGCAAGAGCGAGGATGATGGTGATCACTTCACCGCTCTTCGATAGACCGTACGATTCCGTACAGAATGAGTTGGAAGGTGTTGAGCTGGTTGAAGCGTTGGGTAAAGTTGGTAAAGAGATTTTGAATGAGACAAAAAAAAGGAAAGGGGCTACTTCCTGGTTGGCTGTTTCAGGTGATTGGGTGATAGAGCAGATTAAGGAACATCTACAAGAGACAGAACTGGTATGTGCACCCCCACCAACCCAATTCACATAGCTTCGGTGGGCCGCGTACTGACTATCAGCGCACTTTCTTTCTCTCTATTCTGTCACATTTGACAAAACCATCCCTTCGACCGCCCGCTTCGCTTCTCAGCCAACATCTCGATCTCATGCTCGATCCATCATCTCTTACGCATCCTAATGACATCAATAATGACACCACCTCGTTTGGTGCGATTGTCAAGAACCACACCGATAACCGTTCTCTCCTACCACCTGAAGAGCTGCTACAACTCTCTCGCACCTATGCTTCCATTCATGCCTCCGATGCCAGTCTGCAGAAACGTCATATCGCACTAGAGACATCACACGGGTCAGATCCTTCCATCATTCGAAAGGCCTGTAGGGAAGCTATCAAATGCATATCCGCTCCTACCATATCCGGGACAGAAGCGAGTATCCAAGTACAAAATGACGTTTACTCTGTATATGCTCAATGGCTACTCTGGGAACAATCCGTTCTACCTTCACACGAATTTCAACATCTGTTGAAGAAAGTGTTCAGAGATACAATGCGTCTCTCTCATCTGCCTCTGGTACACCATCATCTACTTTGCGATCGACTCGTTGCGGCTTTCGAGGATGAAACTCGGGAAAGGTGGGGAGGAGATGATTACATGAGCGTCTTCAATCATGCGGTCAACACTTATCGACCTAGATCAGAGTACTTCGTATTGGCCTTGAGTAAGATTCATAAAGTGTCCAAGAAGACGGACAATCAAGTGATGAGAGATCTTCAGACGGTTTATGAAGCGTATAGAGGATGGTGTAAGACGGATGAGCAAAGGGTAGAAGCGACTTTGACATATGTCAGGATCATGTTGGCCCGAGAGAAGGCGAGGGAGGCTAATGAAGAGTATGAGAGAGCGAAGAGAGAGGTGAAAGAGGGACAGAGGGAGAGGTTGGAGGTGTCGTGGGTGAAATTGTTGGAGGGTGTAGGGAAGGAGAAGGAAGGAGATGAGATTATGGAGGTTGATAGGGAAGAGGGGAGTAATCAGGAGAGTGAGATGGGGGAGGAAAGTGAGCAAGATCTTTACGAGGATTAAAGGTGGAAGGAATTGTACGAGTATCGATCTTTTCAGGAGGTACACGAGTGGCTGCTGAGATGAAATCTTCAGTTGTTTTTTGATACATGAGCAGTGCACTGTCGGCCATATCTATTTGCATCATTTCTGCATACTCAACCTTGCTCATCTTGTATTTGCTTGTCGTTTGTCTCCGATCTTTGGGTCGCCATGGTCAGTTGGTCCAAAATAAGGACACAAAAAGTCGCAACCGCGCAACCGGATATACCAGAGGAGTGATGGTCAGTTTCACATACAAAAAGCCAAACTGCACTACTTACTTCGCGCACAGACCTCTCTTCTTCTCCCAACTTCAAGTTACATTAGATTTCCCATCAAAATACCTAATGTCACCTCACACCAACAACAATAACCTTTCTCTCTCCAAATCAGAAATGTCATCCAAAACTGTCAGAAATCTGATCAAAGTCACAAAACCTCAACCGGTTCAAATGATCGACAAACAACTTCAAGATCTCGTTCGACCATGGGTCGGTAAATCCGTCTTCACTACTACTACACGTTCCACTCCTCTGGTTCCACTCTCAGATAACATACCAGATTCTTCTATCACTCGTGTTCCTACTACGAAACCTGTTTCATCTTTCGTTCCCTCCACCTTGACTTCGCCTAACGAGGATTTCGGTATAAATGACAAAACATCAATTCCAGGTTCACCTAGTACGACATCCTACCATACTGCCAGATGTGAAACACCAAGAAATTCCTCACCTATATCTATACATTCTTCCCCTTCCCCGCACCACCCCCTCTCCTCTCCTCATCCTCCGTCATCGAAAGTGGCCCTCGTATCGAAACCAATGGGAATCGCCTCTTACTCAATATCACGTACAATACATAATACGTATCCAAACACCAAGTCCACGTTCAAACCACATCAGCCTGTTCATCCCTTCTTCGTTCAGTATATGAGGTCTAAATCTGCTCCTCTTCCTACAACTAATCGACCGAGATTCCTTGCTACGCATTCTACGACTTCTACTTCTTCGAAAATGATCAAAGATGATGAAAGTCTGATCATTGCGGAAACTCAAGAATCGCTCAAGACCGAGGTACAATCTATACCGGATGACGAGATTTCCTGCAGTCCTTTTGATTCCCATGGAAAAGAGGAAGGGCGAGGTCAGATAAAACAAGTTTGGAAACGTGAAAGGATAGTACCTTCAGAGTTTAAAAGAACAGAGGAGGATACCGCTTTCATAGCTGAAGAATTGGAATTTCTCGCTGGACCTTCTCGTCATCCAGTTCTACCTCACGCCTCTAAATCAGCTCCAATGCCTAAAGCCGCACCCGCTCCACTACCCAAATCGCGAGCTACCCCGTCGCTCAAGACCAAATCCACGATCTTGAAATCAAAGATAAAAGGTAAGATGAAGGCTGAGCTGAATGAGCTGCCATCACCGATAATCCCCCCGAAGACCGCGAGAGATTTAGAGAACCTGCCGACGTTTCACTATTCGACATATTCCGCTAAGAACGGTCGGACTCCTCAGGTGGTCTATACACTGTCGGATGAAGAGGCAGATGACCTGGTGCCTTGTCTCAGGGGCGAAGTGGTGGGGTTTGACTTGGAATGGCCGGGACAGGTCAAAACTTGGGTTAAAGAGGGCGATGGATGGAAGGTCAAGTTTGAACAAGGACAAACGGCTGTGGTTCAGGTCTGTGATGATAGGATTATTTTGGTGATTCATTTGAAAGACATGAAACGTGAGTGGATATTCACTCTCTCCCATGCCTCATCAGACGTCACTCCTATCCTTGTAAGTTTACAGACTGGAGAAAATGGCCAGAAATTCGCGGACCATGAAAATGGGAATTATATGGGAAGTGAAAAGTGGAGAGCAGGAAAGGACGACAGTTTCCCGTAAGAAATGGCTGATCAGTCGTTAGGTTTACCAAAGAGCATCGTAGATCTCATCTGTGACGAAAAGAAATACAAAGTCGGAGTGGCTATAAATGGCGATTGCAAGAAGCTTCTCCGTGATTTTCCCACTCAATTCAAATCTAAACCCCTTTGCTCCATCCTTGATCTCTCCCACTTGGCCCGCCGCGCCGACCCAATCGGTACAGGTCCAGGAGGAACACTCATAAGTCTTGCAAACCTCACACGAGCTTACTTATCGCACGAACTCCCTAAACCTGCAGATACGAGAAAGGGCGATTGGTCAGCTACTCTGAACGCAGAACAGATTGATTATGCTGCCAACGACGTATGGGCTTCGTACAATATTGTCACTGAATTGAGCGAGTTAGCAGAGAAGAATGGGAAATCTTTGGATTTGAGTAAAGTGGCTTTCGATCTCAATAGACCGATCAGCAGGGTCGTCAAGGCCCAGACGACGGATGATGAGCCTGGGGAGGGTGAAGTGGAGGAAAGAGTGGTAGAATTGAGTTTTGCGAAAGAACAGGCGCTACGGAAGTTTAAAGAGGGTTACAGTTGTCAGGATATAGCTCAAGAAGGTGGGATTAGGGATACTACTGTTTCGTGAGTTTCTTCATATTTTCGTACTTTCGTATTCTTTGAATCATTTCCCCAGTCATCCTCCGTCTTCTTGTGAATACCTTCTCTCTATAATATCTTTCAAAGGTCCGTCTTCGAGTTCAATCTCAGAGAAATTGGTTAAAGAGATGCGGATTAGTTTGAGCAAACACAATATCCAAATAGTTTCAGCGAAGACAATATGAAAATGACTAATGACAGATCTTACATTTGCGAAGCCCTCCGCATCCTCACACCTTCAGTCATAAAACAAGAAGACCAACGTCGGTTATTACATGAAATCAGAGGTCATCATTACGTTCAACGAAAATTTCGACTCATGTTACGTGGTATGAGAAAGGAAGTGGGGTCTGATCAATCACCGTCCGAGACCGAACTCGAGACCGAGAGTATGAAGCAAGGTGGGGAAGTACGTGTTTGATTATGAACTGGAAGATAAGCCATGTACGTAGGTGTTCCCCTTTTTGTTGCATCATTGCTCATGAGCCTTCTCTTTGATAAATATCAAATTTTGATGTTGACACGTATAGCTGATCAAAAGGTTTATTACCACTTCTCTCGAACTCGACAAGTCTAGGCCTCCATATTGTCTTTCTCAAAGTCTCATCGATCGAAATATCCAACCCAACTTTCATCTCCTTCACTTCGGCCGATGATCGCCCTCTCATTCCTTCCCACCTTTTTGAACCTCGCTTCTGAACCTCAATCAAGATCCATTCCCACCAAACATCTCACATTTCCCTCGACTTCTTTTCTTGGAAAGTCCAGACCAACGAATCAACGTTCTAGATCCAACCTGTCTCCATCTAACCATCGAGGTCATCCACTCTACCGATTACTCTATCGCGCGTCATACTTCCAAAACCTTCTTATCTCAAAAACGAAGCCCGTTCCAAAAATGGTCATTTCTCACGCTGCTCATTCATCCTCTACAATCATATATCCCACGTCGTACGTCGAATAGAAAGGAAGATCTCGAAACGGAACCAGCCAAGAGGTCCTTCTTATAATCTATCTCTTTTCCCAGGAAGGACGCTCGGACCGAGCACCGCATTTCGTCATCTTTTGAGAATTTGGTCTATATCGATTGACTCGCTATGTGTGCACAGTATCGGGTCTCAAACACATATATCAGCCACGAACTGGAATCCTCCTCCATGATACTCCTACCGTCTACAAGAGTTAGTATCACATGAGCTACAAGCAGACGAACTCTAGCGCCAGTCACGGAAACGGTCTGCCAACAATTCGAGGTCTTCCCTCACAGTGGCATGCTGCTGTCGCTACCCAAACTGGCGCCCCAGATGTCCTTGGACCACCACTTGCACGAGCATACAGTGTTGCTGGATTGACCTATGAGGGCAATGGAGTCTCGGAAACCGTTCAAGCTGTAGGTCGACACTATCGATCTATGCCACCAACTCGCACAAGCAGTCCTCGTTCAGATGCATTCCAGAACCCATTGGTGAAGCGACGGATAACCTCTGATCTCCCTATCCCAAGCTCGGACATCGCGACGCTGGAAAAACTCTGGAGCGAGAACACCAGGTTACGAAGAAAGCTTGGGCAAAAGGGCTGGCCAATCCCCTCGATGAGACCTGTCTCGAGGGAAAGCGGCATCCCATTGTACGCCCATGACAGCTATTGGGGGTTGACACCTGAAGAAGACCCGGGACGCAGTGACCCTGCAGAGCACAGCCCGTCGGATGTGAGTCAGAATTGGAGAGATTGGTGGGGACTTCGATCAAGTGACGGCGGAGCAGGAGCGAAACAAAGTTCCGGGACACATGTAGGGATGAGCACGGAAACTGTTCCTGGGTCGCGCGAAGATCACGAATTGATCCATGAGAACCCTTGGGGATCATCGTAGCCTCATGTACAGGATGCCGTCACCGAGCCTCTCGTTCATTGTGGACCTCTTTGGGAACCAAACCATTTTGTAAGTTGTCCATCACGCCATTTCTACCCGGTGAATTTCAGAAAGCGGTCGACAGATAACAAATAAAAAAGCGCGGGAGGATGAATATGAGTCATACTATATGCATCGGCACGCTCGAGGATATGTACTGTTAGTGATTACTTGCACCCTATGTCATCAGCGTCTTCCTTGATCATCTCGCGCGGGCGTGGTCGAAGCCATAGAAAGATAGGACATAAGCTCACGTTGGTTTATGATGGCCATGCCATGTTCCTGCCATTCATCTTTGGTGACCCAGAGTTGGTGGAATGTGCCCAACGATGCGAGTACAGATCCGCCGACCCATGGAGCGTATTTTCGTTCGAAGGGGATTGCGGGGGAGTGGATCTTGATTTTTTGCTGGATATCAGTGGTAATCTCTTGACTCATCTATTCTTCTTTCCTCTCCTCCCTCGCCCCCTCACCTTGCTCTCTGACAAACTCCTTCTGTCCCCACAACGAGTTAGGTCGAAAGGATACGTCAGCTACCTCAGAAAGCAAGCCCATCATTTACAGTGAATCAGAGCCGAAGGTGTTCCCCATCCAGCTTGGGAGTGGGGGATCCCATGGGAACGAAGACTAAATCTTAACTCACACTAGGAAGCAAAGCAGCCAATTCCACATCTAACCTTTCCGTCAAACCCTTTATCAAACTCGTATTTCCCACCACCACGATATTCTGCAATAATGGCGCCCGCACATCCACATCACACGCCATGATAGAATCATGTACCAATTGAGAGAGCGAAACAGCATCTTTCACCGAATGGGAATGGATTCCCGTTGGAGTAACTCTCAACGAAGCTGGTGGTTCGATCATCTATCTCATCAGTTTCTCCAACACATATCATGGTGAGATCAACTTGCTTGGTTGAAATAATTTTTCGGATCGGAGAGCAGTTCCGTGAATCGATATCTTTCTTCTCCAAACATTTGACTGTAGCCATCTGGGAATTCGTACAATTGTTGAGGCAGTTCTCTGGCAGTTTGGAAATCAAAACCTTTGTTATTGATCATTTCTCCACAAGCTCCAAGCCATTGTTCTACCACTTGGTTCTCCGCCCAAGCACGCCATGATGGGGTGGTGTGTAATGCTCTGTCGTCTCGGAGAAGCGGACGGGGTTGTATACCTGGATCACAAGGATCACGCTTGGCGATTAGATGTCGTGGGGTGAGTGAGAGAGCGAAAGTTCGTGTCAAGGAAGGTGCTGCAAAATGACCTCGGATCTGGGAAAGGAGAAGTTCACCGGCGAGAGGTTGTCGCATTGTACCTGTGAGTAAGAATCAATCCGAGCGCATCAGCCACATTTACCGACAAACAAACTACCATGGAAGAAGTTAAGAGAGACTTGCAGGCTATAGGGCGTGACGTGAGACATTTTTGGCACTGGGAGAGAAATAAAACTGAGAAAGATAAAACATACCAGCACGAAGAGCGTATCCATCAACAACCGGTACAGCGCTGCTCGTCGCGTGACCGACATCCAAAACTAAAGCTGTTGGTCTTCCAGCTGCAAACCTAAAATCATCAATCGACGAAACATAAGTCCGGTTAAGGAACAACTCACGCCGACAATACTCCTGATGAACCAAAATACATAGCGGGCATTTGTTCGCCTTCAAACACCATCTGAGCGAGCATTTCTCTAGATTGAGGAGTGTTCCAAGCGGGTTCAGTGAGCATGAGGGGATGTTCGGTCGGGTCAACCCCAAGACGATTGTGTAAGATATGGTGTAGGAGAGCAGATGCTGGTTCAAGATCACGGACTGACATTAGCACTGCTGGAGTGTACTCTGTATCACCTCTTGGTATCTCTCACTCTTGGGTTATACCCACGTGAGTCAGACTTCAGCAAGGAGTGATGAGACGTGAGATTTCTCAAAATGGTTGTGAAGAAGAACAATATGACCTACCCATGCCATCTTCCATAAAACTGTCCACTTCCATCCCCGCTCTCCAAACGTTGACCCCATCATCCCCTACATAATACTTTCTCTTGCCCTTGCTACCGCCTGATTCCACCCCTGTTTCGCCATTCCCATTCATGGACACATCACCATCACCGTCCACTGGTACATGAGCATCTCCATTTCCGTTCGTGGTGGTCGATGTGGAGCTCTCGGTGTATCCATAGTATGATGAACACACAACACGGGGACAATCTTCACCAGCATAGCCAGCGCGTGTGGTATGAGTTCCGAAATCGACGACAAGCGCTGAGACTTCGTCTAAGGGGTCAATGTCGTCCTCGGAAACGATATCAGTAGACGCTCACCTCCGTTGTAGACCATGCTGTTGACTTTTGGATGCGACCTTGTTTTCTTTCGATTAGGTAAAGTCGGGTGGATGTTGAGTGATGGCAAGATGAATGACGTGGCATAAGTAGCGTCTGAGTGATAAGCTCCTTCCCATTCCTCTCCTCGTCCCTACGAAAGAAAGTACTATTTACTATTGTTCCTACCGAATTCTCTACTTGCCTTGCTTGTTTCCTATCCTACCCACAGCTTCTCACACCTTTAGGATATATAGTATCTTGAAACAACTCTTCACCTATCCATCCCAGCCTTCCTGCTTTGCCTTTAACCTCCAATCTCCTGATGAACCCCTCCTCCCTTCCCTCCGCTGTCAAGTCCAATGCCACCCTACACGCCCTGACCGAGCGGCTAGCCTCTCGATCTCGTTCCCTCCACCCACTTATAGACTCCAACCTTAGCACTTCCCTCGGAAATGCCTCATCCTTCTCCTCGGCTCATCCCGATGGTCAGAAGCCCGTGCCTCCTCCACTGCTTCCGATGATGCAGATCATCTCCCGACATCAGTACCTCGAACCTGACGACCAGGGTGGTAATGGAAAGGATAGAGGTGCTCCATCTTGTCCTTCGAAGACGAAGTATCCTCCCAGAGGTCGGCATGTGGAGGTACGCTCTGTGAAGATGTCGAACGAGCAGATGGATCAGTTTGTCGAGGATTTGCGTAGGGTGTTGAGGATGGAGTTCGATTGTTGGGTAGAACAGTGCTGGTGAGTACAGCAAGTGTCTCCATATCTCACATCTTTGTGTACAGTCATGACTCTCTGAAGAGTGGGCATATTCGCACATCCGAAGAACATGGACTGGAGCTGTCGAAAGCTCTAAGGACAGATGCTGATTATGAGGGCCGAAGCGTTTCATCTCCTCTTCACTCGCACACTTCCCACCATGATCATCGAGTTAATTCTCTCACAGTGTACACCCAGCTTTCTTCGAAAATCAATCGTTCATGGAGGACCCCATGTTGATGCTCTCTTCCAAGCTCAAATGCTCGATCTTTTATATGCCGAATTGGAACACCGTCTCTCAGGCTCCCATCTCCTCCCAAACCACGCCGCAGATCTATCCTCCGACCCTGTTCACTCCCGCTCATCACCTTACAATTGCAACTCGGGAATCTGTTTTCACTCTCTCGCATGGAATCATGGTCAACCTGCCGACGATGATGACCATGCTATGTGTTTATGTCAATTGACCGCATGTCTAGATTGCTTCACTCAAGATGTTGACACTCGTTTGGGCCCTATGTCTCATCTGCCCTTCGAGCTGGTACAGACGACAGCAAGAGATGGTTGGGCAGGTACGTTAGAATCTCAAGCAGATGCGGAAATACGACATGCTACCGCAGCCACCATGAGTAAACCTCCTCAATTAGAGAAAGTACCGGAAGGAAAGGGGTTTGTGAGAACTAAAAAGCAAAAAGTCACTAAGCCTCCAGCCCTCTTCGCTCATCCTCAAATGACAGACGTCTTGGCTGTTGAGGAACATCTTCGGTGGAGGTTGAAAGAGATGGGAGCTTCAGATCCTGCTGTTGAAGCTAGATATGGACCATGTACTAGTGATCCGGTGGCATTCGAGGATGTGGTGTTCCCAGTGGAACAAGACGAGGACGATGATGCAGGGGATAGTCCGCCACAGACAGGTGCGACCAGAGTCGGACCTAGAAAGTTGCTGAAGATCAAGGGGAAAGGAGGAAGGAGACGGCCCGTGTTGGGGATATCAAATGGAGGAAAGAAGGAGAAAGGAGATAAGAAGGCTAAGACATGTCATTTACCTCGAACGTGGACAGATGAGGAAGCGCGGGAAAGGAATCTAGCTATCGTCTTGACTTTTCGACATTTTGTCCAGGTGAGTGGGTGTGGGTTGACTTTTCTCTGCCAGCGATGAGGGCATGTTGTCACCCGTTGAGCAAGTCAGCGCCGTTCACAGAAATGTTGAAGGGATGATACTGATGGTCAGTTGCTCTACTCTATCGCTTCCGTCTCATCCCCATTTGCTTACCCAGAATACGTTTCCGATGTTGACGAACTCGAGCGTATACATCCTGTCGCGCTATACAGACAAATGTGTGCTGTTTGTCTATTACGTCGGGATTTTACAGAAGAGAATAATCAGTGGACGGAATGTATGGACAAATGGGGTGAAGAGTTAGCAATGAGGGAGAAAAGCATGGTAAGTTTCAATATCCTAGGTCTCCCTCCCTCTCCTATAATATCACTCGGGGATGTGAATTTGTCACCTCTATCTAAAGATCTTCAGACTTCATTTACTTCATAAGAGGTGTCTCACATATTGAGGCTTGCACAAATACCGCCTCACATTCATGTTTTCATTCTCATAAACCCTTCTCTTTTCCTTTGACATCAAAAAGCGAGCAATGGTAGATCGACTTGAAAAAGAAAGACAAGAATCAGGGAAGTGTAGGCTGACATTCGTTAGGGTAACACAAAAGTATCTCTAGCAATAAACTCTCCAAATCGTCTAGACCCAGAAGCAGAATTATCATATTGTGAAGCCATAGTACATTACACTCACGCCCTTTCCCTCGATCCAAAGAAAACCGTTTATTACACCAATAGAGCCGTAGCATTGAATTACCTAAAAGCGTACGGTAGGGCAGAATCAGATTGTGGATACATACTTTCCAAAGATAAGAACAACGCAAAGGCTTATTATCAACGAGCTTTGGCTAGAGCTGGATTGAAGAGATGGAGAGATGCTGAATCTGATGTCAAAGAGGTTTTAAGGTTACAACCTGGTAATGAGAGTGCTAAGAGGGTGTTGGAGGCTTTGAGAGGGGAAGTGAGAAAGTTGGATTCGGTAGATTAGGAGATGATATCTTATGCCGGAGGATATAATCTCGTATAAGAGGAGATTGGTCAGAAGAGGATGGAGTTTTTTGTGTAGAGGGTAATGAGGATGAGTAGGTTTCTTATGATGACGTTTCGTATGCATGACGGATTGATGGTTTTTTGTCTGGTTGTCTATGTCTGTTCGTCTTCATTGAGAAACGATCGAGTTTGAGAATGACAATGTGTGTACTGGTATGTCTCAAGTGCCAAATACAGTATGTGCACAAACAACGTCACCCCAGAAGAGAGATCTTCAGATATCTTGACGGAAGATGCATGCGAGTTGCACGAAAACTGAAACAGGATAACTTATCTCATTTGCTCGATCGCAACCTTCCCCCATTTCCTTCATTCCCTTTCCTCGCAATTAAGTCTCATGCACACATCAACATGCAGACTAAGAAACCTATCCCATGGAGCAAGATCACCGACGAACACCTTGGTTCGTACGTGTCGTACCTCTCCTGGCATTCGCTTTTCACGTCAGCTACCATCTACGCAGGAACGCAGTAACCTTAAAACTCACCTCGTTGGATGGTCGCACGTCCACGAGCGGCACCGATACCTCTTCCACGCATGGCATTAGGACCAACACGTTTGAACCTGATTTCAGTGAGTCTCTCTTCTCGTGTCATATCGCCGTGACTGCAGATGGAACGCAGCATGAAGAAAGCGAGAGCGAGAAGGCAATTCTGAGAGGTAGGGCGGGATCCGAAAAGTATGAGGTAAGAGGTATTAGGGTGAGTAGAAGAAAAGTATGTGGAAGACAGGTAGAGGTATGTTCCGTGACGCTGAAGAGAACAGAAGCTGGTTGATTATGAAAGAAATGGAGTGGGTGTTCATGAAAAGATAGATCCAAATGAAAACTCACATGGGTGCACTGGATAGAAGATCAGGGACGATGACAAATCGGATCTGAACGTTACACATTGTCCCATCTGATGATGCCTTTTCGTGCCATCCTCTGTGCGAGTCTATCCTTGAAGACAAACCAAAGGTATCTGCACTTTCACGGCATCACGAGGGTTTTGTAAAGACTCAAAATTTTCGTGAATTGAGTAATGGGGGAATGCGATCGAAAATAATGGGAACAGCAAAACTCACCATGGACCCTCGGATATAAACCATGTCCATTTGAGAAACCCTTCCATCTCTAGCAGTCACGGTTATATCTTTTAAAGCGATGTTGAGATTATCTTCGGCTGTAGGAAGAAGCGTGATTTGGTATATGATAATTCAAGAAGTAGTTTGACCAATGTATCGAGAAGATTATCCACAATTTGATGTCCGGGATGAAAGATGTTTCATCCGATGAGAAATGACCCAAATCGTCCGTTAAGATTTTATTGGTCATGGTGATTGTAATGAAGGAGAGTGAGAATATTTGGGGGGGAGGTATTATAAGTGAGTGTGAGGAAAGGAGAATACGTCAGTGAAAGATAAACATTTCAGATAAGGGCAAACACACCTTCCATCAATTTTCCTCTATACATCTGTCCGTCAGCTTCACTCTGGGTTCGAGTATTCCCTCTCAAAGTTCGACACAGAAGTATTTAGTGCCAGTCCCGACAGATATTCAGATGGGACACAAGAAACGAAGGTGGTTTTATCGCGGTGAAAACAGCAGCAAAGCAGAAATAGGAAGGGAATGATGATTCCTAACTACGGTCTCCTGTCCGACGGAGATAAAGATAGAGGCGTAGTGTAAAAAATTACCCAGATATCTCGAGCACAAGGATAAGTAAGAAAGATGAGAGAGGGTCTCAACGATATCGTGATCTCAAAAAAGGTTGAGAATAAGACATCTCGAGGTACATAGGTAAATGGTTTCGTATGTCCAAATTTGAGTCAGATGAATATATCAACAAGTTCAAGTGAAAGATCTTGAACAAGAAAACAAAATCACTCACTTCTCCCGTTTTCAACTCCACAGTCACTACATGTCCTAAAGATTCATGTAACAGTTTGACCGGTACACCTAAATTTGCCATTTTTCTTAACTATGTCTCGCTAACGAATCTCTCTTTCGCGTTCCTTTTCGGGCCTTCTGTGGATCGGTTGGGATATATCACGAGGATGCAAGGTGGGGATTGTCGAGTAATGTATGAACTGTCTGGTGTGATGAGATGAAGGTTTAGAAGGCAGAGATGTATATGAACGAGTTTTGTTGAGGTTTAGTGAAAGTCGGCTGAGTTTAATCCGGGGGGACCAGATAGAGTTTAGTTGCCTCACTCGACAGCCAACAACTCAGGTGGATGAAATCCATACATCTTACACAGATTTTACAAACGAGTCGGGGTTTTTTTACTACATGTACACAAATGTTACTTCGCTCTAACACATCACTGACACCAACCAATCCATCTCGCCAGGAGAGTGAAAACAAATCAAGAGAACAATATCAAACCCGAGGAATCGTAGGGATCCTCATACCTCCCGGAAATTGCCATTCCTTCATATTCTTCTCATCTCTACCTTTCCTCTCACCGTCATTATCGCTTTGATTCTTCCATCCACTACCTGACCATTTGTCCTGAATGTCCAATTTAGGGGAAGGAGGAAAGTACTCTTTATTCCACGCAGTGTAGATTTTAGCTGTGTGAGGAGATTCTTCGTAACTCTCCTCAGTCTGGTCAATCCCTATATCCTCGACTGACTGAGAGGTCTGATGGTAAGGGATTTCGTAAGCTTGTGGAGTAGACGGAACGTTTGACGAATCCGTAGTGGAAAGAGTGGACATGGTAGAGGTTGTTGTACTGCTCGAATAGGTCCTCGGGGGGTGAGGGAAAGATGGGGTGGGGAATGTGGGAGAAGGACTAGAAGTGAGGGAAACGGATAGAGTGGATGGATGACGAGTATGACGATGATGCTTGTAGTGAGCTTAGATGAAAAATATTGGATAACATCCAAAATGAAACTATCCCGTTCGATATCCTTATAGACTCCCATCAACTTGTCTTCGGGTAAGAGAGGGAGGAAGACATGTCACCAAGAGACAAAGGAGATGGTCGAGACAAATTCTCTGAGGATACTCAATATGGTAGAAGGAAAGACTGAGAACAACCCACTTGAGCAGCAAAAGGTAAATGAAAAGGAGCCACAGCATCCCATTTCGCTTTTTTATCCAACCACATTTCATCTTTAATCTCCTTTAGACGATTCGTGAAATGTTCACTTGAAGACATACTTCTCTGTGCTCTAGCAGGAGAAGGAGGAGTGAGCATTGAAGATGGTGCAGTAGCTGCTCTTGGTCGATTTCCACGAAAAGGTTCTGTTGGTTTTCCATTGTTTCCTTCGTTCATCCTCGCCCCTCCGATGGACGTAGGAGTCAGGTCATATGGCGTCGATGGCGAATAAGGTGTGGTTGTGGGAGTATGATTAGAAATCATAGAAAATGTGGAAGAACGAGGTTGTATAACTGATAAAGTTGGCCTGACGATATGATCGTTTACCCCTACTCCTAATTCAGGTACGGGGAGAGGGTTTGAAAGTGATTGTGAATGTGGTCTACCGTGATGATTATTATGATCGTGTGCGTGATGATGGTCAAAGTGGGAAGGGGACACTTCATGCGTATGAGGGAAATTAGGAGAAGGATAACCCCATTCAGTGGTACGAGTAGGTGAATATTGGTGTGAAAGAGTAGGAGAAGGTATTGAATGATCTAAAGATCTCAACAAAGCATCGAAAGAAGGTAAAGTAGGCATTGTGTTGATCTCTCTGTATTTATCGTCGATGGGCGATATATATCAGGTGACAATTAATGTGGATCAATGTTACTCGATGTTGGTGGTATATTGTTGCTTTAGCAAGGAAGGGCGTGACGGCGTTGGGCAAATTCAAGAGATATCAGTATGTTATGGAAATAAGTATCCGGGTCAGTAACATAGTAAAGAGAGACTTGGAGCTACCCGACAACCGACATGGTCCGTTGGCCGTTGGGACCCGTTGGTAAGAGACGGAACATGTCGCTGCCAAGTAAAAAGTTAATCGAACTCCTGAGTTGTCCTGACGTCTCCGAGAATCAAAGGAAAATCAAGACGGATTGGTATTTGTGTTGAGAAGGATCACGCTATTGTTTCTATGCACCTTTGGGCGTAGCGTGGGATGTGGAAGTGTTGCTATGAGACCAGACCACAGTGAAGAGGGAAGGGACAAGGGACAAGGGAGAGACCGGGATGTCCCGATGAATCAGATTCCGCTCGGGAGATATCGGGTATGTGTCCTGACGTAGCTGGAATCTCTTTGCGACATTTTTCCATGTCTGGCTTTTACGTGTGAGAGTAAAAATACGAGTATTGCCGTGGAACTTCTGGTGATCTGATGATCTCTGGCTCATGGTTCATAATCAACAACTCACCATTTTTATTTTTTTTTGATCACCATCCTCCTTTCGGCAATTGTCGCTTCGTTCACCCACGCATCACGCCTCACGGACTGACGGACCCGCGGTATATTTTGAATTATCAACCTGTCAGCTGATAGGTTGTGAATTGAAGTTATTCCCGCATACTTCTCTCGAACCAATGACTTACCTTGAATTGGAAGAGGCATTTACGCCAGGCCAAGTCAATAGAAAGAAGTATGGTTCGATGGCGTTAATGAAACGACATGAACATAGTTGGCATTAGCACTTAGTCTGCTAGATAGATAGGTCATGGACATCCAATGACCAGTGAATACATCTTCAAATTTTCTATCTCTCCGTATGAGTTAATATCAGTGTCGTGCGTGAAAGAGCCAGGTTTAATATCACAGAAATTCCGAGACGATTGCTCGACTTTCTCCCGTCCGCAAAGCGGGCAAAGTGTCTAATCAAAAATTCATTCGTAAGATCTATCTATCATCATGTCTACAACAAATATACCGACAAACCCGTTCAGCTGAGCGGTCCACATTATATTCCCTACAACAAATCGAAGACTCGACAATCCAACTCGTTTCGATCTATCATTCATCACATTTCGCTAGACATACCTTCCGAGCCTTTAAGATAGATTTGTGATGGGAAGAAGATCAATCGTATGGCGACACGGCTCTCATTGGTCTAGGAGCATGAATCCCTTTTTCTCCACTTGGACTAGGTGGTTTAGAAGGATGATATTGTATAGGTGGCATACTGGTTCTTCGTGAAGATGAATGAGCACTGTTATTAGTCACATCGCTCAATAATCCTCCCGTTTCTTGCAGGACGGTGGATTGTGTAAGTCTGATCCACCTCTCTTTCCATACTTATCGTACGTGAAGATTCGCTAAGCTCGAACAAGAACCAAGGGCGAGTGGAATGGAAAGAAATGGGAACAGTATGTAAGTATCCAACTCACCTCTCATACCTCTCCTTACAAATCTCACATTCCATTTCATGATCCATTCTTATCCTTTCTCCACGAATGTTATATCTCTCATGATGATGATGATTCGGAAGACCTAGATCACCCATGTACCTTTGCCCATGCCCACAGTCATGGCGGGTATGATCGTGGCTCCAATGTCGGTCATAGTGAGGCTGATGAGGTTGCTGCTGTTGATGAAAGTGATCCGGACGAGTCGTATCATGTGCCGACTTCGCTTCCATCTCAGCGGCGATCATACTGACGCTTCTCCTTCCTGTCCTTCCGACCACAATCTGACTATCCCATGAATGTCGATCTTGCATTATAGACGGCCTTTGAAGCCTTTGACCTTCGGCGACTTGGAACGCTTGATGACTTTCGTGCTGAAACGAATGAGATCTTTGTTCCGCCGGAGACACGTCCTGTTTCGTCGTCAGAGGATTAGTCGATCCTCGTATAGGGGTCCGAGCCCTACGAATCACCTCCCCGTGTCCCACTGCGAGGGTTGGTAAAGGTGTACTAAGAATAGGTAAATCGGGTCCCATAGAAGGATAAGGATAGGGAGAATCTGATACGTGCCTCTTTGCTCTCCCTGGTGGATCGATCTTTTGTGGCATAGGATGGTACGTCGGTGCAGGGGCAGCTGAGACGTGTCTCACTTGAGGAGGTCTTGCTGGGTTGTGAGGGACATCCAACTTTGTTTTTGGTTCGACGGGAAGTTTGGGCGGACCATTGGACTTCACAACTCTCGTCGAGGTGACAGAGGGAGAGGTTTCCTTTTCAGGAACCAGAGGTGAGGAGATGTCGTCCATCGCCTGTGTAGGTTGCTGTGGTCGACGGACAGACAGACCGGAAGACAACGGGGACGAGGGTGATTCAGTGGTCTTTGTGTACACGGGTGGACGAGTGATCAGCGGAGAACCGACAGAAAGTTTAGGTTGGACTTTGATTGTCTCCTCATTCACAGACGATTGTACTTGACCCGGACTTTCGGACGATGCGACCGAAGGTGTCAAGACGGTGACGGAACCTCCCTTCGAAGCTTCCGACGGGAAAGAGTGAGTCGAAGGAGGGGAAGATGTCGAAGGGAACGATTGATTCGAAGGTAGGGACAAAGTCGAAGGTAGTGATGTGAAAGATTGTATGAATTGCGGAACGTCTTGAGTTGGATTCCAAATGTCCCCAACAATGTCAGACTCTCCCATCGCCACTCTGGCTTTCATCACCCTAATTTCTTCTCTACGTTTCTCGTCTTGTTTTTCGTCGAGATCAGAAGGAAGATCGTTTTGCCACTTGGCATCTGCCAATGCTCTGACTATCCATGAGTAAAGACTTCACCAGTCACCTCTCCTTATCTCAAACCATCTGAGGAACGCACTACAGCTCCGCAAGGTACCCAACCAGATAAGGTGCGTCACACGCATCATGGAGGATTTCAGGTGTGAACTCACAGTACATCACATCTTTATATCCCCCCGCGGAGACCTTCAGGCCCTCGGAGAACCATCCGACCATTCCTTCCGCCAGTACACCGGCCCCGCTTGCTAATCTAAGTAAGAGGAGAGATTGTTTGGTACCTATCAAGCTCATGTGTTCACTTGTTCATCAGCAATGAGACTCAAGCGGAGGATGACACGTACATGTTCGCTCGCGAGATATCGCCACCTAGATTATCTTTGAGAGCTAGTAAACCAGCGTGGGCTGTGGGAGTATCGGAAAGGGTTTTGGAGGCTTTCCGATAGGCTTTTTCTTATCCGTCAGCATTTGACACTCGTCGTTATGGGAAGGAGATCATACATATCCCAGAGAAGACGATACAGGTGAAGTATCTCTACTTCACGTGTAGTGAAGAAGTGGGATGAGGGACGTACCAGCTTTATCATGTCTTTTACTGATAGCTGTTAGATACGCCTCGTGACTTCTCGTTTCTTTCTCTCGGGTCATCATATGCAACTATAGAAGTAGAGAGCAACGCACGGCGAGAAGGGTGAAGTATTTTGAAGCGTCCGAGTTGACCTCGTCATACTCTTTGTCAATCTTTCGAGCAAGTTTCATCGTCACATCTGCCGTCTGCTCGATAAGCGCAGCAGTCGGACGTATCGTTTGAGCTGACATGGTCAGCTCAGCATCGGACAGACTATCAACACGAGGACTTGGTCCCAATCGGAAGATTTGATAGCTCACCTGGAACTTCGGTCTTGTCCATACACCCTATCAACCCTCTCATAGCTCCTGCCAATTTCCGACCTGCTTTGGCGCTCGCAGCCAAGGAAATTCTGTACTCATTCCACCCTCCCAGGAGGTCTTCCACAGCCTTGACAGTTTTGAGAGCCTCATCGGGTTTGACTTGCCTTGGTGGATCTCTGTTCACTGGGGGGAAGTAAGAAGGTGAAGGAGGGTGAGAAGTGGCTGACGTGACAGAACGTTGTGAGTTGACGGAAGGGGAGTTGGGGGATGCCAACGGGAGAGTTGAGGGGCGGGAAGGGGAGGATTTGAAGGTGAAGCTGGGAGCCATGAGTCCTATCAATACTAGAGTTGTAAACGAGATCCACCCCCAGCTGGGGTAAGTACTGTAAAGTCAAAAATGAGAAAGTCAGTGGAAAGGAGGATATTTGATGGGTGGCGAGTGTGAGCTGCTGATGGTCATTGAAGGGATTGATGCCAGTCCAGTAGTTGTGATGAGCTTGGGCCCTGAGCAACATCCTTCGGTCTTAGTCTTCTTCCTTGGCCCAAGTCGCATACTTCTCCAGCCATGAAAGAGGTGCTAGCCGCCTAGCTGCTGGAGACGGGTCATATCCCAAGATAGTGACTTAGCTGTTGGGTGATCATAGGTGAGTATGTGCGTAAACAGAGACTCGGATCGCTGCTAGACGATGATTTGAAGGCAGTGAAATGTTCTTGTAAGTAATAATCGTGGGATTAGTAAATGGTGGGGTTGGGATTTAGTAATCGCCACGTGGCAACGGCAAGATGAATTAGACTAAGTAGAAGCAAATACGACTTGTTTGTTTTTTTGGCTCTCCCTCTCTCACCCTCCCATCCACCTCGCACGATCGCACTCTCCTCACTCACTCTGCTTCCGGGCACTCTACCATCTCATATCCGACGACACATCGGCTCAGAAGATCACAAGATACTTTGCACGTGTTTGTTCCATCCATCGAAACATCGAAAACTTCATTCCTCACTCGGCGGCGTTTGTAAACGTCGGCAGACCCAGATCGCAGATCCAAACGCATGTTGAAGAAGGCTGTGAGCCTAGTGATACTCTACCGCACCTTACGGCAAACATCTTTTCTCAAACCTAGGTCGGATAGTCGAGTCTCCTCAAACTCAAGCTTCGTGTTGAGAATAGACTGATCACGAGGTGCGTTTGTGTTTCTCTTTCACAAAGTAGTATCAAACCGGTACGTCGGGTTGTCCAAGATGAACTGCTCCCGTCTTCTCTCTCATACTCATCTTCCCGTCACATGATTATGCCGTTCCTAGATCTAGAGTCTTCACCGTTGTACTTTGGTGCCTAGGTCCATTCTCGGTGTATGGTGTAAGGTAACTAGTAACAAACTTGATTCCACAATCCCGTTCCCTGTCGGTTGCCGTCTTGTACACCGCATCATTTTTCCAGTCTAGCAGAAGTTCAGATCGGACAGTCCCACACTCATCTCCCTCCTCACTCTCCTCTCTCACTCGGTCGTTCTGACCTTTACATCTACCCCCGTTCGGTCTCAGAACGAAAACGCGACTTGGATTCAAACAGTCTCGGAGTCACCGCTGACATGACTCCACAGCCCTTCCCTCACGCTCATCCACATTCCCGGTCTCAAACCAATCTTCCTCCGCCCTTCTCCCATCATATCCCTCGACAAAGTCCTGGGTCATCCTCGACTTCCAGGATTCGACCTCTTCCAAGCTTCGCACTCCCCTTACACCCCGTACTACCTTTGCAAACCTGTAACACAGACGGCGCGTCCGGTTCTGTGCCGCAGACGACCTATTGGCCCACGGCCGCCGAACTCGTTTCCAACGCTGATTGTTCGGGCGCGTTCGGCGAGACATACTTTGATCGACTGATCAGGGCGGCAGAGACGACGAACCGTCAGACGGTCGTTGCTTCGTCGAGTACCAGTGTCATCCCCGACGCCCCTTCTCCATACCCCGGAACACAATTAGAAGAATCAGAAGAAAAGATGGCGGAGGTTCGACCTTTCGAGCCCGGTGAGTTTTCCTTGATCTGCAAATTCACAACGCTCCCCGATTTGGCGGCATCTCGCACATCCTTCAAACATTTCGCGCCCTGATGGAGAGCTTTATTGCGCCGTCTGTGAAATAGCTGCGGAGTGAGAGGCATTGCACTGATCTTGGCTTCCTCTTGTTTCGCTCTATACGTACTCCTACTAATCATCAGAATGGCTCAGTCCGCTCTCCAGACCTGCCGCTAGCTATCCTTCCAGCTCATCTCGCTTTCAAGAATTATTGAAAGCCAAGCTCGCTGCTGAACTCGTTCAGCCCTCCAAGGAGGTACAAGTCAAGTCGGATTACCCACCCTGCCCATCTTTGGAGCAGAGTGGGTCGAGCCTCTCTCAACTCAAAACGGCGGAAACAGTGGTGAACCGAACTTTTGCCAGTCAGTACTATGTTGCTGACTCGAAGCCAAACATGAACCCTCCCACTCAGCGCCAACCGTACGACTCGTATCCGCCCCAACCACGTGAAATCCAAACACAATGCCAAACGCAGATTGTCTCGACGGGAAATACATATATGAACACATACCCGACATCGATGGAGCGCGTCATCGGTCAGCAACCCTCCCATTGTGCTCAAATCTCGCAATGCCCACCGCTAGCGCCTCCATTGTACACCACTCGGACCGGGCTCTACGATGAACAAAAGATGAACATGCGCGGTCAACAGATAGGTCCACCGGCTCCCCGTATCATTCATCCTCATTACAATCAAGGGCAGTCCAGTTGTACATCAACTGCAACGTCTGCCAATCAAACAAACCTGCCTCTCTATCAGACACCTCCGCTCCTCACCGTTGAATCATATTGGAATACCCCATACAATCAAGCACCACCTCTCACTTCTCTTCCGCAAGCTCAGAGCAATCCTGTCGCGTCAGATAAAAAGTCCATAGACGAGTCATCATTCAAGTGGACTATTCCTGCTCAGCCAACTCCGTTTCAAGGTGCCGCCAATGGGTGGTCCAACGTCCAATCCACTTCGTCTGTTGAGTTGACTCAGACTCATATAGCACGAGTCAGTCAACAGCTTCGCGAGCAAAATAGACACGTTCATGCCAAAATACAGATGCACCAAGCCCAATCAAATCAGCTCGTACAACAAACATCGCAGATTCAACAACCTAAGAAGCTCCAACAAAGTCAACACATTCAGCAAATTCGTCCAACTGGAAAGATGAATCAGACTCAACGAACACTACAGACAAAGCAAACACCAGTCAAGCCTGAACCCGGAACGTCATACCCCACACCTTATGATTATACTTATTTCAACAATGGATCCAAATTATATGACACCACATCTTCCCTTTCCCACACTCCTACCGTCCCCTCCATCGATCCCCTCCCGACACCTATCACCCCTTCAGAGTCTTCTGAAGCTTATTTTCAATCATCCTCCATGACGTATCACTCCTCACTCTCGCCGTCACATTCTCGTCAACCCAGCTCGGTTTATAGTACACACATCATCCCAAAATCAGGCGAGCGACCAAATCAGTATTCGGTCACGCAAGGTCAAGGTGGGCTGTACAACATGAGCGTCCAGATGCCCAAAGGTATCGTGTACGCCAGTTCGACGGCTCCAAATGGTGACATTGGGGAGGGTTCAGGATCAGCCAATGGTGGTGGTTATGGTGGAGATGGCTATGGGGATGGGAACGGGGGATATGGGGGAAACCAAGAGAATGACGGTTATGGTGGAGGAGGAGACGATGGTGACGGAGGGTACGGTGCGGGAGGTGGGAGTGGAGGAAGCAGCGGTCAAGGAGGTGGGGATGATAGAGGGGATGAAAATGATCCAAATAGGCCGTCAAACAGACGTACACCTAGAGGAAAGAAATTAGCTCTGGCCTGTCATTTCTGTCGGCGACGGAAGTTGAAGTGAGTTCGAGATCTGCTCCTCTCCTCTCCTCTCCTCTCCTCTCCTCTCCTCTCCTCTCCTCTCCTCTCCTCTCCTCTCCTTATCTTTGCTCGTTCTTCCAGCATCTTCCAATACATTCGAGTTCTCTATTCTGACATTGGCCCAAATCATTAGTTCACCCTCACTTTCCCCTTGTCAATCTGCCTAGTTGCAATTCCCTTAGCCAGACTGTGTTCAAGAATCTGTACTTATGAACAGATGCGACGGTCGTCGTCCCGTCTGTGTAAACTGTGAAAAACGTCATATAGATTGTTCCTATGACGAAAACGTCCGTCGACGTGGTCCGGGTAAACGAACGAAAGAAATGCGAGAACGAGCTGCACGAGAAGCCGTCGCTGGTGGTTTATACGATACTGCCGCTGCTTTGGATCAATTATCAGGTTCGGAGATGAAACAACTCGGAGAACAAATGGAAGATTTTCATGGATTTCATGATCCAACTCAACCTCATCAACCTTCACATTCTCATCCAACACATCCAATGGATTCAATGGACCCAATAGATCCCAATTCTATGGAAACCATCGGGGAAAGTTCGTTGGCTCAATATCACGAAGGCGATACTTCTTTAGTGGATCATCTACAAGAAGGTACTTCACTCGCTGAACATTTACAAGAAGGTTTAGATCAATTAAGAGATCAATTACCACCTTTTGATAATAACGACAATTACGGTCAATACCCTTCACCACGTTTAGATTTAAGTATGAACATTGATGAATCAAGAATGGGTGAAATGTCTACTGGTGGTATTGAGATTGGACAATTGGAAGGAATGGGTTTAAATCATTTGAGAGTTTTGGAACATATTGATCCTACTTTAAGAGATGATCTAAGGAATTCAAATTCTGGTGATATTGAAGCGAGAGAAGAAACTTTGGCTCAATTCGATCAACTTGATCAAGGGGGTAGAGAGATGGAAGATACATTGAATATGGATGAAAAGGATAAGATCGAAAGAGGTAAAGGAAGTAGAAAAAGGAAATCTGATATTGTGAGGGAAAACAAAAAACCTAGACAAGAAGTTGGTGGAATGAGTATTTGATTAAAAAGGTTTATATAACGTTGTATCGTGTGGGGGAGAGTCATTGGAGGATGGTTCACTGTTTTCATACAGTAGAGTACTCTACAGTATACCATATCAATCCTTGACTTGTCTTTGAAATGGTAACAGACCCACGTTCCGGAATGTGAGCGGAGTTGAAGATTGGAGGATGTCATAAGCGTGGATGGGATTTCGGAAACTTGGGCACAAATTTTTTCAAGGAAAATTGTTGACATGTCATGCATCATGAAAAATCCTCAAAAAGTCTCTTCGTCATCTTCCAAAGTTAATCCTTCAGGGTCGGGCACTTCGAAACCTTCCTGCGGATCAGAGATCTTTTTTCGACCACATTGTCATGATACAAAGCAAATCTACTTGAGTTTTGAAGTAAGTGACAAACCCAGCTGACAGACGGCCTACTGAGGGGAAATCAAATGACAGTGAAGGGCTTGGAAGAGGGAGAAAGGTAAGTATGACTTACCTGAGTAGCATACAAAACCGCTTGAACACCAGCTAGATGATCTCTTTCTTCATCACACACATCGGGTTGTTCAAGTCGTTTCGTCACGGAAACTTCTATTTGTCGTAATTCTATCATCAGTTGACACTCATCACTACGATGACTTTTCTTCCATGGCATTCTGATCCGTTCGTATTCATGTTCCCCAATATGGCAGGGCACGTAAAAGCTGGCTGACATTCCAATGACGGTGCAACCCAGGCTAGGAATAGGGACATAGATGAAAGTAGGTAAAAGACCCACTGTCAAAGTAAAAATCCCTCTCTTTTTCCAATCCTTCACAATGCAATTGCATCTCTTGGACCTGCGCGGTGAGAGCTTGAAGCTGAGCGTTTGATGTGGACGATACGGATCTGGCTGCGGTTGATGCGGATGTACGAGGTGGTGCGCGATTTGCAGGTGCTCTTGATGAAGGTCCAGAAGTTATAGCGGCGCCTCCTCTGATTCTTGTCAGTTCCAGTCCAAATCACTTCACCTCATCTGTCTCAAATGTATGTCACTCCATTACCAGAATCTGGGTCGTCCCCTGCATAGCTGAACCCAAACTCGTCAAGAGAACGAAAAGAGCCCAGAAATTCGGCTGAATGAGCAGGGGAAAAGTGACGTGGATGAGGTGTTTACAGAGGGAAGGTCGTAGTAGGACTGTGGAACATTATTCATTGCAAGAGCGTTCAACTCACGTTCGCCCCAAAGCATCATATCCACCTCCGGGAGCATTCGCATCCCAAAACTTTTTCATCCATTGTAAAAACTCTAAATTATCTTGCATCTTACATCTATTCATCAGTCTTGTCACGCATCACTATGGCAAACCAACTTGATGAGCTTATCAACAGGTATGGGCTATATTGTCAGCTCTGTACCACCTCATCGACAGTGACATAAGATGGACGACAAGCTAACCTTGTCAATCTTATTGATCGTGAAACACTTTTGAAGGATTTTGAAGTTTTCCAAATGTTCATATTCCTGTCTGGCATTGAACTTGACTTTTGTCATTGGCAAATTACCTATCCTTCAGATTTCACCTCAATACAAACCTTCCTTGAAAGTTGACATACCGAAGATGGAATCCATGACCTATCTCATTAGCTACTTTGTCCTCGCAGAGCTGAGCGCCGAAACAGTATAGCTCAGATCCTCAGAACGCCCGTTGACCAGGGAAGATGAGGGAAAGTCAATGGAGGAAGGAGAGAAGTGGTGGATGTATCTGACACTCACTTGACAATAAATTGCACCAGTACCACATTGCTCCACCTTGGTTATAGGTTGTGGAGGAGCTAAAAGATCATTGAGCCATGCTAATAGTTCTCCACGGGCTGAAGATCAGCTTGAAGCTCCACGACTCTATTTGATCCGCTTCCCCCCATACGCTGCTTCTCCGCTGCTGAGTGAACCAACATGAGGATCATTCACTTGAAGTCGAGGTGAGATCCAAAAGGAAGAAGAGATACGTACATTCCCCCACGTATATAGACATGGTGATTATGGTATAATTGACTAATGACCAGTGGCTAGTGGCAACAAAGATGTTTGACGTATTATGGATTGTCAGCTGCTTTGTTGGAAAGGGAAGGATGGAATGCACTCTGTCATCAGACGCGAACAAAGCGTGGCGCGTGATAGTAAGTCGTAACAATCGGGTTTAACTGCTCTCGGTGTGGGAGACTTATCTCCGACCTGCATATGCCACTTAGAGCCTTCGGTTAACAGCCAAGCACATATCACCGAAGTGCCGCGTCCACCTTCATCTTCAACCTCGAACACTGGACCAATCGACACTTTTATCGATAAAATGGCTTCTTCCATCGGTGAGTCCTTCGTTATTACTTTTTGACCTTTCAATCCGTTTCTGAAAGATCTTGGAAGGGATGGAAAGGTTGTGATCACCGTCGGAAGTGCGCGAGAAAGGTCGACGAGTCATTTGGTGCGGATCTGTCAAGTTAGTCGGACGACAGGAGTACCTCTCCGATACATCTTGAGCCAGTACCAACATTGTTAAGATAAAACTGGACCTAGAGACCAGAGGCGGGATTGGCGTCAAACTTCGCAAACTTCTGCTGCTCCAGTTCATGCCTCCAAGTAGTCAAACTGACCCTTAGGCACAGCGAGCGACCGACGCAAGTCGCGCAAGGCGCACTTTGGCGCTTCCAGTGGAACGAAGAGGAAGATCATGTCTTCCCCTTTGTCCAAAGACCTCCGCAGTAAACACTCTGTGAGTGGGCAGATCTATTCCTCAGTATCCCTCTCCTTCTGGACTTCTCGCCGGACCTGTTCCACCTGCCCTTGGCCTACTGGTGCTCATCATTGTTTAAACTGCCAGTCGTTGTGTCGCATTGGAAATCGATGTGGAAACAAACGAACACATTAGAACGTCACTCACTCATAGTGCCGCTCCATGCCCATCCGGAAAGACGACGAGGTTCTCATCGTGCGAGGAAAATACAAGGGTAGGGAAGGCAAGATCACCCAGGTTTACAGGAAGAAATGGGTTGTTCACGTTGAACGAGTGCATGTGGAAAAGTCAAACGCTGCCACTGTTTCCGTTGGAATACACCCCAGCAACGTTGTCATCACTACTCTGAAGGTGAGCCTCTGCTTTTCAATCCATGTCACCCTCTTTCGCAGGCTGCAGGTGTCGAGAAGTCGTATAGCCAGGATCTCATGCTGATCATACAGCTCGACAAGGACCGTAAGGCGATCCTCGAGCGCAAGGGAAAGAAGAGTTCGAAAGCTGAGGGAGGTGATGTCGAGATGGCAGAGTAGACCTTGGGGGACCCGCATGTACACTGGGATGCCATTCATCATTGATACTTTCAAGTGCCCCCATTTTGACAGCAATGACAGCAGGAGAAATCTGTTTACCCGTGTAGTAGGCGACAGATCTTCATACCTGCAGACTTGCATGTTGCTGAAATGGTCGATCTGAAAGAGCCAAGCTTGAGCTTGTGGTTGTAGTTTGTGCCTTATTCGGGGGCCGCCACGACCACACTACTTTCCCCTTCCCACCCTTTTTTTTACCTCCCCCTCTTTCCTCTCTCTTGCTCACTCCGCTATCGCTCTTCTCAGTTTCCTTAGATACCCCATGTCACTCCATCCTCATCTTTCTTCTCACTAGGATCACGCTCATTGTCTCGGTCTGACCCATCTCTGCCATCCGTCATGTCATCCGCAATCCCCCAGCGAGACCCTTTCGAATCTTCTCCGGCTTACCAAGCCCTCGTAGCTCGGGTAACAGCGACCGAATCTACTTTAGCATCTCTCTCAACTCAAGTGAACAACCTTGCATCTAAAGTTCAGTTTCTCAGCGATAACAAGTCAACTCTGCAAAACGCTTCTCAAGGGCAAGCCAATCCTCAAGCTCAGCCGAATAAAGGTCAAGATCATAGACCTCCTCCCAACGGACATACCGGTTACGTGTTCTCGCCATTCGATACACCTGATCAGACACCTTTCTCATTAGCTCCCCCTGATAATTCAAACCAGCAAAATCCGAGCGCTTCCGGACCTGATCCGACAGTACAAGCTCTCACTACGCAAATTCAGGCATTGTCCACTTCAGTCGCTCAGTTACAACGATTGCAGCATGGGCAACAACAGCGTTCGGTACCGTTCGGAGAGAGAGGTGGGGTGGTCTCTGGTGCTGCGCCTAATCAAGGATCGTCAGGTATGTTCTGACTGTATCTTTTGTAATATTTCTCCCTTCCCTCTCCCCCTCTCTACCCCCAGGAGAGATTTCCGATTGAACCGGTTGTCTCCTCCCACACCTCTTTCTACGAGACCAGAGCAAAGCTCGACTTAGGTCATTCTATTTTCATTCCAAGGAATTCAATTATTTCAAATGGGACCCTGAGAGCTCATAATCAGCTGTAAACCTTCCTCATGGCATGTTAACCCCCGGATTCCCACGACCGGGCATAAACCGTAGTATCTCCGCCATGTCATCCGACGACAAATGGTCTCCTCATGGACAACCACCCGTCCAACGTCTTTCCACAGGACCATTATCAGCTGGGAATTACGGGTGGCAGGGTTCCGGAGGGAATAGTATGGGTACTCCAGGATTAAATTTACCTCCTCCGGGAATAGGAATGCCGGTGACGCCTGGAGGAAACATGTTGATTACTCGTTGGGACCAGTTGGGACTGAAGGTGGAACTTTTGAGGAGTATAGCGAAATATGGGTGAGCTCTCGTCTCCCCTTTTACAATCGTCTGCGTTATCATCTGTCCCTCAAAGACACGAGCTACCTTATTTCGACCTTGGTGGGCCGCTATGGATTAAGTACGAGCAGAATCTCCTCCGGGATCAATTCCAATAACCCTATTCATTTTAAGGGTGTCCTGGGTGCGATTGGCATCGATGGCTCTGGCTGACCTAATGACAGACTCGGACCACCTAATAAAATACAAAGTCGCGTTTTGCCATTCATGGGCAAACCTCACGACAAAGATATCATCGCTCAAGCTCCACCGACACAAGAGAGAATGTTGGCTTAGTAAGTAACCTCCTCGTCGCTCCACGCTTACCGCCTTTTGCCTTTTCGATTGGCGAGAGGTGGTCTTCAATTGTGGATAGGGGTCTGGACTGACAGTCAGCGTCGTTCCTGCCATTCAACTTTGTCTCACTTTGCCTCAACAGTCATACCGCGGTCCAGCGGTGATTATCATCACGACCACTGTAGATCAAGCTTCTCAGTGTCAGAAATGTCAGTGTTGTCTCGTCATTTCACGATATGACACAGGACCACGCTCCTCCCCCCCTCGCATGTTCGCTCCTTGATCGAGCTCTCTTCTCATTCACGAAAACCAATATGAGTGGAGTCGCAATATTTGTCACTCATTCGTATGCAGCCAGACTCTGCTGACACTCAGTCATTCGAGGTATTGGCGGACCTGTCGGTGTTCGTTGCGCCCTAGCCACCGGCATTGCAGGCAATCCAAATCTCCCCAATGAAATTGCGGCTATACATCACGAAGCTGTGCAGGTATTGATTGGTACACCTGTAAAATTGAATGAGATCATGTCGACGGGCGAGGTATCCGGGGCAGAAGTCAGGCTATTCATCGTGGGTCCTGGCTAGTCTTGGTCCCTACGGCCATGCGTCTTCAAATACTTCTTCTCTCCTTCACCCAAGATGTCCCCGTTGCTCCTAGACTTTCACTTGAAGTCCTTGTGGAGCCATGCGAGCTGCCACTATGCACGACCGCATCATGATCATCGGTGGAAGACAGCTGACATTCAGCTCGACGAAGTGGACCAAATGATAGCTCGAAACCTTCATTCCAACATATTGTCCATTGCCAAACATCTGCCACCACCACGAAGGGCCAGCAACGGTGCTCTCACCCCTGGAGCGGTTGCAGGGACGTTCTCCCCCAACGGCGGTGTCACAAGTCCATACGATCCAGGCCAGGCATCGCCTTTTAACCCTCAAAGCAAGACGCCTTTCCCTGGTCAAGGGAGGTTCGGCGGGAGCAGTGCTGTGGCTTCTGCTCCACCGGCAGGAGGAGCGACAGACAGGCAGACTTGTTTCTTGTGAGTCTTACTTTGGCTGTACACTATCACCCTTGCCTCATCCCGACCATCTCACCTTGCCTTTGCTGCTTCGATTCCGACGTTTCAGCTCACTCCTACCCTTTCACGCCTTTGAGTCTTTCGATGGAATGGCCCGTTATCAAATCGGTGGAAAGATTTTCGTATTTGAGCTTGGACTGTGGCGCACGGAATGAAGCAACAGTGAAGTAAAGTAGCTGACTAATGCAATCAGCTCAAACACTATCCCCACAGACGTCATCACCTTCTCACAAACACTCGGTATCCGAGATCCCATCCGCGTCATGGTCCGTAAAGAAGGAAACTCCAACGCGCAAGAATCAGTCTCGTCAGTCTCACAACGCATCAACGTTAAACACACGTATGTTTATCTGGCCATCACTGGCTCAGCTCGGTCTGACGGAGCGGCTGATTCTGGGGGTGTTGGTACGATCGGAAGTGGTCGTACGGCCAATGGTGGACATCCAAGTGAAGAGGCGACAAGGGCAAAGGAGTATAAATTGGATACTTTGGTGAAAATGTTGGATGATTATCCCCTTTGGCAAGCTGTTATACATGTTGGGACTTTTGCCATGTTGGAAGCTGTTGTGTATAAGCTAGGCGCGAGACAATGGGAGACATTGTATCTGGTGTGTAGTGTCTCCTACATATTACCTCTCTACGTCGAGTTTCTCTCTCTCCCCTGCCTCTACTCCACAAAAATTCACTTCACTCATTCTTACTTCGTCATTTAGTCTCTAGTTTTCATTGCTACACCTGCAGGAATCTCATGAGATCATATAGTCAGAATCTCCACATCTTTTGTCCACACGAGTGGAAAATGTAATGATAACATCGAATTAACCACAGACTCCCGATATGCCTCAAGGACAACGCAAACAAGTTCTCAATCAATGGCGTCACTCCATATCTCCTTCCGGTCCAAGATTTCTAGTCGTATTCGATGTTAACGTCAAACCACCCGATATCCCCTGGGCTCCACTCGTTATCAACTTCGATCTTCCCCGGTCAGTAGAGGGATATGCTCATAGAGCCGCTGCGGCTGTTCCACCACCAGTGAGGGGGAATGGGAATGGTAATGGGGCTGGTGGTTCGGTCGGATGGGGGAATGGTAGTGGAAGCGGCGGTGCAAGTGGAGGGGTGAACGGTGGTAATGCAGGGAATGGGGGGAATGGACCTCAAGGAGTTATCGTAAATTTCGTTCAGGCTGCAGGAGGAGATGTAGAGATGCTTCGATCGACGGAATGTGCTTATACTTTCAAGGTGGGTTATATTTCTTGTTCCATTCTTCCCTTTGACTTATCCCACTCTATCAATCACATTCCAATCTTCTACCATCCCTCATTCCAACTTGCAACTCTCATTCCATTCTCAACATGACTTGCCGAGATGGTCACCCCCCTCGGCCCCCCAAATCAACCCATACGTGGTTCTTGCTTTCTGGTCCTGATTGATCCCACCTTGACGACATTCCGTCAGTATCGGCGATATGAAAACGTTGAACCTCAGGATATCACTAACGATCAGTGTGCAGAGATACCCAGTGTATTCCACGATTTGTTTCAATATTAATTCTCTTTGATATTCTCTGTGGACTGTAAATCTCTCCAACATATTCGTCATCTATCACCCAATGGATCCAAGTTGGAAGATTGAACTCGCGCAAATTCCCGAAAATTACGAAATGACGAATCACACCCATTGTCACACTTCAACGTCCCTGTAAGCCTGTGAGCACGAACCTCAACGATCAACCGAGAAAGAATGGGGAAACGAGGAAGTTGAACAATGTGACCCAAGTGGGAATTTGGGAATTTGAGAACAAGATTTATATATCCAAAAATCTTTACTGTTCATCTATCATCTACCAGGTATCTACCTCGTTATTATTTTGACAATGAAAGGAAAGAGAATCTGTATCTGTATCTTTACATACATGCATTTTGTACCTCATTTGTACTTTGCACATCCAGCATTTCCCTACTCAATCGTTTACATCAAGTCAAATGTTCGCTTTTCGTTTCATCGCCAGTCTAATGTTACATGTACTATACCAGTATATATGTATGATACTTGGTTTGAAATATACTCATTATATAATTTACGAAACAACACTTGTATTTCAATGATACAGAGATTACTATAAACCCTCTATATCCCAAATCAAAGTTGAGGGAATTGTACATTCGACATTTGTTCTCACATTGACACAAGTCCTAAACTTTCTTCCCATACAGAATTCATCTTGATTTTCACTTCAGTCATACCACAGCTCCTATCTCTCCCACTCTTGTCCCTCCCCCGACCGAACCCATGAACCCTGAGGGAGGTTCAAGATCAACACAGAGTGATCGAAATCTAACGAGACCTTCTTAACGTTGTGAAGGATATCGGGAGGTCTTCGACCAGCGATTCGAAGGCAAGAATTTTGACAGAGGGAAAAGACGTGGGAAAGTTGAGGAAAAGTAGAAAATAAAGTATGAGAACAAACACTTCAAATCAACCCCTGATAACTTCCATAACACCTCCTCCCCAAACATGATTCAATACCTTCGGTTGATCCTTTGGTTCTATACCAATTTCCACCACATAACTCACTCCGATTTCAGGAGTAACGAAACTTGGTAATAGTGGATTAGGTATCGTATTTAAATTATATAAAGAATAAGGTGTAGGAAAAGAATTTATTATTTTGATTTGTCCTAATAAATGAATATCCGTTCTTGTTTCTGAAACATTTGATATTCCATTCGATTGATTGATATTCCTTGAATGATTGGTATTATCATTTATCGACTCTGGATTTATCCCAGTAGACATTGTAGGAGGTTGTTGTTGTATTTGTGATATATTTGAAGAACCTGATTCCCCCGTTGTGATCCTCGTATTCCCCATATCGGTCGTCGTGGTTGAATGACTTTGAGATGAATTATTATTTGTAGAAGGATTTATATTATTTGAAATGGAAGAACGATTCGATCCTCTTCTAGACCAAAACATTCTTCTCCTTTCACTAATCACATTAGATTGTCTTCTCCATCCTCTTATACCTGAAACTCCAGCATTGATCGATCCTAATTCCACTCTATCTTCTTCAACTTCACCTTCTTTCCATAATTGCACTTTGGTAGGTATTTCAGTTCTTCTAATTTCTCTCTCTCCACCACCCACTCGGATACTTGATACACGTACTAATCGAATTATATAACGACTTTGTCGAGGGTCCGCTAATTTTTCTAAAGGACCAGAAAGAGAAGAATGGAAATGAAGATGGAATGGAATTGGGGGGGATTCATGTTGTCTATGAAGGAAGATGATAGGAGGTGAAGGTAAGAGAAGAGATACTTGAACTCCTAAGTTTGATGTTGAAGATGAAGAAGTAGATGGAGATGGACGAATGGGATCACCACCACGAAGAGGGATCGTACGCCAACCTGGATTAAGAGGGTCATCAGATGTTAAAATACGCAATCGTCTTGGATGGATGTAAGAATGAGGTTCGTATATGATCGGCAAGGAGAGTCTGCAATATTCAGCGAATACTCCAATGTGCTTCAGACGTCGCCTTCATAGCACCATTAAGGCGATGATCCCCCTGAGCTTGTTTACATCTGAAAACCTGTCCAAGCGGTCTTGTGAAACCACAAGTCTTCATCCGTCCCGATGATTGTAAATTCAAAGACAAGAGATTGTGTACTGAATAGAAAGAAGAGACACTCACGTTTCCTTCATTCGCCAAGATTTACGAGACAACCTAACTCTGAAAACATATTCCACACTTGCGTGCATACCCAGCTGGAGAACATGGCACGAAGGCGGTAATTCGACATTCTCATCGAGATAGTGTGAACTCGGCATGGTCAAAGAAAAGTCGTATGTTGAACCGGGTTCAATAAATTGTTGTTCTTTCTTCACCTGGTCTCTTTGAGCAGTGACACTCTCTTGTCGAACTTGGTCATCATTCCCCACCCCTGATACGGTGACTTCAGTTTCAGTCGTTGGCTGTGTGCTTGACTCCTGTGTTTGACCGGAAAGAGGTGAAGGAGACATCGTAGGATATAACTGAACGATATTCCTCGCTAAAAGAAGAGTCTCCATCATTGAATATTGTCCTCTGACATGATAAGTTGATTGTACTGTTCCGACGATTATAACTTCCAATTTCGTCCCATATTCCACTCCTTTACCCACTTCCACCTTACCCTCTATCACACCTCCTCTTCCCATTTTGATGATTACTGGACCGGTACCATTGGAGTTACTTCTCTGTGCCGACCTCGTCAAATGAACTCGAAGACGTTTGCTCCCGGTCGATATGGTTGGGTGTGGTGGAGGGATGTTGAGAGGAGGATTGAGAGATGTCAGAGAATGAGAGAAGGCCAATGCGGAAGGATGTGTTTGATCAAGATGAGAAGTAGAGAAAAGTCGGGTTTCATCTTGATGCAAATGAGGGGAATACACGGGAAGAGCTGATGGACATGAAGTCAACGGATCGACTTCTTCTATCGTAGATGGTGATATTCTTTCTTCCTCTATCCGTTGTGGGATAGTTGTAGAAAGACTATGTCTACGTATTGGCTCGGATAGAAATTGAAATTGTCTCGGTCGTGGTGTAAGAGGATCATCATCGTCTTCATCGTCGTCAAACTGATTTTGTATATTGACTGTTAAGGGAGATACGGGGCTCCAGGAATGTGAAAAAGGAGGGATTACTTGGTCGTAAGAAGGGATAGGATCCATATAAGCTGGTGGTTCAATACTTTCCATAGTGTCTTCGAGGTCATTTGTGACATGTTGATCGTCATGTCGACGAGGAATGGGTCGAGGTCTATCCGTTACTCCAGATCTTGGCGGGGAAGAAGGACGTGGGAGACCGAGAGATCCGGGATCTGCTATGGGCGGTAAACGGGGAGGAAGGGGTGGACTGCTGGGTGCTGACTCCGAACGAGCTCTGCGAGTTCGGAACAGGGACCTCATGGCGTGTTCACTCGACTATGTTTGAGTCATGGTCAAACACTGGTACTGGTACAGGAACAAGTAAGTATGAATGCTACAGTACGAGGGTCAGTGAGGACGTTGAGAAAGGATCTCGGAAGCAATTGTAAAGTCACGTGATCCAAAGGATGACGTAACGTCGATCCAATCGTTCAATCGCCGGTCCTCCGTTGCTCCCTTGAACCACCTTCTTTGTCATCTCCACAGCATTACAACTCCTCTTCTCTTTCATACATACACTCATACACCGAACAGCATAGCCTCACCTCGGTCGTCCTGTTCTCTCGGGACGATATAAATAGTCATCTTGGCGAACTGCATGTCCATACTCTCATTCCTCCGCCGCTCAACTATTCAACGAATTTCAACTCGATCGCCAACTTTCACACTTTTCCCAATCAAACCTCGACCAATAAACCTCTTGACCGTCATACCCGCTGCTCATCTCAGCAATATGGCCGGCTCCAACGTTCAGAAGACGGACCAAGAATGGCAAGCTGTCTTGTCCCCGGAACAAGTGAGTATTCCCGGGCAAGATATGAGAACGCCGAGCAGGATGCTGATGATTCAGTTTAGAGTACTTCGGATGAAAGGAACAGAAGCACCAGGTACCAGCAAGCTTGAAAAGTTTGCCGGAGATGGTGTTTACTGTGAGTCATATCTCCAGTTGAGTGAGATTGTATTTATGTGATAAGGTTGCGCCGCTTGTAATGCTCCACTGTATAAGAGTACCACGAAATTGTGAGTGTCGACCTCTCCTCGCCGCTTCACTCTCCCTGGAACCACCCCACCCCAGGCTCCCTTAATATGTGAGGTGAATACTAGCGGAGTGGATCCAACGTTCTGGAAAGCAGATCAAGCTCGAGAAAGAGCTGACCGCTAGCAACTCCGGTTGTGGCTGGCCTGCCTTTTTCGACGCCATACCAGGTGCCATCATCCGAAACGAAGACAGGTCAATGTTCATGACTCGGACCGAGATTGTATGTAACAACTGCGGTGGACATTTAGGTCATGTCTTCAAAGGAGAAGGTTTCAACACTCCTACCGATGAGAGGTTAGTTGGCATTCCTTATTTTCCCTATCTGCTTTTGTCCACTCACTCTATCTACTCAACCTGGCTCTGTATTCGTGCAGCTGAGAATCGCAAGGTAGAAGAGCTGACAAATAGACATTGTGTCAATGGTATCTCCTTGAATTTCAAAGAAGAGGCTAAGAAATAAAGCTCGAGTATCTGTCGTGGTCCTTAGTAAATGAACCCAGTCTCTTCCAAGGATAAGTAGAGTATGAGTACGAATACTCTTACAGTATATATAATATCTTGGTGTAAGATATGCATGTTGTCAAGTATACGATGGCCTACGAGCTCACAATGAGTGCACTTGCGTATGGGATCTCCCCTTCATCGGTCAGGAGGCAAGGTAGCAACCTGAGGTATTCTTACTCTGAATCGTTACACCCAGTTGCCCTTACAACGACGCGTCTCTCAGTTTGATTTTACCTCCAAGTTTACCTTTATCACCCCTGCCATGCCATCTCAATGTCATCACAGCCTGACACTAGCTCTCTACCGTCTCTACCCACCCCGGACAGATTCGAATTCCCCTATGCTAAACCCTATGATATTCAAGTGGAGCTCATGCGCACCGTGTTCAGGGCGTTGGAAGATGGCAAGATAGCCATTGTGAGTATCCCTTCGTCGTCTCATCCCCGAGTGCAGAGGGGAGCTGACAACACAGGTAGAATCCCCCACTGGGACAGGCAAAAGTTTGACTTTACTCACTGCTACTCTCACCTGGCTTAGGGCCCATGAAGAAAGAGCCAATAAAGAAGTCGAAGAATCCCTTAGGACGAAACTACAGGCGGAAGATCCGGATGGTGAGTTTGCATGTCTTCTCACTTCTCCTCCCCATCTAACTCCTCTTCCTCAATAAGGGGTGAGTGGCCGCAGTCAGTAAAGCAAGTTCAAAGAGGGGGAGAACGGCTGCTTTACATATCTGAATTAAGAGACTGAGGCTAAAGGCAAGCGGCTGATTTCAGATCCACCATGGGTTATAGAACACGCACTTAAAGCCTCTCTGGACACTCATCGTGCAGCTCAATCTCAACGTCTGGCCAGACTCGTAGCCGTTCGAAAGAAAGAACGTCAACAACGGCTTGCTTCCGCCACGGGAGCTTTTCGTTCTCGTCAATCGAAGAAAGTCAAAGTTGAATCATCAGAGTCTAATGTGGAAGAGGAGAAGGATGAGGAATTCTTACCTGAGGACAACGAGGTGAATGGTGGTGAGGGGGAGTATTTGAGTGTAGAGGTGAAAGCTTTGATGGCTAGGTGAGTGGGTTACTCTTCTCTCTGTCTATTTGCGGAGTTACCATGTCCTTGAGAAGGCTCCGATGTATCTTCCTGCTATACCTCTCCCCCTGAAGACTTTGGGTTTTTGGCTGTCACCCTGCCATCACGCTGTTTGTTCAGTGGCAAGACGATGGGACGGGTCTTTCGACTCAGAACGCTTATCTCGATCTGGAGTTGGGCAATGCGTGAAAGCAGCTGATAACAGATACGATGCCATGTTGCCAAAAACCACACAAGTGGAGGAGAAAGAAGAGGATTTACCCAAGGTTCGTCATCCTCCACGCAAATACCTCCTCTCTCTTCCTGATCATTGTCACACAACATATCTCGTACATACTCTCTCTAAATCCGATCACTTGATGATTCGGATGAGATTCCTCTTTGTACTATGGACGGAATCAAGAATCGCCATTGACAACTCAGATATACTTCGCATCCAGAACCCACACCCAACTTCGTCAACTCACTTCCGAACTCCTAAAAACTACATTTGTTCCTTCTTCTTCGGATACGCCGGATTCTGAAGGTGACACACATGGGATCAGTATGGTCCCCCTCGGCTCGAGGAAACAGTTATGTATCAATGATAAAGTCCGCGCGTTGGCAAGAAACGGGGGTGATGAGAGGATGAATGAGGCTTGTTTAGATATGCAAAAGTCGAGTGAGTGTCTTCCATGTCCTTTTGATCAATCTCTATATCAAAGCTGTTCTATGACCTCTACCCAGTCTCCCGAACCCCACTGCTCTTGCCACCCTTCCATATGCTCTATGTCCGTATGATTGTGCTAAGCCTAGACAAAGCCAGATGCGAGTTCCTCCCCAAATCCGAGGACGTCGCGATGTTGGATGCAAGGGATGCGGTCCTTGTGAGTCTTTTCTACACCTTGAGTCTCTGTGCGTTGCCATGCAAGGTGAGAGATATGAAAGCATCATGACACAGAGTGGGGTCGTCAATTGTGTCGGTCAGTTGGAGACCAGCTCAATGACATCTCAGGCCGAAGTCCGAGATATCGAAGATATCGTCCAGATGGGTCGGAAATGTGGCGTGTGTCCTTATTATTCGACCAGGCGAGCTGTGAAACAAGCACAGGTAAGTTTGTTCCCGAGACCGTGGGATTTGGTTGACTTTACAGCTCGTGACTTTACCGTATAATCTCCTCTTGCAAAAGAACGCCAGGGAGGCTCTAGACATTGACCTGAAAGGTCAAGTTGTTGTCATTGATGAGGCCCACAGTCAGTCTTTGGATCTTCCCTCTATCCTCTCTATGACCCTTACATCACTCCATGATATCTATCTAGCAGCCTACTGGGAACTAGGCGAGAGATCATCACAAGCTCTGTGACTATCGTAGGTGGTGTGGCAAGAGGTTAAAATGTGACTAGAAAGTTGACCATTCAGACCTAATAGATACTATCCTCTCCATCCATTCAACCACCCTAACGCATCATCACCTAACCTCTGCCATATCTCAACTCCAACAATACCTCTCACGGTTCAAAACCCGACTGAAACCCATACACACTTTATGGATACGTCAGACGCTCTCCGTTCTTACAGGTTTATCAAAAGTTTGTCTATCCTTCTCCACCGCCACCCCTTCCTCTTCGAACTCATCACAAAACAAGTCCAGGTCGGAAATGATGGATGTCAACACTTTCATGGCCCGTGCGGGCGGTTCGACTGACCAAGTGAATCTTATGGACCTCGTTCGGTATTTGAAAGAAAGTAAGTTGGCTAGGAAGGTCAGCGGATTCGCAGAGAAGGTAGAAGAGGCTTCCAAGAAGCGAAACAAGGGTGAAAGATCAGATGTACGAACGAGACATGCGGCTATAGCTGCTTTTCATCTGGTTGAAAGTTTCTTGTTGAGTTTGACAGATGCAAAAGATGATGGGAGGGTGATCTTATCGGATGAAGGGGGGAAATTGGAGTTGAGGTATATCTTACTCAACCCTGCTGAAAGATTTAGAGAGGTTGTGGAACAGGCCAGGAGTGTGGTATTGGCTGGGGGTACGATGGAACCTGTGAGCAACTTTCTCAACTACTTCCTATCAGATCTTTTGTGTCATAATGCAGTCACAGTCGTCACTTCCTCTCCCCTGTGGGGTTGCGGTAAGACGCAATGCTGTCTTTCTTCCCGAGGATTAATCAATGCTCAAATTCGTTCCAAGGTGATAGACAGAGTCGGTAAAAGTTGACTCGTGAAAGACTGACATGTAGATAAACGACTTTCTACGTCAATTATTCCCCTTCGTGACCCCTTCCCGAATAATCACTCTCTCATGCTCGCATGTCATTCCAAAGTCTAATCTCCTCACTCAAGTAGTGTCCTGTGGTCCGAGGAAGATAGAATTGGAGTTTAAATATTCCAACCGGTCTGATGATTCTTTAGTGGGTCTTGAAATCTCCTTAAAGTCTTCGCTTCTCCTTTCTCCTACTGTCGTCGTTCATTGTAACGCTTACACTTCGGGACATCTAATCATCCTCCTTTGCTTTACTTCGTGTTCTGAGACTTGATAAAACGTTTATAACTAGAGGTCACTTAGAAACTCAATGTTGTGTATATATCTGACCCCAGCTCGCCGAACTTGGCTCCGTCATTCTCTCCACAGTCGGACTAGTCCCCGATGGCATAGTGGTCTTCTTACCTTCTTATTCCTTTTTAGATAAAATCAAACACACCTGGACCGCCGTGTTACCCAAGTTGGCCGAGAAGAAACATGTAAGTTGCTCCCGGTCTCATATATGTACAAGGGAGAAGCTAAAAACAGGTATTCTACGAACCCCAAACGTCTGGGGAAGTGGAGACTGTCTTAAGGGATTATTCTTTGGCCATATCAACTGTCAGTGTCAGGTTCCTTCCTGCTGAGAGGCGATGGACTTGCAGCTGACGAGTAGCCTCCAGGTATAGGAGATAAACGTAAAGGTGCACTCTTGTTCGCTGTGGTTGGTGGCAAGTTGTCAGAGGGTGAATCACTTTTCATCTACCTTTTATCAAGTTCATTCCCCCTCTCCCACACACACACCGCCCCGCCCCGCCCCACTCGACTCTGTTCATCTTAGACAAAGCCGCGGTGATTCATCCTTCATATATGGTATCCGTCAGACGACCTAGTCCATCATAAGATTGCAATGAACAAAGATACATGATCCTTTTTCAAAAGAAAGATATTATCCATCGACTCTCTGCGCATGTTCTCTCGCCCGGTTGGGTAAGCTGACATCAAGGTATAAACTTTTCAGACAGATTAGGAAGATGTGTCATCATGGTCGGATTACCATTTGCCAATATTGCCAGTGTAGAGTTGAGTGAGAGAATGAAATACGTTTCTGGTTTACCTGGTGCTGGACCTGATGCTTCGAAAGAATTGTACGAGGTGAGTCGTACTGCCATCTATTTAGAGTTTCATCATTCTCCTTACATTCCACATTGACAATGCGTCAAGTCTTGACGTCTGTCAATATCACTCTGTCCTCTCCTCTCTCCAAGGAGTCCATTCGTTGTAGACTCATAAAGTCCGCTCATTTCATTGAGAACGTTGTGCGTCATCTTCACCGTGATCCGTCTACATATTCACGAGAACCCCACTGAAACACAGAATTTATGTATGAGAGCGGTAAACCAATCCATCGGTTAGTCTCTCTTCCAACTTCCCCCAAACCTAACTTTCTATTCAACCCTTCTCTTTCCGTTTCCCCGTTTCCCCCTTTTCCCTTTTCGCCCACTCGTCCCCACCCTTCATCTCCATGCTCATTCTTGTTTCTCCACAGGTACATGATATCAGATTGACTTAACCATCGAAAAGCAGCAATGTAAGACTTCCCACTGAAATCCAGGTCGAGCGATACGTCACGCAAACGATTACGCCTGTATTTTACTAGTTGATAAACGATACGCTTCACAACGGATCCGACGTAAGTTGCCTAAATGGATAAGGGAGGATGTCCAAGTTCCTCCGGATTGGGCTGGGGTCGCACGTGGTTTGGCGGGGTTTTTCAGGGAGAAACGAGAACGGGAAGGGTTTGTTTTGGGATCATAAGTTTTTTTGTACTATATACATACTGTAACATCTGATATCTTCTTGGATCAATCGGTATCATGACTTTACCCGTCCTCTATATCTACATATGACAATTGGTGGTTTTGGGTAGTCATGTATAGAATATAGAAGGAAGAAAGGTCAAATATGCAGTTAATTCTGACGTGCTGGAAACAATGTCATATGTGTGCATAAACTGATCCCTAAGTGAGACAAATATGAGATGCCGGTAGACTACTTTGTATACATGAAGACTGTTACTGTTGAGAGAATATTCAACATGATGCTGTAAATGTAATTCATAGTTGTTTGATATCTTGAACAAGTTGACGAAGTTGTTCCATCTCCGGTTCATCGTTAAATCTGTCAATTAACATTGTACGATACTATCTTCTCTTCTTATTTCCCCGACTGGATCGTTGAAGGCCCTTGTAGAAAAAAAAAGAAAAAAAAAGCCAACCAAATGTAAGACATCACGACGATACAACATTGGGAATTTAGTTATCTTGCTATACCCCACATGTCCAAGATCGACCTCGTCAATCCAGAAGACGATAATTAAAGAAACGAAAACCGAAAAACGAGAAAGGAAAGGCGAAAACTTGAAAGATTCCTTTAAAAACTCACACTTTCGTTCTTGCCATAAACGTCCTAATTATATTTCTCGCAGTTAATTTCCAATTAATCATCTCCCCTCTTTCAACCCTTACCGTCTCTACCTCATTCTCCTCATTCCTTATAGATAATCTTCCCTTTTTTCTGTCCGTCATCTTAGTTCCTAAATCCTTCAAAAGATCCACAATTTCAATCACATCTTTAACCCCTTCTTTCCATTTCTCAATATCCACCTCTACTTCCCTATTCGACGTCACACCGCATTTATAAGCTCTCAAAGAAGATTCTACAGCTTGATCATATTTCTTTTGATAGACTAAGAATCGAGAATGGGATTTGTAGATATGGGAAGAATCAGTAATGCGAGGTAAGAGAGTTTGAGAGAATAATAATGATAAAGTGTATTCTAATCCGTATGTGAAGTTCTCTTTTAGTTCAGATGAATCGACTTCTGGTTTAGTAGATTGTGCGACGTCGTCTTCGGGAATTGTATTGAGTTTCTGAGACTGAGACTGATGGTTCCGATTCTGAATCTTGGGTTGACCATCGATTGGCGATTGATTTTGTTGTTGGTTTTGATCCTCCGATTGAGTCAGGAATTGGGATTGAGTTTGAGAGTGAAGTTGGGTTTGAGTTTGAGTTGGATTTTGTTGAATAACCGCATCCACCAATTTATCCAAAACATCAAAATCTACCATCCTGATAGGATCCTTTCCACCGAAATCCTCTACCAACCTCATCATAGCTCTACAAGCTTCTACCAATTCCCCGACCGAAAGAGCTAAAAACATATAATTCTGCCACATTCTCCAATTTGTAGGTGATGCTTTAAGACCTTGACGGAGGGCGCGGAAAGCAAGAAGTTTGTATTCCATCGCTGTTGGGAGTTTCGAAGATGAATCTTCTTCTTCCTCTACGATATGAGATGAGTCTCCATTCGTCCCCTCAAGTTGGTCGGGGTTTGATACATGTTGGGGACTCATTACATGCTGATTTGCTGAGAAATCGTCGAGTTTACTCGAAGTAAGAGTATTACTCTGAGGATTGTAAGATTTGTCCGAGGATGTATCTGCGCTGAGAGATTGAGATTTCAGAGGAACTATTGTTGAAGTACTCGACGAAGAAGAGGAGGAAGAAGTAGAAGAAGAAGATAACAATGATCGATCTGCCAAACGTAAATAAACAGCGGCGAGATTATTCCATCCTTCCGCATCATCTTCATCCACTCCTACACCTCTTTGAAAAGCGTCTCTAGCTTCTTCCCAACGTTCCAGCTTCATATAACAAAAACCTAAAGTGAACCAACTTCTAGAATAAAGAGGGTTTATTTCCAAAGCGAATTTAAAACATTCGATAGATCCTTCATAATCCTCTAGTGAAACTTTCAAACTTGCCAAAGATCTCATTGCTCTAGAAGAAGTTTTATTGGATATTTCCCATGCTTTCCAATACATATCCATAGCTTGTCTTTTCGTTTCATTTGGATTTCTTGTAGATTGTTCAGAAGATAATGCTAAATCTCCTAATAAACACCAAAGTCTAGCTTCTCTTGCTGTACCTAATTTTTCTTTCCCTCTTTCTGATATCCTTGAAGATCCAAGAGTTTGAATCAAATCAGATTCTACTTTATTACCTTGTAGTAAATCTTTCACTATTGAAATAGCTTCTTTTTCACATTCCATCTTTTGCAAACATAAAACTGCGTCTTCCCATAATTCCAATCTTGTGAAGATATCTAAAGCGGATCTCATAACTCCTAAAGATAAATATCGTCTTGCTAATTCACGTTCCATTTCCCATTTACTAGGTAAGGGTAGGTGATGAAACCATCTCAGTCGTTCAGAAGGTGTGGAATCTGTACTTGGCATCTGATCGATTAATGCGGCTAATTGAAGTGCGGAACGTTCGACAGTACGTGAACGATTAGATTCTAAACGTGATCGAAGGAGAAGAGCGGTAGTGTGAACTGACCAACTATCTGGATGTGAGATAACTCGGGTAATGAAAGGCATCATTTGAGAAGAGGTCAAACCGTGGGAAGGAGAGGAATTATGTTGCGATAAACAAAGTGAGAGGAGTAGGGATTGATCGAGTGGATGAAGTGGGGGTTGAGAAGTAGGATCAAGGTGAGAAAGTTTAGAATTGGTGGATGAAGAACATAGTTGAGTAGATTTGGTGAATTGTGTTTCTTCCAGAAGAGTGTCATCGTTGAGTGGTAACGTTTGTGGTAGGTTATTTGAGACTTGGTCTTTACTTCTATCCTTTGTTTCCTCTCTAATGCTGGTCCCATTGGTCATTCCAGCATCAGAGGCAGACGATGTATTCGAAATAGACGCAGCTTGATGACTGTCGTCCATGGTGTTTGAGGTGGAAGAGATACCCGACGAATCATCCGGACGAAATCTGGACTGAGCGAGTAAAACCAATTGAGAATGCTCCTCCACTTGGTATTTCGTTCTTTTCCCCAAAGCTCCTGTCAATTCAAACTCCAACCCACTCTCCTTCGCAGCTTTCAAAAAAGCCGTATTGGCCAATTTATCTTGTCCCAGTGAATGAAAGTATAACCCAATTTCCAATTCCCTCATACTTCTCAAATCTTGATCATCAGGTAATTCCATATTCTGTACTGCCTTTAACTTGTCAGATGATAATGGGACTTTTTCATCTAGTAAAGATTGGTGTACCATATGCGCACGTAGTATCCACCATGATATACTTTCCAACGTTGATTCGATTTGCAATCGTTTGAGAAGACGGAGAGAAAGAACGAGGAGGATAGGTTCAGAGACGAGATGATATGCCGGTTCACCGTTTAGTGTTAGGAAAGGTAAAGCGGAAGAATTGAGATCTTGAAGTGAGATTGAGAGAGATGTGAGGAAGTCTAGAGGTGTGAAAGAGAGAGATGGACCTGTCCAGTTGATTTGAATGAAAGAATGTAAAAGAGCTATGGCTATGATAAGTGTTTTGATGTCGTTTGAATCATGCGATTGGTAAACGCCATTGTCGATGTCATCATTGACATTACCCGTGATGATGGAACTGGTAGACTCGGAAGATTGAGTTGATAGACCTTCCAAGAGACTTGGGTCGTTGAGGATATCGACGGCGGAGGGAGAAGTGAGGACGGATTTAAAGTCGGCGTCTAGTAATTGGTCGAAGAGATTTCTCACCACATCCGAAACCTCCGAGCCAGCACTATTTTGAGAGCTTGAAGCTGACGCATGATAACCCCTTATGAGGTCCCATTGGAGATTTGACATAATGTTCACGATGAGAGGGGGAATACCATTTTTTTTGGACAAAATCCGATGCGTTCACACGGAGTTCAAGTCAATCTCCGCACACTCACTCTTGGCTGCAGAAACTCTTAACTCACCGCCAAAGTAGAGTAGGCCTCTCATAAACACCTCCTTATCACTACCACCTCAAGGAAATACTAGCAGCTAGCAGCTAAGAGCTCTCAACAGCCCACAGAAAAATCATCAGACTCATTGGTTTTCCTACGATTTATGAACCATCAATCATAATCACACTTGAACTACTTTCCTTCACTCAAAACACAAAACGCTCAGTCCAAACTCTCAAAATGCGCTCGAATAACTCTCTGACTGTCTTGCGTCAATTCCAAACGAAATTCTCAAAACCATATCCACACTCTCTCCGTTCCCTATCATCTTCTACCATCCTATACATCCCTTCAACAACATCGACACCTCCCAAGTCCTCTACCGAAGAATCGAATCATCCTCAAAAACCTCGTCGTCTCCCTCGTCAAACACTTCGTTCATTAATAAACCTCCATCATTCTTCTTCTACTTTCCTTCCTCCTTCTAATCTGAACTCGACGACTTTCAAAAATATATTCGGTAATAACGAAAGTATTTTCATGTCATATGATTCTTTCAAAACACGTATTTTATCATCATCACCAATTCCCATTCATTCATCCTCTACTCCATTTTATGACCCTTCATCCTTAAACTCGTTTTCCTCCCCTTCTTCTTCTACTTCGAACAACCCTTCCCATTCACAAAACTCGAAGGATTCTTCAGGAGATTCGATTTTAAAATCACCTAAAGGTGGTATTTTCGGAGGTTCATCAACCATACCGGGTGGTATAACAATCGTCGAATCTTCCCCCGTTAGAGAAGGTGTAGGAGCCGTAAGAAAACGTTCAGAGGATGATTCAGATAGATCGGTAGATATTCTTTTCAATTCTCCTTATGTCGAACATTCAATGGTTGAAGGAGATGTCGATGATGTTAATGAAATAGAAGGAGGGAAAGGAAAGACAAGAGGAAGAGGGAAAGGGAAAAAGTGTGAGAGAAGAGATATGAGAGATAAATTTACAAAAAGAGAATGGGAAGCTAGACAAGCTATTTTAGGTATATACCATTCTGGTTTCACACCTTTACCAGCTTTAGAAGGTTTGGAAGAATATTTAGAAGCTAAAGGACAGAATGTGGAGGATGCCGCTAGGGAATGGGAGAGAAGACATGAAGATGGAGTATAGGTGTAGTACATAGGTGTAGGTCGTGTCATGTTTGACACCCGAGTGAGTGAGGATCCGTGGGGATGGATATCTCAATTGTCGGGGTGCTTCATTCTGGGGAGGGAGTGGGGTGATTTGGGGTAGTACAGAATCATGCAGAACGGTAAATGGTTCAAAATCAACGTGTGGGCTTCGAGGATAGGTCATTCGACGGGTTTGCGAGCGCAAGTTGAAGGTTGGGTTAATTGATCTTCAAGGTCGGGGGTGGGGAAGAATCAGGTCGGGTCATCAGAAGAAGGTGACAAGTGATCAACGAAATGTTATCAATGCAGATTTTTTCAAACAGTCTTATCAACATTTTTGTTTTTTTCTATATACAACCTCATCTTTCTCCCTCGCATTCTCTAAATTTTCAAATTGGATGGCAACATGTATCAAACACCTACCTCACCTTTCCCCTCTCTCTAAGATCCCCATTCAATCACACGAAGCAAGAAGACTTCCGTACACTAACTCCCCATGAGGACATCCCCTTTTCCTGACCCTTCCATGTCGAGTACGATGGTTTCCAGTCATTTCATGTGGGGTTGAAAATTCGAGTGAAGTCGTGTGAAATAGCAAAATCGATATTCTGTCGAGTGAAGCAGAACGGAAGAAACATGTCGTGTAAAGAGTCTTTCTTCCAAAGTTTTGACTGAGTATACAAACAAAACTCAGAGACACACAAATCCTCACCAATCACCAACATCCCTCGTAACGCTACTAAACTCTCCAAATGGATTAACCTCGCTATTCAATTCTTTCGGCGTCAACATTCCCGGTGTTGCTGATCCCGTCCTGACTGATGGTGAACCAGCTTGAGCGTGAATCATATCACCTAAAATGGGAGATCGTTCAAAATCGAGAGATTTGGAATCACGGATTGTACGAAAGTTTATAGCGTCTATACCGTTAGATTCGGCTGGGACGATCTGGAAATCAGTTCTGTTTCGAATTTAATGATTCGCACAGCTGTCATGACGAGAAGGTAGATGTATCTTTAAGGAAGATACATAGGTGAGGATGGGTTTTGTTTTTGTGTTCGATCCAAATGAACGAGAAGCTCTAAAATCGATAGGAGAGGTGATGATTGTGAGAATGGGATAAAGAGAGGAAGACATATCGTGAGGGGAAAGGGTGGGGGAAGGACATTTATGCGGGGAATAAAACCCACAGGTGGTGTCATATGCCTCAATAATCCCCAGCTTATACTAGCAAACCATTTATGTGATTTTATCTCACTAGCTCCACTACTAGAACCTAAACGTTTATGTTCATCTTTTATCAACAACTTGCGTATAGCACTTTTACATAAGCTGGTTGTTAGCTTTCCCCACTACATAGAACTCGAAGTCAGCTCACTTAGAAACCGCGTGACCGTCTTGGAAAGAAACTTCGTTTTTCAAGACGTTGGCAAATGTTGCATTACGATTCGGACCTTTGAACGGGGTCGTAGCGTACTACATGGTCAGTTTGGGTGTTCCTCCCTTTCGGTTCCTCAAAAAGGCTACACAACATTCCGTCGATAAGTGAGAGAAAATTGTCCTCCCCTTTGGTTTCCCAAATAGCTTACGCCATGTCCAAGGGATGATTGGGTATGAATTTGACCAACAGCAGGACGATGCACTTCAAATGACTTTTCATCATGCCTGGTATTCGTTTGAGGGAGGGAGTGAGGAAGAAATGGGGAGAGAAGGGGGGGGGCACAAAGACAACTCACAATCATCTCATAAACCAGTATTCCCAAGGTCCACCAATCCACAGCACTGGTATGTCCATTACCTCTTATAACCTCTGGAGCAATATATTCTTCCGTACCGACAAACGAATTCGTACGGAAGTCTGCAATGCACGATCGGGTATCAACGAGAAGAGAACCATTAGGTCCTCCTTGCTTGATACCAGCAGGTGCACCACCTGGTTCGTTGGATTGTTTGGAAAGGTCGAAATCGGATAACATGATATGACCTGATTGGTGGAGAAGGATATCTGGAGGTCAGTGGCGTTGTTCTCTACAGGATGAACCTTGGTTTAGACTCAAGCATGCCTTGTGCCTCGTCGAAGCAAAAAAGAATGCTAGTTTGATATTACGAGTAATGTGTACCTATGCTAGCATGGACAAGTGAGGGGAATGAGAGGGAGAGGCTCAATTGGTCCTCGAATGAAGAGCTAGATGTCCTTGAAAGTAGACTGGAGCAAGATGCCAACACCCAGAATGAGAAAAGATTGGAGAGAGAGGGGAATTGACAGATGTGATAAGGAGGATGAAATGATATATGAGACGAGGCGGAGAAGCTAGTATTGATTCAGACCCACTCTCAGGCTTCAAATCCCGGTATATGTATCCGTTCAGGTGCAGATATTCCAACGCAGCAGTGACCTCCGCGGCATAAAACTTGGCGCTGTTCTCTTCCAGACACTTGCCAGGTCTGGTCTGCAATGCACGGAAAAATTCTCCACCCATGCAGTACTGTGCATCAGCTACTGACATCCCTGACTTGCTTCGTCTTCATCGTCACGGCTCCGACTTGTCGGTCGTCTGCGCTCTTTCACTCAAATGATGACTGTGCATGACTAACTCAGCTGAGAATGGGTGTGACCCCTGGGACGGGCGGGTTTACAGGGAGAGGGGTGGAAAGATGAAGGGGCCTCAGTCGGAACTGAGCCCGGCGCCTCGTATCCTAAAAGATGTGTCTGACAGGTGCAATAGTCCGAACAGGAGACAAAAGAAAGACGGGAACTTCAGGGATGGTTCTGTTGGGAAGGGCCAAACGAAACTCACATCGAGAACAAAGAATATATAATCCGGCGATTGGAACGAATGGTGCATCGTTACGATGAATGGGTGATTGGCAGTGGCCAATATCTCTTGTTCGGCCAATGCACGTTTGATCTTGTTCCGTTTAACAACTTCGTCTTTTGACAGAACTGCGGATCAGCTATCCCTTCAGTCATGAAGTTGACAATTTCCGAGAGTTTGAACGATTACACAGATGCCTGCTAGATGGCGATAAAGGGGATGTGAGGAGTTATACTGCATAACAGCTTATGACAGCCGGACAATGTGGACGAAAGATGACAGTAGGAGAATACTGACCTTTCATGGCATACAATTTTTCCGTCTTTTTCTCCCGTACTAGATAGACCTTACCCACATCGCCTTTACCGAGCAGCTTTATCTTTTGGAAAGATGATGGGCCCACAGCGACCTGATCATCAGTATTCAGTCCGTCATTTTTCGTCATGATCCGCCCACAACTAAAGATCCAGAATGGTCGTTGGTAGAGAAGGCGTGCTGAGAGAAGGACAAAGGAAGGGACTCACCGATCGCGTTTTGATCGAATTTGAACTATAAGTCCTTCTGAACACTTGTTTATGATTACTTTCCTTCCCATCCATAGCATCATTAAGTCCTAGTCCTACACCAAGGCTAGCCTGTATCTCCCTCGCCCTTCCACTTGCCGCACCTACTGTCAAGGCCCTTGCACCTCGTGTTCCGGTAGCCGAAAGACCCTGACCTTGGATTGAACTCTGAGCCCTGTGTGGTAGACTGGCAGAGGAGCTGGATGGAAATGCCGAATTGGGGGAAGCTAATGGTGATCCATGAGGTGTGTTAGCCCCTGATGGTGCTAGAGAATGTGGGAGAGGGGATTCGGTAGGTGAGACGGTCAAATCTACTTCGGTAGGATTGGGAGACTTTGCCATTTTTGTACTCCCATTTGACTTCGAATTTGATTCGCGTGGCATTTTGATACTTTCTACTGGTGTTTTGAGGCCCTTCAGAGGAGGTACAGGAGGTACTGGTGGCATATCCGTAGGATTGAGAAGAGCTTTGGCATTGGGAGCAGAGACTACACGACGTAAGAATCTTGCCGCTGCGGATCGAGAGGGTTGAGCATCCGGTGAAGGTTTTGGTGTCTTCTTACCTGGCGTTTTAGGTGACAGTTCATTGGGTGATTGTGCATACGAAGATATAGAAGAAGATCCCACTGATTTCTTCCGTCCAGAAGAAGATTTACCAAGAGTGAGATATTTATCTTTCTTCGCTTCCGGGGCAGAAGGGGAGGAGAAGAATCGACCCTTGAAAGTACTCAAAGGTAATCGAGGTGAACGAAGTGAAGTTGATGTGCTCGTATTGACTGAATATGCCGATGGAGAGGGAGGTATGGCAGATGATGGGTGCCTTGAAGTTGAAGAAAGGGATGATTCATCAGTCGATTCCGCCATGGAATATCCTCGAACGTCATTTTGAGGATGTAGGGGAGTTCCGAGTTGAACATTATAAGAAGATCCAGTACTGCTTCCTCTCCCATCTTCTCCGTCCACTGCCGGATGTTGAAGCTCTTTGGTTGAGAGAGGGAGAGGAGATTGAAGTTTAGGCTCTTCTGTCGAGGGCGATGTCATGCGGCTTCTAGATGGAGTTCGAGTGGACGAAATACTCCCTTGAACAGAAGGCATTGACGATATTTCGGTATCATTGTTAGGGAAGATATTGGCTAAAGCGGGGGATCGACTTGATCTTACAGTTCCTCCAGTTTTGAATACCGCTCTCCAGGTGCGACCGAAACTGCTTTTGCCTGAGATGGAAGGTGATGGTAGGGGAGAGATTTGACCAGAAGCAGTAGTGGATGTCGACGCTGCAAGAGAAGAGGGTGTGTAAGGGGAGAGAGAAGGAGAAGGATGAGTCGGGACTGGGGAAGAAGCAAGAGATGACATGATAGAAGGGGGGGTGACTTGTTGATGCGTAAAAGCGTGATTGATGGTTGATGGGAGGATTGTATCGAAGAGAGTTTTTTCGAGTGGGGGTGAACTGAATTTCACGTAGAATTGAAAGACATAGTCTATGTGGTTGAATGAACAATGCGTAGATTGAGAAGAGGAATGGGATCAATGATGTGTGTTACGCCCGAAGAATGTACGAGTACGAGTACAATGCGGTGAGGGGGAGGAGGAAACGAGCCGGTGGACCGGGGACAAACGGGGATCCACCCACACCTGAATAAACTTCGGGACAATCGTTCGTCAGACTGCTAGTCTATAGCGAGTTGTCCGTTTATTGTGTGACGACACAAGGGTCAGGATCTACTTGTAGTGAGGGGTAAAGTCGAGAATAGGGTGTCGTATAGAAGATTCGAGTCCCAAAAGGGCAAACCGTCGCTGCTGAACAAGCAGAAACAAAAACGTCGTCAGGGGGTCCTTTTCGGTCTCCTATTGCCTGTTCGTCGCTGAGAGTACAGCGATCAGTGACGGATAGGAAAACGGGAAGGTTATCCAAGGTGAGACGCTCCCAGATGCTTCGGGCGATGATTGATGACCTAATGAGTGCGAGATGAAGAATAGGGTATAGCGTATACGAGTAAGTAGTGGAGGAGGGGTGGGGGGCTTAGTCCGATTCGCGTGCCTACTATCCCCACTCAGAAGTGGCAGTTGTTCTCTTCAGCGTGCCTATCAAAACACCTCTTCTTCACTGTCATTCTGCGATTTTAACGATCAGCGATCGACGATAGGTGCGAGAACATGGAATGATTTTCAAAGATCATAGATCATGGTACATGGTAATGGTACTTGTATCCGTTTGATGAAACGCATGTCCCACCCCTCTCTCGCCTGCGGCCCCGGTCACTTCTTCCCTATTTCCTTCAATCTCTCCAACTCCTTTGACATAGATTCTCTTTCCTTCTTCTCATGATCTCTGTCCCGCACTGCCCGGGCCCGTCCCCTCTCTGCGACCTCACACCGACGTTGTATTTCTGCTTTTCGACGCTTGAGGTCTTCTTTTTGACGCTTCATATCCTCATTCTGCCGCTGCACTTCTTCCATCTCTCGCTGGAGTTCTTTGTTCTGACTTTCCAACACTTCATCTTTCCTCGCACAAGACTCTAATTCTTCTCTGAGCCGCTCCAATTCGGCTCTCACCTCCGCTACCACCGACTCCAAGACACGGCAGTCTTCTTCCCTGTCAACCGAACCTTTTAGAGACGCGGCTTCATGTAACGCTTCGTTTTCTGCCTTCAAAGTAGTAATGAGGTTTTCGGCCGCCAAACGTGCGGTTCGCATGTCTTTATACCGCTCACGAACGGCCTGCACATGATCATGAAACGGATCATGGTCTTGATCGTTATTTCCTGATGAGGGGTCTCCAAGTTCGGAATCATCGTCAGACGAGAGGGTGTATTCACGACAATAGTTAGGAGGTGGGGCTCGCCGAGGGTTACGACGTTGACGTTTATTCATGACATCTTCGGGTGTGACCGTCCTTGTCTCGATTGGGTTCTCTTGTGTTTGTATCGGGTTCTGAGGTCCAGTGTACTCGGACTCGGACTCTTTGAGTGGGATTCGGCATAAACCGCAACCGTCATTCCCAGCTCGACGACAAACCCAACACCTGTTGCACCGTCCCCAGTCTGACCAACTGAAAGCCAGAGTTGGCATATCTCTCTCTGTTGCATAAGAGCAGTTCCATTTCGGGTATAGAGCTCTGTCGGCCCTGTCTGTCAGGATAAGCCCCCAGCTTGGCAGTGAGTCACTCACGGCACATAGAAAAAAGCGGGGATGCGATACTTGCAGCCTTCACATGTCCGTTTACGGGACCGTTTGTGGCTTCGGTTGCAGACAAAGTTCTTGACCGTACCTGCTATCTTTTTTGACTCTGAGCGGCTTATGATGTATCGCTTTAGACCGTAACGAGCGGCGGAAGAGGGAAAGAATCGGTCCGGGACATGGGATGGGCGTTGAAGATCACCATACTTTCTACAATGCTTCACGATGCTTTCTTTGTCGGCGTACATAGCATCGTTTTTGCGGGAAGTGAGCCATTCGAGACCGTAAGGACCGGTAATCTTGGTGAGGTCTGATTCGATCTCGTCAGCCCACCGAAGAGATTGGTCAGACGGTCCGATATCATCGGGCAAAGGTTCCATGACGGACGATGATGGCGAGGCGGACATGACAACGCCGTAGGTACTGTGGTCAATGGACGGACGGTGGGGAGCGATAAGAGACGATGAGGATCAGAAGAGGTGGAAAGTGGACAACTGAGAACGTAAGAACAAATGTAAGTAGTTTTGTTGGTCTTCGCGTCACTCGAGTTTTTGAGACAACAGGGTTGATTGAGGGATATTCCTAGAGTTTCATGATAAAGAGATACATGTTTTGTCATCCTTTCACCTTTCTACCTGACCACACGCCCGGAAAATCCATCATAACCAGACCCTTGATCACGCACCTAAAGGGTTCGGACGAGCCTAGCGACTCACTACGCCGAAGCAGCCATAGGTTGAGCCATGGTAGGCTGAGTCTAATATAAGCTCAGTTCCATAATCAGAAGACTGACAACTCACTGTTCCCGCGCTGAGTCTGGCACGCTTGGATTGATAATCTTTGATAGCTGACTTGATAGCGTCTTCAGCGAGTAAAGAACAATGTACTGGTAGTCAGTCTCATGAAATACGGGTCTGACCACCTGAAACGCAGCCACTCAGGAGTATGGTAGATTTACGAGATTCAGGGTTAGAGATGGGGAGTTAGTGAGAAAAATGAATCTAATGCGACTCACACTTGACAGGGGGGAGACATAATTCCTTTGCAATCTCCGTGTTTTTAACCTGACCAGCTTGTTCCAGACTCATACCCTTGACACGTTCCGTCATGTAACTCGATGACGCAATGGCGGATCCACATCCAAAAGTCTTGAATTTGACATCGTTGATGATTCCATCTTCACCGACCATGATTTGTAGTTTCATGACGCTGCAGGTCAACTTGAGTTCCAACGCATAAGACAAGACGCATATGCTCATTGACAAAGAGAGCCGTGAAACGATGTACAAAACGAATGTTCATCCTGTGAAGGGAAAGAGGCTCAACTCACTCGCCACAGGCTGGTGCGCCGACAAGTCCGGTTCCGACGTTGGGATCAAGTTTGTTCATGTTACCGACCTATGAATCAGCTTCGATCCCAAGTGTGTCCATGTTACCCAGCTGCTTGGATGCCATGTAGGAAAATGAAAAAGTGACTGACATTCCTTGGGTTCTCATAATGATCGATGACCTTTTCATGGTATCCTCTTTTACTTATCTGCATCCCCCCGAGCATAGGTCGAGGGATATTCCTGGCCGGAACGGGACGAGTCATCGATGTCGATGCGACGGTCGCTGAAGCGCGGATGAATGATCGCATTGTGTGTCACCTGTAGCCTTGTGCAAAAGACGAAATATATCAAGTTGTTATATGGATTGAACGAGAGATGAGATCTGAGAAGGATGGCTTGTGGAGTGAGTGAGAAAGAAGCAACGACGACGACGACGACGACCGACGATCGGCATCACAAGTGGCGAACGGCGTTACTCGGCGTTTCATCTAACTGTGGCACCTTCCTCCTCGGCCGAGTTGACCCTGCTTCTCTCTCACCTTCTCAATGACGATATAAGCACACCACATCCGCTCAATATGTACCATGTCAATGGTATAGGACTCTCAAGTATAGACGGTCCTGTATGGAACAGTAAAGGTATGTTGACAGTTACAGTACAGCTCCCCCAGTCTCCACATCCCGCTCCGTTACTAACCGATTTCTCACCCCTTCGCTCAGGCAGGTGAACCCCGGCTGAAGCTCTTTCCAGCCAAAGGGGACGTTCTATACACAGCCACACTCTTCTCCGGGAGATTCTTAAGGAACCCTCAACTCTTCAAGCTCAAGCTTCAGGCCCAAGAATCCGGAAAGGTTCTCCTTACTCTCCAAGGTACCCTTGTCCTTTTGACATCTGACCCTCTGAACCTCACTTGCGCTCCTACCTTTGACTCACATAACAGGCCTTTGGACATGAGAACGAAACGCCCCAAATGACCTTTTGGCGTCCTCATCCTAACCCATTAAAGTCGGACTTCAGGTCTGTTCCTTCAGCTTGCTTCCTCTCCTTTTGCCCTCTATATTCCTCTCTTGTCTTTTACCATCATTTCCCTCTTCGTCGACACTTATTCAACCGCCACCTACCTTCCCTCTCTCTCTCTCTTCTGTCCAGATGTCGACGTAATACGCTTCAGAAATGTACAACACACTCTTTTTACTACTACTTAGCGCTTGGGTGGGGACTAGCAGAGCATTCACGATACCTACCCTTCCTTCCGGTTGGTCGTATCAGGGATGTTGGTATGAGGGTATCGGACAGAGAGGGTTGAATGATTCTTGTGAGTGACTCTCTCACGAATCCTTCCCCTCGTCCTCTGACATCCCTTGTCCGCCTCGACCGCCATCAAGATGGGTAAAAATGGATAGAGGGGATCAGTAACATGCTGATACATCACAGTTTGGGGTAAAGACTCGCAAACCGATCTTCTATGTATTGATCACTGTGCAGGGATGGGTTTCAAATATGCCGGTCTTGGTGGGTTTGATTTCCTGTCCAGTAATACTTCCAATTATGTCTACACCTCCTATTTGTCCCTTGTCACCTCGTGTCTCATCCAAGGCGATCATTCCAGATCATGTGATGGTCCTTTGCACCCTTCATACTGGCAAACGACAAGAAAAATGGGACGGTTCCTTAGTCAAATTGTTTCTATGCCCCTCCTATCTCTTTGCTAGGTGCAAGTTTTCTACCCATATACATCATCTGCAGCGCTTGAAACCTCTTTCATCGACCAATACACCCATCGTCCACTCGTAATCTGACTCTCCGCTCCGTGAACTGGTTCCGGTCTTGTCGATGTGGCATTAAAGGGGTTGTATCTGATCAGCAGAGATGGGTACCCAGTGTTTCTGCGGCGACGCATTACACAACATGGACCTTGCTGAAGAATCGAATTGCAGCTACTTCTGCAATGGTGATGATAATCAACCCTGTGGTGGATACGCATACATGACTTTATTCGAACTATCCTCTTCCTCTTCTTCAGACCAAACCTCCAGCTCGGCCTCGTCGAAAAAATCCACAACCACCGCGGCGGCAGCTGCTACGACAAAAGCTGCTACCACCACTTCCACATCTCCCACCTCGTCAGCAGGTACAACACCAGGTACTTCCGCAACTACGACCTCCCCCGGATCTTCAAGTAATAGCGCAAGTAGCACAAGTTCTTTCGCGTTGTCGTATGTCGTATCGAATACTATACCAAGTTTGAACAATTACACATCTATGCCTTCCACCTTTGTAGCGGCAAGTGCATCAAATGCGCAGAGCGACGGATCAGCAGCTGGTTCTCGGGTTTCGACTAAGAGCACCAACGCTCTGCCAGTTATCGCTGCTACGGCAACTGCTATGGGTTTTGTAGCTGCACCCACTTTGAGGGATGCTAAGCAGGGTATAATGTTTGGTTATGTGAGTATTTTCTTCTTCGTACGTGAGAAACAGTGCTGATGAAACAAGACCCTTTCGTCTTCTTCTTCTACCTCTTTCACTACTTCGTCCTCTACTATACTTTCCGCGATCATCTTCAGTTTGATTCTTCCGCTCCTCATTCCATTGTGATCATCTTTTATTATATTTGGGCTTCTGGTATGCCACTTTGGTTCCATTTTCGTCACTCGAGTAATACTGACTTATGATTTTGACCGTCCCTCGTTCGGAATTACCTCACCATGATTGGTTCTCATCTCTGTTCTAACCTATTTGTGATGACCTATCCAATGACATACGATGGGAGATGTTGAGATCAAGAACCCGGATGCATTCCATATTCTGGATTATCTACAAAATAACAGTGTTCCCACATTTACTTCTAACAAAAGCAAGACTGACATCGACATCCTCAAAACCACAAGCCCTTACCCAAACCTTTCGAACTCTATCACTCTTCTATATACCTTCTAAAGTCACCTGTCGCCAAAATGGACGTCACAACATCTCGTCCCTCTGATCCGAAGCGATCTCATCACAACATGTCTAGTATGGGTAAACGAAAGAAGGGATTTGTTTATCGGTTCGATCTTTAAACTCAATGTTCTCTTCTTCAGGAGGTTGAATCGCTCTACGAGCTCTTTGATTGTTCCAATATTTATGAATGAGGGCGATCATACCCATAGTAACTATTTGTCAATTTTACCTTATCTTCTTTAACTTCGACCTTTCTCCTCACACCTCCGCTCGTACCGTGAACTAACAAATAAAGAAGTTGCTCGCGGAAAAGGACGTCGACTTCGATAATCAACGGTATGAAAGATGTTGAATTAGAAGCGAGTTGTAATTAAAAAAAGACACCAAACTCACCTCCATGAAGAGTGATGGTAACTAAAATAGCAATTTTCGCAGGGATATAATGAGGAGCATCATGAGGTCGATATATCTGAGCACCGACTATATTCCCAACTGCACAACCGATTTGATAAAGACCGTAAAATGTGGATCTTTTCGTATGACCTGCGACCATGGATTGCATCCATGGTACGAATAACATTTGACCAACGGGTACCTTTCCATGTCAGTTTTTTTCTTTTCCTCCTCAATCCCTCGACCCTCGATCCTCTTTTGAGTTTTGAGTCTCCAATCCTTGATCCTCAGTCTGAAGTGTCGGTCGTCAAGATCCGAGATCTCAAATCAAGAGATAGACGTTTCAATGTCCAGATTGGGTGACTCGAATGTGCAACTAAAACGATGTTAAGGACTTACCCAAAAGATAAGACAATAACCTCCGAATTGAACGTTTTTATTATGAGCTCCGACCATTAAACCGGCTCCTACTATGGCTACGCATATACAACAGATAGCTGGGAGTGCTGATGATCAGTCTTTGAATCGTCAAACCATTCATACTTATTTTACATATCCAAACCCCTCCTCCATCATCTTTCCCAATCCGAACATGCTCTGTCCCGCCAATGGAACAAGCTAAAAGTATTACTCATAGGAAAGGATATTCGAGAACGGTATAGGATGGGAAGGGGAAGAATTGAATAGGGTAGAGATGAAAACGAAAAAAGGAGACCAACTCACCTCTCATCTTCCACCATCTAGATAACAAAACTCCAACAGCCATAGCAACAGTTTCACTCCCTCCTGTACTCATACCCAATAAAGTAGTTTGTTTCGTAGTGAACCCAAAACCTTTGATGATAGTAGCACCAAAAGATGAAACACCTCCATTTTGTACACTAGCACAAAACACCGAGATAGCCGCCAGATATATTCGTGGATCTTTCGCAGCTTCCCATACTTGACTAGGTTTATATTCCGTAGCATGTGTACCAGTTTTATTACTTCTGATCCTTTCCAAAGCTATCAACCTTTCTTCAGGTGTAAGGAACCAAGCTGTCGCAGGTGATTCAGGAAGCATTATGAGGATATAAATTCCGAAAAGGACTGTTACTGGACCTAACAAGACGAAAATGAACTGCCATGCTGCCACTCGAGTAGAATGAAGGTTGAACATTCCATAAGAGATTAAACCACCGATGATTTGTGACATACCGACGGAACCGAACCATATTCCTACTCTTGTACTTTGTTCGGAACGGAGGTAATAGGAACCGGTTATAGAACCTAGGATTGGGACTGAAATCAGCGGGGTTATGGAGAGAGGAAAGTAAGAGGAGAGGGAAGATGTAACATGTTGAACATGAAATTGAAAGTGTTGATTTGATGAACTTCGGATAAAATCCTTCCGCTCCACTACGAGTACGAGTACTATGACCTTGATTCCCGGAAAGGACCCAAAAGATCAAGCAGGGATACAGTCGCACGGAACGAGATGAACAAAGGGGAGAGGCCTGAACGTGGATGGAAGAGAAGACGAGGGAAGGACGAAATAATATAGAAAAAAAGACCATTACTCACTCATTCCACTTTCGGCCATACCCAAGAGGAACTAACCCTTCAGCTTGATCCCTCATACCAATACAAACACAATCCACTCACTCTCAACGAAGCTTCAGCAGCAAAGCTTTGACCAGCAGCTAGACACCCAAGGATCAACTCCCCTATCAGCTATGCCTTTTCATTCTTAACAGGAGTACTCACACCCCAAATCATGATGATACTACTGAGGTGGTACCGGACGGGAATTCGGACCAATAGATAAGCCGCCTGAAGGAATCAGCATCTCCGAACCAATATCGAGGGGATAACCCACAAATGGTTGCCAAAATAGATATCCAAAACTATCATATCAGCTTACGTACTGAAGCGTGGGAGGAAACTGACTAAAAGATAGATCCGAGCCAAGCGAAATCTTGACCTTTCAAATGAGTAGCTTGTTGGATCCCGAACTGACGTCAGAAATCTTCTCGGATCCAGGTGATGTTTGTGGTTTGGGCAAAAGGAGAACTTACAAGGTTGGCATAGGATATAGAACTCTTGTCCAAGAATTGAAAGAATTCGCAGAGACACATGATCGGCATACTATCAGGTCAGCTTTGAACTACTTTAACAAATCAGACGAGTACGTCAAATGATGTCGAGTTGAGAACATTGCTATCCCTTCCGTTGAGAATCTAGAGCAAGAACCAAAGAAAGATTGAAAAGAGACATAGGAATATGAAAGTTTAAGTAGCGGACCGAGGAGAGAAACTTACAGAACCATATCAGTCTTCCTCACAATCCTACGAATGACAGCAGGATCAACTTCTTCAATGTTAATCCGTTTGGAATGTTCGATAAGTTCCAAAGCTTTATCACCATGAATGGTATGATGATCCGAATCGACCTCATTGACATGATGTATCCCAGTCAGGTTTTCGATCTCTTTCTCCACATTGGGTTCGTTATACGATGGGTTCATCTTGTGCTCAAGTCCCTCTTTCTATCCAAGTACTGCGAGTGTAGTGTGTTCGTCCAGAGACGAAGGCAATCCGACTATCCGAAAAAGTATGTTTGTCCGACGAGGCAGTTGGAAGCGATGAAATCGAAAACGAGGGGATCCAAGTCGGTCCGGTAGAACAGGTTATAACTTGTGGGAGGGACGACCTCCTACCGAGGTTGGAATAGTGAGAATAACATGTACGGACAATGATTGTTGGGTATAGAATGGAGAGATAAGAAATCAGTGACATCGGGCACGAAAAAAGTCGGGCTCGAGAAAGATCGGCCTACGTACTTCTTAAATTTGCCCGCTCGGTTTTTAAGTTGGCCGATTTTCGATACGACTGACTGTACTCTACGACGGAAGACGTCAGAGGAACGGGAGCCCGGGGGAATTAGTTTGTAATGTTGAATTTGGTGGTAAGGAGGAACGAAGGGTGGGAGAGGAGGTCAGAGGTCAGAGAGCGGGAGTTGCACGGAACATGACTTCCACGGATCCACGGACCGCCAAGTCTCGTGTCATCATCTGGCATGTCAAATCCACGGGGTGACATGTCAAATCCAGCCGATACGAGAAGGAAAGCGATAAGCCACGGTGTGCTTGATATGTATACAATAGCCAAGTCGAGAGATTTCGTTGGCAAACCAAATTGTCTCAAGCGTATTTTCTATCATATTTTGATGTTTTGGGTCATGCGGGTCTTCTTCGTATTATCTCTGGCTCTTGGTATATGCCAAGAGTACGGCACAACAACCACTCAAGACTACCCAAACGGATCATCTTCAACATGCTCGAGAGCTCCTAGCAAAGTGAGTATTTCTCCTCACACCCCTCACTCCCTCCTCCCTCCTACCTTTCTATCCCCACTTCGAGTGGAGTGAATAGGACGTGTGAAAGTAGAGGTATGAAGTGGGAAGAAATATCAAAAGAAGAGAGGCCACGATTCGAGTCAATACTTACGTTAGATATCCCCTTATCGACACTCATGTGGACACTCCACAAGTCTTACGTGTCCTCTCTTCTCATCCGCTCGATATGATAGATAAATTCAACACTGGTCTTCCTGGACAATTCGACATCCCTCGAGCTCGTGAAGGTGGTCTAGGAGGGTAGGTTATCCTTCTTTTGTATCAGACCATTTCCGATGACAAGGGCGTTTTTCACCGTTTGGACTCCTTGTCCTGGAGAGGTTGGGGTAAATGTTGGACATGATTTTCTCGAATTGGGTAATGTGAGTTTTGCAACTAATCCTGTTCACTTCTTGCTCATATATGTACCCCGGTTTGAGACGCAAAGTGAGTTGTACTTGAGAGCTGATGAAACAGACCGTGAGGGACACAATCGAATCTATTGATCTCATACGTGAAATGATTGATCAAAGTCCTCAATTACAATTGGCTTTGACGGCGGATGAAGCTGAAGCTGCTTTTGGTAATGGGAAAATCGCAGCTTTGATTGGTATGGAAGGGTGAGTCTATCACCTCCCTTTCACTTCTCTCCTTCTCTTTCCCTTCTTCTTCATGTTCCATCAAATCGTCACCTCTATTTCAATTATATCCGTATGAACACATTCTCACTTATTCGAATCCCTACATGATTCCTTACATGATGAACTCCATTATTGAGGATGACAGCAACATGTGAATGAGCTGAACTGTACAGAACTCATATGTTGGGAAATTCACTCTCCACCATTCGTATTCTCGCCCGACTAGGAGTCCGTTATCTAACCCTTGCTCACGTTTGTCACTCCTCCTTCGCCTCCTCCGCCGGTGGAGCAGCAGGTAGTGACGGTTCTTATCTTCGACCTCATCATCCAGGAAATGGACTCACACCATTCGGTCGAGAATTAGTAGATGAACTCAATCGTCTTGGAATCATGGTTGATCTTTCACATGTTACACCAGAAACAATGAGAGACGTATTAGATCAAACAGACGTTCCAATAGTATTCACTCATAGTGGTGCTAAAGGTATTCTTGAACATCCTCGTAATGTTCCCGATGATATCTTAAAACGTATTGGTACCAGTGCTGGAAAAATCGATGGGGTTATACAAAGTGTTCTTTATCCTATATTTATCGATCCTCATAACCAAACTATACCAAGATTAGTTGATCATGTAGAATATATCGCGGAACATACCAGTAAAGCTCATGTGGGATTAGGATCAGATTTTGATGGTATTCAATGGTCTATTGAAGGATTGGAAGATGTGTCAAAATGGCCTTATCTACTTGCTGAGTTTTTGAGAAGGGGGTGGACTGATGAAGAAATGAGAGGATTGATGGGAGGTAATCTATTGAGAGTTATGAGAGGTGTAGAAGAAGCTGCTGAACGTCGAAGAGGACAGAAAGCGAATAGAGCGACATATGAGAAAAGAACGGATCTACCAGGTGTTAATTGGGGTGGACCGGAAGGTGCTTATCTACCTTTGAGGGTGAAGAATATCGTGGATCATAGACGTATAAGGGACGAACTTTGAAAGTAAGGTGCTCGTACTGCGTAACATGTACAGTACATAGTTTGCTGGTAAGTATTTCGATAGGTCAATCAAAGTGATATTGGTTACATAGATGTAATAACATCTTAGTTTTTGTTATGAAGTTCTATTCCACAGTACAGTACAACAGATCTAGCATTGAATCTATCAAGTTTCCGTCATAAAAGTCTGTGTGAAATCTCGAATCCATAACGCAGTATCAGCCGTCACCCATTCACTCTGATTTAAAAAAGTGGAAAGATCCAACGGAGGTTCAGCTATACATCAGCAGCTTGTCTTCTTCCCCGTCGTCTCGTCTTAACGAAAGCCGAGACAAGAACAAACAACACACTAATTGATGTCTGAAAAACGAGACAGAGATATGTCCTGAAATGACCAAAGGAAATACTTGCAACTCACCAGCTTGAGTCACTCCTCCAAGATCAGGAGGAGGTGCCAATCTAGACTTGACCCCTTCACTACCAGGTATATTAGGAAGTGAATTTACCAACGCCTTGACTTTTGGATAAGCCACTTCGGCAACTTCCCAAGCTGAATCAACACCTCTTTCAACTGCTTTCACCAATCGATTGAGGAGGGTCCAAGCTGTATCGAGGAGTTTGGTGAGAGTAGAACCATCACGATGAAGACGCATGGCTGTACGAAGAAGAAGAGCAGTTGCGTGTGAGATCTGGAATGAAGCCCCTGGATGTCAACTCAAACCCCGGTGGACGAAACACTCGGGTCAAGATTGGAATCCCGTATGAACACAATTCAAGCGAGAAGAAAAATTGGGAGTCTGAATGGACGAAGTACTGCTGGGAGATGAACACTTCAACTCACATGGAACCCAAAAAGACGCATAATCCTCAGATGTCAAACCTTCCAAAAACCGAATGACATCTTCTACCAACCCCAAAGCGTGTTCCATGGACCGTGTCAATTGACTTTCTGTCATTTGAGTTTGAAGATCTACACCGATCCTACAGATGAGAAGGGCAATACCCAGATGACAAAGTTGGAAGGATCCTATTCATCAGTCCACCCTCTAGAGCATCCTCTTGTCCTCATCGACGACTTTCATCAATGATGCGTTGTATATCAGTACTCAGCATTGAAAGGAGAGTACACGCGATCAAGAAAGAGAGATAAACCTACGTATGCCAGGACCTTGATATCCACCTTCAAAAGATAAATCAGGTAATCCCTCATCTATCTCACCCAAAGTCTCCGCTGCATCTCTCAAGATACCCTTCGGATGAGGGACTTCTTCATCACGATCAGAAACTGCTAACAAGGGTAAGAGAGAGTCTAGAATTGCGCTTAAGCGACACATGGCGACAAAACTTGTCATTGCGCCAGACTCTTCACCTTGACCTTTCCAATCGTCGTCTTCGAGTGTGGGAACGGGGACTGTTGAGTTGCCGGATGGGAGATTTGAAGGACGACCATAGACGAATGCGTTCCTGTGGAAATTGAGCTGCCTCATCTCACCCAAAACGTAATCGATAGGAGTCGAGTTTTGGGTGGTTGTGAAAGGTTCAGGAAGCATAAAAATGACAGAACTCTCCGTCCTGACACGACCATATGCTAATGGGACTTCAAAACTGTTCCATAGCAAGGCAGGGAGGTCGCAAGGCGCACCTTCGGAGGAGAGGGGAGGGAGAAGACATACCATTTGTCAGCAATGAACAATGTCCACCAGATACGTTTTCTAACGGATCGTTCCCATCTTGGTAATCTCCATCTCGCACTATTTCTATGCAACCCAAGCAGCTGGGCAGCGCCCATAGCCTTGTCATTCAGCGACGACTCTGATTGGTACCATCTTGCCCAGTTGAGACGAGACTGTAAGCACTTATCTCGAGTTGATGAGATTTGATGAATGGGTGCATGGATAATAGAAGGGACATCAATCACTCACTCGACAAATAGCCGTATGATTACCACCCGGATCTATCATAGGTCTACCAAAAATATCCAACATGGCCAATTGTAAAGTCTGCAACCTCGGTTGTCTGTATTCGTTCTCCAGCAAGTGAAGAGATATCCCAAACAAGTCTTTACATTTATGTCGTAAGGAAGGAATATATACGGCGGAGTGTGCTAATATGCCCACTAATACGGTATGGGGAAAAGGACCCGCTCCTTGCCATGCGAAACATGTTGCTTCAAGGCGAACTTTGTTCAGGATAGGGAATGCGGGTAGTGTTTTGTTCATGAACCTAAAAAGTTTAGTCTTACTTCCTTGGATACGTTTTATAATAACCAAGCACCAATTATATCGTTGAAGGGACGAATGAATGTACATACACAACTTACATCTGCAGAAGCCTTGCCGGATATTCAGGATGTTCCGCTCTCAACACTTCTGTCACAGCTTCATAAGCTCTCTCAGCCGCATACGCATTGTTGGCAAGTCCATACACCTTTGAAGGGTTACGAAGAAAGAAAACCGGTCGACGTGGATCTGCTACTTGACGGTAAGATATTCCTCCTGTCGATGGAGATGATCCTACTGGACTTATGGCCACTCCGGTGGAAGGAGGATCAAGGGTCAAATGTGAGAAAGCTATCGAACCGAGATAATGTGATTCTTCTTGATCTGTGACTTCAAGATCCAACGAAGGGTATTCAACGTCATTATCCTATTACCATTCAACTATTATTTTCTGCATCACAAATAAGTGAAAGACTAACGGTGGATGATTCTCTTGATCTTTCCTCTTCATCCAAACTTTCCACAAAATCCAATGCTCTACCTCTACTATTCGTGACTAACCTTTCTTTTCCTTTTCTCGACCAAGTTGAAGTTTCATTCCAAGGAACAGGCATCACGCTAGGTCTTCTATAACTGACATCGTGTGAATCGCCCGATATAGTTTCTGAAAGAAACTTGGTAGGAGATTCACTCCTGAGTGGGGTCAAGCTGGATGCAGCATCACGAGTTGAGGAATGACGATGACGAATCACAGGAGGACCTGAGAAAGTACATTCTTTATGAGCTTTGGCACATGAGGCACACGGTTGACCACGAATGATAATCCGACAAGTATGTTTTTGTCGTCTACAACGGTCACATGGACGATCTTTCCTGCTTCGGGTCGGGCGAAGGCTACTTGTCAGCGGTCAAATCCTCGGACTCCACGATGGGGTAGGAGATGCTATACGCTCACTTGGTTCGTTCGGGCATGTCAAAGAGAGCAGTAGAGTACTCGTAACTTGATCGTAACCGTAAACCACGAAGAAAGTCAATTCAAGTCAAGTATCGCTTCGAGGCGTCTCCCAGGCACGGTGGTGATAAGCGCCCAAAGGGCAAAGGGCCAATCAGGACAAGGCTGGTTTTGATGGCCCTGGATCGGCGTACCGATCCCAACAATTGCCCGCTACGCCCGCATCACATTCTGTTTCCCCGCTACGTCGGCTCAGTATCCCGCTCTTGTTCAGTGCCACCCATTCACTCCACATGACACACAAGCAAGGAAAAACGACGCCAATCATGGGCCGGGACTATTATACTACTGACTACTTCATAGACTTCTACTCCCTCAAGTGTTTCCTCATCAGCTCGACCGTCAAACAGTCCCTCTCAAGTTCGCATTTCTTCTTACGGCTCATTTTGCGACTTACAGTGAACAATCAATATCATGCCCGTCCCAACAGCGACTCTTATGTCGCAAGAAGAGAAAAACGCATTTTGGAAAGCGGCGGATAACAAGCTCATCCGTTATGGTGGGTCATGGGCCAATGTCATTGTGGAACGAGCCCAGGGTACTGCCATGTGGGTGAGTGAATCATTTTTTACTTACTGGTAGTCGAATTGACAGCTTTCAATACCTTCCTTACTCCTGTCTTCATACCTGTCTCCGAGTCGTGATCGACAACTCTAAACATCTATTCGAAGTTTCATTCAGCCCTGTGATAAATAGAAGCTGATAGACAGGACTCTGATGGAAACAAGATCCTCGACTTTACCTCTGGTCAAATGTCATCTCTCCTCGGCCAGTGAGTAGTCCAGGTAAATATCGGAATGATCAGTCACTTATGGATACAGTGGTCATCCTGAAATCGTACAAGTAGTTTCAAACTATATGGCAAATCTCGATCATATCTTCTCTGCAATGGTCACCAAACCTAATGTAGACCTGGCACTGGCTCTCTCCAGTCTATTGCCGCCCGGACTAGATCGGTGCATGTTTCTCTCTACCGGTTCGGAAACCAACGAGTGTGCTTTGAAGTTGGCCAAGATGTATACGGGTGGTCATGAAGTCGTTTCTCTATCTGCTTCCTATCGTGAGTCATTGTATACATCTTCGCAAAATCCCAATATGTCCTCTTTGGTGGACATGTGTGAGCGTCAGGAAGGAATCCTAGAGAGGTGAAGTAAGGGCGGTCCGGGGGTGATCACCAATGTGGGTGTTACGAGATGATGGATGTTCTGAGATGATGGATGTTCTGAGATGATGGATGTTCTGAGATGATGGATGTTCTGAGATGATGGATGTTCTGAGATGATGGATGTTGTAAGATGATAGATGTTCCGATGGTCTGATCAACAGATGGGATGACCCACGGAGCAGGTGCTGCTACTTTTTCCGTCGGTAGGAAAGGTTATGGACCTCAACTTCCTGGAAACTTTGTACTTCCTGTTCCATACGCGTATCGATCTCCTTTCCGTCATCCTGATGGGTCATACGATTGGAAATCAGAGTTAGATTATGGATGGGATCTTATCGATCGTGAGTTTATCATCCCTTCCTATCCTATGATCTTTTCATTCCCATCATTACACGTAAAAACATGACTCTCACACCCTTCCCACCATGATCTAATCCTTCATCGAGATGTGTTCTTTCCGTCAAAATCATTCTTTTTACTCGTCCACAAGCTGTTGAGTCTCACAGAACACGGAAATAAGGCTCACGTCAAGGTCAAAGTACAGGAGCCCTAGCATGCGTTATCATCGAACCTATCATTTCCACAGGAGGTATAATCACCCTTCCTCCCGGTTATCTAAAAGAGATGAAAAGTCATTGCGAACGAAGAGGTATGGTTCTCATCATCGACGAAGCTCAAACTGGAATGGGAAGAACTGGTGATATGTTCGCATTCGAACATGAAGGTGTCATTCCTGATATCCTCACTTTATCAAAAACTTTAGGTGCTGGTCTACCTCTGGGAGCCACAATTTGCACACAAGAGATTGAAAGGGTTTGTCATGAGAAAGGATTTTTCTATTATACAACTCATTTGAACGATCCTTTAGTTTGTGCTGTCGGAGCTAAAGTTTGTGAAATTGTCGTACGTGATAATCTCGTTGGAGAGGCTAAAAGGAAAGGAAAGTTATTGGAAGAAGGTTTGAAAAATGTAAGTTTTTTTTCACTCATCTCCCCCACTTTCTCAACGTCTCACCTTTCACACATGATGTCTGCTTCGATCATCTTCATTCTGGTATAAGCAATATCTCAATTTATCATACCTTTCCCTTCTCATTTCGGTATGTATAAAAACACGATACCTCTTATGGAAGTTATCAACCGAAACACAAACTCCCAATTTGGTTCGGATGTCGGATCAAGTTGAGTTACATTGGATGGTGACATGACGGGTGATGAGATACGAGCTAACATATTAACCAGCTTCAGAAGAAATACCCTTGTATAGGTGACGTCAGAGGTAGAGGTTTAATGATGGGGATAGAAATCGTTCTTGATCCAATTACGAAAATTCCAGGTGATGAACTCGGTACTTCCATCTCTGCGAGATGTATGGAAACTGGTCTTTCATGTAATGTCGTTCAACTTAAAGGGATGGGAGGAACATTCCGTATTGCCCCACCTTTGACTATTACGGATGAAGAGATATCAGAGGGGATAGCGATTATGGATGCTGCTTTTGATTGGGCTTTGAAGGAAGCAGGAATGAAGGAAGTTGTCAATGGTCAGAAAGTTATCCCGTGAGATCAAACGATCAATCATTTTCTCATAAAGTGTCACAGATCAGAGTGATTATCGATCCTTGAAATGCACTGTTTTCTCATCATCTATGTCTATTCCATGCAAATATCTTGATTTACCATACACCAGCATCATAATGCCGCCAGCCAAAATATCGGTAACCATTACCGTAGAGTAAAGCAGGCTTGAACAACAATGAGGAGAATGTTTACATCCTACGATGGGCTATGGAATTTCTGGACAATACATGTGAACAGAATTTATATGAATGGTATAGAATTTCAAGATCAAAATAAGATCACAACTCATCTCGAAGTCGTTTTTGAGCAATCACAACCTCTTTAACTTCATCCGCTAAATAAGCCATATTAGGTCCACCCCATTCGTGCGCCGGAAGATCTTTACGTTTCTCATAGATTGTTGTTGAAGCTGATTCGGAAGATAACTGATTTTTGATATATTCTACTTCTTCCATCACACGAAGAAGATTACCTCCCATCAATCCGGCGATCTCGTCGTCTGTCCATCCACGATGGATAAATTCTTGGATCTACTCATCAGGTCATTCCCTTTTCCTCCAGTAACTCGCACCACTTTTTGCACATACCAATATTGCCAACTAACCACATGATTTGTATTTGGGCTGAAGGAAGGAGAGATGGTTATAACTGATGACGGCAGAGGGAATAGAAGGATGAGAATGAATGAAATACATGATGTCAAGTGATCTATCACCCATTGATTGAGGTTGTTGATGAGAGGAAGGGAAAATACAAAAGAAAATGGTAATGTCAACTCACCATATTGGGCCATTTAGATACATCTTCCATTCCCAACACACTCGATCCTATACCATTGAAATCGGATCCTAATCCCACATGTGCTTTCCCGCATCTGGAAGCGATATGTTCGATATGGTCCACAACTCGAGCTAAGGTAGCATTGTCTTTATCGATAAAAATTGAATAAAGCACTGAGAGACTATACGTCAGTGATGGGTCATTGGAATATTGAAAATTTAACCAATCCTAGAATCCCCGCCAACGACTTCCTCCTGATGACAGCGAGGTACATACTCCCTTGGCTCACTACGAAAGACTCTTGCAAGTTTGTCTCGTATTGAACAAGGTGCGGGGAACCGACACTGGGAAAGGGTAGAGAATCCAACTCACACTATCCCACGATTCTGACCAGACTTATCACCAATCATATCCAATATATCATCCGGAACATTTCTTGGATGATTATTCACCGCCCTGGCACCGGAATGAGACCAGATGACCGGAGCACGAGAAACGTTGATAGCTTGTCTGGCTGTATCGTCGCTAACGTGAGAAAGGTCAACCATGACTGATGGGTCAGCATGTTTTCCCTCATTTTGATCTCGTTGATCGTGACGTCGATGGTGAGCGGAAGGAGAGAAGAGGTTTTAGACTTACCTCCAAGACGATTAAGTTCCCTGACTAAGTCCACCCCGAGGGAGGTCAAACCGTTACCTGGGTGAATAGGAGGAATGGTGCTTCCTGAAGTACCTGCGCCGCCACCATTCGAGCTAGCGAATGACTAATGTCAGCTGTTCACAATCACCCGAATCGATAAACCAACTTGTCCGTGTCTCAGTGATGAACCAGAGAAGGACATAAGGCGGGGAGTGACATTTGATCAATTAAAGTATTCCCGTTCTTTGGAATCCATGGTTTCGTACTAATGAAGAAATGGTGAAGGGGAGAGCAAATAAAATAAGAAACTCACTGAATGACAAACATGGGTCAAAGTGACATACCCCACACCAAGCTCTGCGTACATCCTCATGACAGCTAAAGAATTACTCAATTGATGTGTTCCTTCTATCCCGATCATGACGGCGAGTTTTTTTTCTTCAAAGGCTTGTCGGACGTCGGATGCTGTACGACAACGTTTCATTTGCTATTTGTGAGCCTGTCGGTACTTTTCTGGTCTACATCGTCCCACAGAGACGTTGCAGCGGCTTCAGATAGCTTATCGACAGGCATGCTTAGTGGCAAGTTTGAAGAGAAGTTAAGTAAAGGAAGGATGGATGGAGAGATGATAGAAGCAGGTAGCTGAGAAATTCATTGATCAGAGCAGGTGATAGGAGAAATCGACGAGGATCACCGAACAAAGAACAAGTCAAGAGTCGACTTACATCCGGAAACACCTCGATCCATTTCCTTATCAAATCCATTGATTCTAAGACATGTTGAATAGACTGATGATTAATCTCTTCACTTCTCTTACTCTTTCACAATGAGATCTCAGGAGAAAAATCTCACATCTGTAGGATTGAGGAAATCAGGTCCTGGATCTTGTCCTACGGCTTTGGGACAAGGAGCATTAGCAGTGAAGAAGCCTCTGAGGATTAGTCTCTTTTGATCACTGGTTTTACTTCTTAGTCTGTTGACCTCTCTCTCCAGCTCAGTTACAGTATATAGAACATCGCTATCATATCTCAATACATCTCCCAGCTTATCTAGACAAAAAGTCATTTGAGAACTGTGAGACTATCTTGACATTTGAACGGAAGGAATAATGTATATGGAAAAAATGTGAATTTGATGATTGTAAGGACAAATAGTTGAGAGATAGAGTCATGACTCACCCAGCTAAACCTCCCGCTCGAGCACGAGGTAAATCTATATGACCAGGATAAGCGAGATCTAATTTATGTACCGCCGACCAAGGATTACGTTCTATAGTTCTGAACGTAGCTGATAGATCTATATGAGTGTCTATCAGTGGGTATCTGAGTATCAGCAGGCTCTCACAAAACTTTTCTTACAACGTCATTCTCATATAAGTTACTCGTCATTAAAGATATCACCAATGTCGTGTATCATGCAGGGGGGGACTGTTTGCAAATCCATCGGACATGATATAGGAAGTGACAAGTGTGATGTGATATATAGGTATTTTGACGGAACTTACTTTTCTAACAAACTTAAAGCATGTTCAGCGTGTTGAGGATGTAAGGGTGTAGACGATAAAGGTTTCTGAGCTCCATGTGCGTTGACCAAAACATTGAAAGTGAGGAGGGTGAACAAGAATTGATGGAACATTTCGTTCACTCTCTGAAGGGTGAGTCAGTGAGGGATTCAAGTCAGTAAAAAAGAAAGTGAGTGGAGGTCGGTTTTCAGGTGTGTATTCAAGGTCGGTATCATGTCGGTACGATATGTGATCATTGGAGAGAAGGAAGGGAAAAAAGGGGTCGGAGATAAGCATGAATAGCGGGGATGTTTGCGGGCAACTGGATCTATTTTTCACTTTTCCCGCTGTCAAACTGTACCATGTGCCTTTGCGTTATCGGAAACCCATGGGTCATGGGCCTTGAGACCAATGGAACTCAGTCCTAGATATAGTATGTCAATGAAAACACACTGTTTTACTTGCTGAGAGTCATTATCGATGTCGGGATGAAAGAAAAATGTGTTAAAGTAAATGCATCAACATCCTAAGATCTTCTTCACTCTGATCTGACTACATGCCCATGATCCACCTTGAGCCAACTTTGCACCTCCCCGTCTTTAGCCGCAACACCTCCATCATCTTCAACAGCTTTGTATCCTACCCTTTCTCCCATAGCAAGCTTACTGCGATCCCTAAAGCCCTCAAACGCCCGCATGGCTGAACCATTCTCTATACTCTCCCTGGCCATTTGAACACCTTCTTTCCAATCTTTCGCTCGACCAGATATATGCAACAAAGCAGCGGCGTTGAGAAGTACGTAATCGCGTATAGCTTCGAGTGAAGGTGAGTCGGGCCCTGGTGGTGAGGACAGATGAGGTGGAGGAGGGGAGGAAGTGAGGAGAGAAATGAAGGTGGAAGAGTTTAGAGTAGGTGTGGAACCTCGGACGGCTGATAAAGGGTGAAGGGGGAGACCGAAAGATGTTGTAGGGTGGATAGTGGAGGTGGTAATTCGATTATTCTCTAACCACCATGTCTACGATTAGTTTCTATCCTAGCAACATTCGAAGAAAGTCCCCCAAGTGAGCTATGCATAAATGTCTGTCATTGCGTAGGCCTGTCACAGATAGAGGCACGGCGACAGCGTGGAGTATACAATTGCATTTCACGATTGTGACTGATGGGGAATGAAGTGAGACGCACGGGGGTCAGGACAGGGAGTAATATGACACCAAAGAGAGGAATGAAGACGACCCACCCAAGTTTCTGCAGCAGGACTTATCTCATCCAATCCTTCTTTACCACAAACGACCAAAGCTCTTTCAACACCTAACAATTTCAAAACTTCCGCAAATGTATCACCCAATTCTTTCCTCGCCACACCCAACACCATCCTTCTAGGCCTTGCAGGATTTATGAGTGGTCCCAATACGTTGAAAATTGTCCTGAAATTCAAGCTTCGGCGAATGGGAGCTATATGTGCTAAAGCGGGGTGATAATGAGGTGCGAACAAGAACAAGAATGGTGAAGTAGGTAAGAATCCTTTAATCTTATCTACTGGGAAAGATAATCGACAATCGAGAGAAAGTAGAAGATCCGCTGCTCCAGATGATGAAGTAGCAGCTTTAGAACCATGTTTGGTCACTCGGATTCCACAACCAGCAACGACGACGGAAGCTGTGGTCGAAACGTTGAAAGTGTCCCAACCATCTCCTCCTGTACCGACCATGTCCACCGTACCGGTATAACCATCACCGAGGGGGTCAGTCTTGGAGTAATCCCATTGATCCACAGTTGGCTCGGTTTCTGAAGGGGAACGAGGGGAGACAGAGAGATCGGGTAGACGAACGGCATGAGATCGGAGGACGGATGCGCAGGAAGCGACGATTTCAGGTGAAGAATCAAGACCCGATAATGTGAGAGCGGTGAGAAAAGCTCCAACCTAGATATAAGCTTATGAAGCTCGAGTCTTCATCACCTCCTGATACATCATACACATCTTAGAGGGAAAGATGTAAGATGTGTAGGATCATGAGAGAGGACACACCTGCGCCTCGGCCGCTCCTTCGACGCATAGATGTTCGAAACATTCCGCGCAATCTTCCGGGGTGAACTCGTCCGGTGTTTGAACCAGCTTCTTGAGTAAGACCTTGAAGGTCTCTGGGGTATATTGTGTGGCTAGCTTTGGCATGATGGATGGACGAACGATAATGAATTAATGACCTCCACCCAAAGTACTTTGTAGAATCCGAGTAGCCAGGGCCACAAAATTGCTTCCGTTTCGTTTCCGGCGGAATGAACCGAGGTAGGTCCTACCGATCGTGAGCGCGTGTCAAAAGATGACGTCCAGACCATTCATCCTCTTTCTCTTGTCAAAGCCACTTCGATGCCCCCAGTCAAAAGGACAGCAGATGACGACGTGTACGAGCTTCCCGTAGCGAAGAAAAGTAAGATTTTTGGCCTCTCGACCCCTGACATGGCTGACCTCAGCTCATCCCTTCTTCACCCCCGGTGTCAAATCCCCCGGTACATTCCTCCCCTCTCCACCGACCCTGATACATTTTCTCCATCTGGACCCATTCGACCGTCCGGGATCTTCTCAAGTTCCTGTTGTCTTTTATGACCTAGATGGTACTCTTATCAAAACCCGCAAAGGTGGAGACTTCCCCTCCAGTCGTGACGATTGGCAATGGTGGCATGATACCGTTCCCTCTCAACTGAAATCCGAATGGGAATCACGCAAACATATTATCGTACTATCAAACCAAGGAGATTCAAGAGAGAAAATAAGGAATGAATGGAAAGCCAAACTTCCTCTCATCGCAGCGAAAATGCCTTCAGGTGTTCCTCTCCGTATCCTGGCCGCTTTGAACAAATTCGATATTTACAGAAAACCCAATACTGGGATGTTTGATGAGATCGTCAGATTATATCGGAATCAAAGATTAGAGATAGATATGGAAAATTCGGTTTATGTGGGTGATGCGGCAGGACGAGCTGGACATCAAGGCAGAAAGAAAGATCATGGAGATAGTGATTTTAAACTTGCCATAAACGTCGGAATCAAGTTTCTTACTCTGAAGAACATTTTCTTGGAAAACCAAGAGAACATTTCCCAAATCCTCCAAATGGTTTCAGACCAAGTAAAAGCTTGTCATTGAAACGTGAGTCTTGAGAGAGTATGTGTTACAGCTAAGCTGATTAGGTCAGTACCACATGTTTTGCCGACGAACACTCCTATCACTCGGACGGAGATAGAAATGGTTTTGTTTGTTGGCCCACCGTGAGTTTTCATTACATGTGATTTTGTTGACGGTAGAGCGAGTGGGAAAACTAGTTTCTTTCGGAAACATTTTTCTGGGAGATACGAGCATGTGAATCAGGATTTATTGGGTACGAGAGAGAGATGTTTGAAAGTGGCAGAGACGTTTTTGAGAACTGGTAAATCAGTGGTGATTGGTGAGTCAAACAACTTTATCTCTCTTGAGATCTTTCACCGTATCGACAAGTAGTGGGGAGATAAGTGTAATTCTGGTATGTCTCTAACGTGTCAGACAACACAAATCGTAATCGGTCAACGAGAGCATTATGGCTCGCCCTTTCCTCACAACTCTCAATCCCATGTAGGGTATTTCATTTTGCTTGTCCTCTCGAACTCGCCATACATAACAACATGTATCGAGCATGTTATGCTCCACCGGGAGAACCATCACGGACACTATTGCCTCTTTCTGCATTCTCCACCTACAGCAGCGCTTTCGAGAAGCCAGAAAAAGATGAAGGCTTTGATGAGATTCGAACGGTAAATCTTGTTTGGGAGGGGACGGATGAGCAGAGGAAAATGTGGGATAGATATATGTTGGAAGTCAAGAGATAAGTATGATCTCAAAGGTACGAGTAAGTTCCTCATGTATCGACTAGAAGACATTTCGTCCACATATGCATAGTGACCCTATCTTCATAGACATGACAATGTACCCCAAGGATGATAGACCGAGCACGTGACTGAACGCGTCGTGTTTGATTTCTTTTCTCTTCTTTTCTTCTTTCCAACACACGTCATCTTTCCCCCTATCCACAGCTTCCTCTTATCTTTACCAGCTCTCTTTCCCCATCCAGTCACTCAGCCCTCAACATCATGTTAACTCAAGAAGAAGATCTCTTTCAAGGAGGAGACGAAGAAGGCGATGAAGGTCTACTCAACCAACCTACTTTAGTGGCCAAACTTCAAGTCCGATCGATCTCTTTTTTCCTTCAGATGATGACTGATGCATAGGAAGCAGGTATATCAAAATCTGATACGGATAAATTGGTCCAAGCGGGGATGCATACCGTCGAGGCTGTAGCTTTCACACCGAAGAAACAGCTTTTGACCATAAAAGGAATATCGGAAGCTAAGGCGGATAAGATCTTAGCTGAAGGTGAGTGGCGAGCGGAACATTCTTGACTGACTAAGGCGCTGTCATATATCTTCACTGGGGGAATGCAGGAAGAGCCTCTGGATATTGTCGACGGGGAGATGGTGATGAGCCGAGGCTGATGAGTAAGCTTGTAAATTGATCCCGATGGGCTTTACAACGGCTACTGAGATACATGCGAGGAGAGCCGAGTTAGTACGGATATCTACCGGATCGACAGGGTTGGATACGATCTTGGGAGGTTAGTCTAGTATTTTCTCCTGCCATCTTCTCTTCGGTGCCCCATTGAGGCTGAGAGACTGCCCATTCAGCCAATGGAAGCTGGTAAGAGAATGTTTCATTGGAGATGCTGACGATCAGGTGGTATAGAAACAGGAGCAATAACGGAGTTATTCGGTGCGTTTGTACACGAAATTCCTTGTTCTGGTTCTGACTATGATAGGCGAGTTCAGAACTGGGAAATCACAAATATGTCACACCCTTGCCGTCACATGTCAATTACCCATCTCCATGGGCGGTGGTGAAGGAAAATGTCTCTACATCGACACCGAAGGAACATTCCGACCCGTTCGTATGCTCGCCGTAGCTGAACGTTTCGGTCTGAACGGTGAAGAAGTTTTGGACAATATTGCCTATGCCAGGGCGTACAACGTGGATCATCAACTTCAACTACTCGTTCAAGCCAGTGCAATGATGGCTGAATCTCGGTCAGCTGTCCCCCCTTTTTGGGATCTGTAATCAGCTCATGAATAGGTTTTCACTTCTCATCGTTGATTCTTGTACTTCTCTCTACCGAACGGACTTTTCAGGTCGAGGTGAACTATCAGCCAGGCAAATGCATCTAGCCAAATTCCTTAGAACCCTCATGCGTCTTGCAGATGAGGTCAGCTTCTTTGTCGGCCTTAGATGAAAAGCTGATCGTGCAGTTTGGAGTGGCTGTAGTAGTGACCAACCAAGTGGTGGCCCAAGTTGATGGAGGTCAATTTGCAGGTGCAGACGCAAAGAAACCAATGTGAGTCACGAACCAAATGTGGAACAATCTGACGATGACAGAGGAGGTAATATCATGGCTCATGCTTCTACCACTCGACTAAACCTACGTAAAGGTAGAGGAGCTTCTAGAGTGTGTAAGATTGTCGATAGTCCTTGTTTGCCAGAAGCAGAAGCTATCTTCGCTATCAAGTGAGTCGTCGTGACAATGACAAATAAAGCTGACGGGTAGTGAGAATGGGATTGGGGAACCGGAGGAGCTCAAGATGGACGCATGATAGATTATCGTTGTTAGGGAAACTTGGTTGGATTGTGAGTTGTATGATTGATACGAGGTTCAAAGATGCACTTGGTATCTGACGCAATGAAAAAGGCTGAGCAGGAAACACTCACTTCCGTCAGGAATATCACTTCATCCCTCTCCCTCTGATGGGACATCACCTTGACCCGTAGTACTGAATACCAGACGATCGTCCCAACCTGTCGATCTCGGAAAATTCTCGCCCCCCCCCCCCCTTCCTTCACCGCCGCTTCGAATAGAGCCCTCCACGTTGCGCGCTCTGTGGACGATTCCCTGTGAACACACTCGAGAGAACTATCACCAACCTGCGACTCTATATCCACGCCCCACCTATACGTTGCCTTGAACGTCTAGGGTTACACCGTACCTTTTCATTTGATTTCCCTCTATCCATCGCCTCGACATGGACTGATGGCTGTACAATCCGGGATGACTCCGAGTTCATCGAGCAGCCTCGGTCATTCCTCTAAACTTCTGATATCCGCAGGTTGACACTTCCCTACTATATGAGGTCTCTATCCTTGCCGGGTCTTCCACTCGCTACGCGTAAAGTCGACGTTCTAATCACGTACCTCGCGCATCGTGCCGGTGGCCCTAAACGGTTGGAAGTTGGGTGGTCAGTAGTCCAGGACGAATCATAGAGCCGTTGACTCGACACTTGGGCTATGATAGAAGGATGTCCGTCTTTCAGTCGGTCTTCCCCGATTCGAAATGTGACACCCTCTCGACGGCCATTACCCCGATACTGTTGCTTCTACGCCTTTCCGTTTCGGCGTTCCGCGGATCCGACGGGAGACTTAACTCCGCGGTCGACGGTGGGAAGGCAATGGTTTCTCGGCGACTATCTCCTGTCCTCCGTGTTAACGCTTATAATTAGATGATAATACAGAGGGGGAAAAGAGCATGCATCAATTCTACATGTCTCTATACTTATCACATTCCACTCACACGCATAAAACCAGAGACGATCGAATAAAGTTCAGAGGATAAGTTGAACGGAGAAATATTCGACGGAAGGGGTAATTCTAACGGCGGTTCTGTCACGAACTACGTCGTGACACCTCGATTATTCCACCAGCAATGACCCTCCTTTGACCATCAAAACCCCTATCACACCTTAACTCTTTACTCTACACGTAACTCAGGACATCTGAGACCAAGTACGGCGACGTTAGATGGAGTTAGGCTAGGTAGGGACAATGGAAGCAGAAGTACGGCGAAGTTAGACGGAGTTAGGCTAAGTAGGGACAACGGGGGCAGAAGTGCGGCGAAGTTAGACGGAGTTAGGCTAAGTAGGGACAATGGGAGCAGAAGTGCGGCGATGTTAGGCGGAGTTAGTAGTCGGAGGAAGAGGATAGCCGGGGACTCGGGGAAGTTGGACGAAGTGCGTTGAAGTACGTCAAAGCGTGAGAGGGTTGGATGAACGTCTAGGAGGAATAGATAATATTTAGCTGAGAGGATCGCTGAAGTTCTTCAGCGATCCTTGATTGTTGTCAGTAGTGAAAGATAGTGTCACGGCCGTCGAACAACTATTTCTTAATAGACCGACGGTCGACGAACCTCGGCTAACTTCACGCTCTGAGTCGATGTCTCACCCAACCAGGAGGGCGCAGACGTCGAAAGGGGTGTAACTACGGCGTACTTCGGCGTAGTTACTCTAACTAGGGTTTTGTTCTACTGATGGCGATGTATCTTGATTTATAGCTATCTCTAT